TTCCGAGGACTTCGAGCACCGGGAACGAAAATTCTCGAGACTTTCGCCATTTAGAAATTTTCATGTTCAGCTTGATGAAAAGTCCACCGTAAAGGCCGCCAAAAATGCCGAGTAAGATAAATGGTATAATCTCGATGGGATGCCATCCTTGAGAATCAGTGACTTGATAAAGAACGATATTCCCAGTGCGGAACGGGTTGACCGCTCGAAGAGAGATTGCTGCAGCCATGGCACAAACAAAGCTTTGCCACATGGTTTTATCGGGGAAGTAGTAAGAAAGTTGCTGCTTGGAGTTAGTGATAAAGCGGTTGGTAAAGGGGTATATGACACCGTACCTCCAGACTGAACAGCACGCCTCCTATGGGAGATCCGAAAGCTACTGATATCCCGGCAGCTGCAGCTGCAGATAGAACCTCTCTTTTCCGTGCTATATAACCGTTAGAACCGGGTGAAAGAGTAAGCTATATTTGAATGGTGCTCACCCTCGTTGTGATTGAGGCTGCTGAATGGTTTCATGATCACGTTTGCACAGCAGCATGCGACATGAACCAAAGGGCCCTCTTTTCCTAACCACATACCGGAGGCCACAGAAAGGCACTAGAAGAGAGTAAGCCCCAGTACCAATTACGGAGACATCAAGGCACCTACCAAACCAACGGATTTGATCATTAAAGTCCATAGTCCCATAAACTTTTTGATCACGAATCCCCCTAAGATCGTCTTGATTTCAGGGATACCGCTGTGCTTAGCGTGAGTTGCATAGGATGTGACTAGGACTGCTGCACAGGTGGCGAACAGAATTGAATACATGATAAAGACCATGTACTCTGCAACAAAACCACCAGCATTGGACTTGATGTTAAAAGCATCGCGCCACAGAATCCAATGTTTGCAGTTGGATGGATCTAATAATGTAAGCATATGTGTGTGTAGAAACATCTTGATCTCCTCAGTGCTTCGTACCGTCATATCCCCAGCAGCAAAAACTGCGATTGAGGTAAAATTTACCCCCTTCAACACCCGACCGACAGTATCCCACTTTTATATCAGCAAGCCAGCGACTCGCAATATCGATGTATCCTGCTAGAAGACCGACGGCTAAACCAGTCATAACCAAAACCAGCCAAACCTGGCTGGCATCTAGCAATTGCCTAAATGTGCCAAGTAGGCCAGGGTTATTGGCGTTCAGGTGCCGTATCCGTTGTCTCTCCTTTGTATATTCGAATATCCAGTCAATGGCCGTCAAATTGTCATACCCTACCCTTCTTCCGGGTCCTTCGATGTACCAGTCCATCGGCGCCCCTGGCTTGTGAGACGTGCCGGAACCATTGCCATGTTCTCTGCTAGTATTCTGGGTCGCTGTACCGGGTCGTGAGCTCCGCGGGCTCTCATCAACGCTTCTAAGACGGCTATGGGATGGGAACAGTGAATCGTTTGCGCCGCCGAATATGTTGTGGAGACCGAAACGTGATGGAGGTTTCTGTCTGCGCTTAAATGTGATCCTTTAAGATAAGTTAGAAGTGGCTCGAAGACTAGCTGTGGCCGGCTGACTTACGGTTCTTCTGGTGATTCCCGACTCCCACTAAATGACTGTGAAATTCCGTCGTCTGGCTGGTCAGTGCTAATCGTATCGGCCATGTCTATTGATAGCTCCCCAGGCACCGCCATTCCATCTCGCGTGACGGGATCTGTGCTGCCCTCCAGGTTTATGCAAACACAATCACGCAACGATAGCTAACATCTCTCCCTCTGTCACATATATATACGCATTCGGGAGCCGGTTCTCTGTCCTGCAGCAGTAGCTAATGACAACCTGTTGCCTGCAAATTGCTTTCTTTATCCGTATCTGCTTAGCTGGTCAATGCGCGAAATAAGGCCGGATATCACGTGAGTTATCTTCAATGCGGTGAGGCGCGGCAGAATTAGAGTTTCGGCAGAAAAGTATCTCGATAAGGAAATTTTTTGAGATTTTGATTTTGATATCAAGACATCCAATGTCCCTGTGTCTACAGGAGAAAACGTCGCGCTGCGTAGAGGCCCTCGAGATGGAGGCTTTACCAGCTTCACCGGAGTTCTCGATAGAGCCCGGTCTTTTACATCAACTACCAGAGGAGCTGGCTCAATCAATTCTCGAAGCTCCAGCCAATACCCAGCAGGATCAACTGGTACTGGCAGCTCTAGACCCGAGCTATACGGCTACATTATTCCCATTATTTGAGCCAGTATTTGTGGATATAGCTGCCCGGTGGCTTCTACTAGACTTGACTGTTCATCTCGAACATGTCATATCGGCATTTTCACGGATTTTGCCGCATTCTCCATACCTACGATCGTTCGCTGAGAAAGTTCTCCAAGCTCAGAATGTGGGCTTACCACTGTTCTCAGAGCAGCGTCTATCGGACTCTTCAAGTATTAAGGATGAGTCACTTCTCTCGTTACTCCTCTCGGCTTTTCGGCTGTTAAGTTTCGATGCGGACACATTTTCACCCTATGTATTTCCTAGCCAGCTTCAAGCTCTGTTCTCACATACAAATAATGCCATACGCTGCATGGCAGTCCGCTGCTTCTGTCTGCATATAAAGGCTGCAGATGCCATTTTAGAGAACATGCTTCACCGTTATTGCGGTGACGGCCCTCTTGACAATACCTGGGAGGGCCAGGTTATTGATTTCAGATTGATCAGCTTCTGGGAGGAACAAAGATATAAAGATTTTGAAGCAGCTCTTGATTATGCCCGTCAAAACCGCAACAGAAGCTTTTTCGCGCTATGGATCAAGCATTTCCGGTCATCAAATTATACGGCAGAAATTGGTGGCGTTCTTGTTCCTACTCTGAAGCAGAACACTAATTCTCAGCCATTCAAACTGGTACACACGCCTGCTGTTGAGGGCAATCTGCGCCAGGTGGGAGAAGCACTCCTATCCCAGGATCCTTTATTACTCATTGGACAACCTGGGGCTGGGAAAACGTCTCTGGTAATGGAAGCTGCAAGTGAAATGGGCATATCATCCTCAATGATAACCCTACATTTAAACGAACAGACAGATTCAAAAAGTTTACTAGGTGTATACTCCACTTCAGGACAAAGTGGCAGTTTCAAATGGCAACCGGGAGTCTTGACCCAAGCTGCAAGGGAGGGAAGGTGGGTATTAATTGAAGACTTAGATCGTGCACCCGCCGAAGTGATTTCAGTCATATTACCCTTGATTGAGAACAGGGAACTTGTTATTCCGAGTCGTCGAGAACACATTCGTTGTGCCGAAGGATTTCGCATTATCGCAACAATGAGGTCCTTTTTGAATAGTAGAGGGGATGATGTGGCGCCAGGGATGACAATGTTGGGCGGCCGTCTGTGGAAAACGATTCGGATATCACCCTTGCCAGTGGAAGAGATCTCACAAATAATCAAGAATGAATTCCCTCTACTTGACATTACCCGATATGCTGATACTTTCTTAACACTCTATTCCCGAATTATCTCCACCTCCCTTGGACCTGGGATGTCTAGGCGAGTACAAGGAAGACCAATTGGCCTCCGCGATTTGATGAAATTTTGCAACAGGGTCGAAACCCGGTTACGAAAGCTAGGGATTAACAAGGGGAATGAGTCGGTACCGGCTCGGATAGACGACGAAATTTTCATGGATGCTGTTGACTGTTTTGCAGCTCATATCCCAAATAATGAGCTCCGCTTAGCACTTGCAAGCAACATCGCTGAAGAAATGCATATTCCTCCACAGAAATGGAAATTTTGCCTATCAGAACGTGTGCCAACTTATTCTGATGAGCTTTCGGAATTATTTATTGGAAGGGAAATCTGCTCGAAGATAAAGTCACGGAGTATGGCAGGGGTAAAGGCTAATCAAACTAAATCTTTTGCAGCGACGAAGAGTTCGCTACGGCTCATGGAACAAGCTGCTGCTGCCCTTCAAGTGTCAGAGCCCATATTACTCGTTGGGGAGACTGGTATTGGTAAGACCGCCGTCGTTCAACAACTAGCGGCACTCCTAAACCAGAGATTGACAGTTGTCAATTTATCCCAACAAAGCGAGGCTTCGGATCTTCTGGGAGGGTACAAGCCTGTTAATCTTCGATCTATAGCAATACCGCTGGTGGACGAATTCAATGCCTTGTTTGAATCAACGTTCTCGGTCAAGAAAAACCAGAAATTCCTATCTTCCGTTACAAAGAGTGTTGCTGCTGGAAATTGGCCTCGTCTAGTCAATGTGCTAAATGAGGCCGTCAAAATGGTTTCGGACTTATTTGGTACCTCCAAAAAAGCCCAAGCAGATCTCAAAGAGGCAGCAGAACAACCAACGAAAAAGAGGAAGCTTGATGGTCCAAAATATAGCGCATTATTGACAAAATGGTCCTCATTCACCTCGGACTTGAGGGAGTTTGAAGCCAGAGTTCTACAGGGGGATGTCAAATTTTCATTCGCTTTTGTTCAAGGAAAGATTGTTAAGGCCTTGAGAAATGGGGAATGGGTGCTTCTAGATGAGATCAACCTTGCATCACCTGACACTTTAGAAAGTATTGCAAGTTTACTGCACCATGGGCGAGATGGTAATCCTTCAGTACTGCTCTCAGAAGCTGGCGAAATGGAACGAGTTATTGGTCATCCAAGTTTCCGAATCTTTGGAGCCATGAATCCTGCCACGGATGCAGGGAAGCGTGACCTTGCACCTGGGTTGAGATCGAGATTTACAGAGCTCTATGTCAGATCTCCAGACAGCGACATAGACGACCTGCTCAGTCTGATACGTACCTACCTTGGCCTCTTGCTGAATCATGATTCTCGCGTTGCCTCGGATCTTGCAAATGTCTACCTCGAAACAAAACGATTAGCTATGGAGAATCAACTGACTGACGGTGCTGGTCATAGGCCTCATTTCAGTATCAGAACTCTTGTCCGCACTTTAATGTATGTGACTGATCAGGCGCATGTATATGGAGTTCGTCGTGCTACATATGAAGGCTTCTCTATGAGCTTTTTAACGCTTTTGAGCAAGGATTCTGAACGTCTGGTTATCCCTTTGCTGGAGAAACATATATTCGGAAAAGTTGGGAATGCAAGGTCCATACTATCCCAAACACCCCGAGAGGTCAATGATGGGGCGGCTTATGTTCAATATAAGCATTATTGGATGCAAAAGGGTGATTTCCCACCTGAGTCTCAACCTCACTACATCATTACCCCTTTTATTGAAAGGAATCTTATGAATCTTGTCCGGGCCAGTTCAACTCGGCGATTTCCTATTCTATTACAAGGACCTACGTCCTCTGGAAAAACCAGCATGGTTGAGCACCTTGCCAAACTTTCCGGAAACCGATTTGTAAGAATCAATAACCATGAACACACGGATCTTCAGGAATATCTTGGTTCTTACGCTACTTCTGAAGACGGCACTCTAAAATACCAGGACGGCGTCCTTGTCGAGGCATTGAAAAGAGGATACTGGATTGTACTTGACGAACTGAATCTTGCACCTACTGACGTTCTTGAGGCCCTAAACCGTCTACTTGATGACAACAGGGAACTTTTCATCCCCGAAACGCAAGAAATAGTTCACCCACATCCTAACTTCATGTTATTTGCTACTCAGAACCCTGCTGGCCTTTATGGAGGAAGAAAGGTATTGTCTCGTGCATTCAGGAATCGATTTCTTGAACTGCATTTCGATGACATACCAGAAGACGAACTCGAGTTTATCTTGAAAGAACGTTCACAGATCCCACCTTCATTCTGCACCCGGATTGTCTCCGTATATCGACAGCTATCTATCCTACGCCAGTCGAATCGGCTTTTCGAGCAAAGAAATAGTTTTGCGACCCTCCGTGACCTATTTAGATGGGCAATGAGGCGTGCAGATGACCGGGAACAGTTGGCTGTGCATGGTTTTATGCTTCTTGCCGAAAGAGTCAGGAATCGCCAGGAGAGGGATGCTGTGAAAAGAGTAATAGAAAAGGTCATGGGCGTGAGGCTAGATGAAACCGAGATATACAGTAAATCTGTTGTTGAATCACGCCTGAAACATTTGTCTTCAGCAGTTTCATCTAATATTGTCTGGACACCCGCCATGAGGAGGCTCTTTATTCTTGTGTCTGAAGCTATTGAGCATAATGAACCTGTTCTCCTAGTCGGGGAGACTGGGTGTGGTAAAACTCAGATATGTCAGGCAATTGCAGAAGCTTATGGCAAAGAGCTTTTTATTGTCAACGCTCATATCAATCTGGAAACAGGAGACCTTATTGGCTCACAACGACCTATAAGGAACCGAGCTTCAATCATTCAGCAACTTGAGGTGGATATACCCCTAGTCTTAGAACAAGCCCATGAAAATCATACTGGACCATTTACCTCCTTTGATGGCCTGAAAAGCGCGTTCTATGCTGTGGAGAATTCGGCCTTAGGCCATTGTGACCCAGACCTTATCCACAAAATTAAGACCAATATAACAAGAGCAAATTCTCTTTTTGAATGGTCTGATGGAAGTTTAGTCAGTGCCATGAAAACTGGACAGCATTTCCTCCTTGACGAGCTGTCTCTCGCAGACGATTCTGTCCTAGAGCGGCTTAACAGTGTGCTGGAAACTACAAGGACTGTACTCCTTGCTGAGAAAGGGCCCGTTGACTCTCTTGTAACTGCTGCTGATGGCTTTCAATTCCTCGGTACTATGAACCCTGGTGGTGATTACGGGAAACGAGAGCTTTCTGCTGCGTTGAGGAATCGGTTGACAGAGATTTGGGTTCCGGAACTTTTAGAGGATGACGACATACTGCCCATCCTAAAGGCGAAAATCAAATCACCTCTGCATAATGTGCCTCAAGGGATGGTATCGTTCGCAAAGTGGTTCAAGGAAAAATTTCGAGGTTCAGCGCAATCTTCAATATCAGTACGCGACTTACTAGCGTGGGTGGAATTTATCAACTCTTGTACCCAACTAGATTCCCATTCCGCTGTTATACACGGTGCCTGTCTTGTCTATATCGATGGCCTTGGTGCAAACCCATCTGCATTAATAGCATCTACCTCAGGTGACATTGAGAGAGACAGAGTCTCATCCTTAGAAAAGCTTGGGGCGCTATTTTCGGTTGACGCCCTATCAATCTATGCTCAGAACTCGACTATGCAACTTGATGGAAATAACTTGAAAATTGGTCAATTCTCTCTATCTCTTGGTCCTAATTCGAACCCAGATTCCAAGTTTGCACTTGATGCGCCCACGACGCTGTCCAACACGATCCGTGTTGCGCGTGGACTTCAATCCAGCAAACCAATTCTGTTAGAAGGAAGCCCAGGAGTTGGAAAGACAACACTCGTTTCAGCATTGGCCCAGGTAATTGGGGTACCGCTTACACGAATTAATCTGTCCGAACAGACTGATTTAACAGATCTATTTGGATCTGACGTACCCGTAGATGGAGGCGACATTGGTAGCTTTGCATGGAGCGATGCACCGTTTTTGCGTGCCATGCAACATGGCGGTTGGGTTTTATTGGATGAAATGAATCTAGCCTCACAATCCGTGCTCGAAGGACTAAACTCTTGTCTCGACCACCGGCAGCAAATTTATATTGCGGAGCTTGGCCAAACGTTTAAACGACATCCTGACTTTGTCTTGTTTGCAGCACAAAATCCGCACCATCAAGGAGGTGGGAGAAAAGGTCTTCCAGCATCTTTTGTCAACCGATTTACTGTTGTGTATGCGGACTCGTTTACATCGTATGATTTGCAAATCATTTGCCATAGGCTAAGCCCAGCCTGCCCAGAAGATAAAATCAACAAGCTTGTTGAATTTATTACTACACTAAATACAAAGCTACTCACTGACCGTCAGCTTGGAGCCCTTGGAGCCCCTTGGGAGGTCAACCTCCGAGATATCTCTCGTTGGCTAAAACTACTTACTTCCAGCCCTACTGAAATATCGCCTTCGCAGTATCTCGATGTGATCATTTCACACAGGTTCCGGACTACTGCTGACCGGCTATTCATCTCTCGATTATATGAGGATACATTCGGAACTGTCCCTGAAACAAAAAACTACTTCCATAATCTCAGCCCTTACTCGTATCAAGTTGGCCTGGGAAAGTTAGACCGAAATCTACAGTTGTATGAGTTGTCAGTCAATGATTCGAAAGACTTTCCCCGAAGCTTGCATGTCGCCGAGTCAATGATGCTCTGTGTGGAGAATTCCTGGCCCTGTCTTTTAGTTGGGCCATCCGGCTGTGGGAAGACTTCTAGCATCCGACGACTTGCTGCTCTGAGCGGTGCTAAACTTGTGGAACTTGCCCTGAATTCTGATACAGATGCCATGGATCTTATTGGGGGTTTCGAGCAAAGAGATGCTCACCGACAATACCTTTCATTTGCAAGCGAACTAGTTCGCCTTTTAAGATATCACATTGTCACTATCTTCTCCCAGGCGAAAGATAGCAGCTCTGCCATTAGTGAAGAGCTAGTACAATTATACCAAATGACGATGAATAGCTCTTTTACTCCACAAGAGGTCTTGGGGCCCCTCTCTAAAGCAACTCAACACTACCCTGACAAGATATTCCACGCTATTTATGAGCAATGCACGGAAATTTGCGCGGGACGAGCAGATGGAGAGGCCGGGTTTGAATGGACCGAGGGCATTTTGATACATGCTATGAAACAAGGTAGCTGGGTGGTACTTGATAATGCCAATCTTTGCAATGCCACTGTTTTGGATCGGCTGAATTCTCTTCTGGAGCCTAACGGGTGCCTCATTGTGAATGAACGCAAGTCTCCCGATGGCCTCGCACAGGTGGTTACACCACACCCTGATTTTCGATTGTTCTTAACAGTTGATCCGCGACATGGCGAACTATCCCGAGCGATGCGAAACAGATCAATTGAAATTTTCTTTCTCAAAGATGAGATAACCCGCTCACACTTAGCTGGGGCGAGATATTTGAATGAATCTGCCATATACCGTATTCGGGAGTGCCAGAATATGGTTTGTTTCCCTAATTCACTTAGGAGCAATCCTAGATCACTCGGGATTGGGCTTGATCATCTATCCCCTCGGGACATGGAATGTCTTCAGCACTCTATGAAACGATTTGCACAACTGTGGTCTAAAGACTCGGCCATGACACCGGAAAACGCAGAATCGTTGTTTGAGAGCTACAATACTCTCCTGTGTCGTGGCGCGCTTGTTGGTCGATTAGTAGGCCCCGACTCCGGTGGAATTATTGCGTGCCAAAACGTCAATAACCAAGAAAAGATTGAGGTCCGTATTCCTTACCCATATATAGACGTCTGTTTAACATTATAATAGCCTATTCATCCACTTGTCAATGAGCCACGGCTTGTGTTTTCTCTATCAATAGGGAGTTATGAGACCAAGCTCTCTCAAGCAGCAAGGTTGCAAGAACTTCAACTACAAACCGTCCAGTTTTACCAGCAACTTTTGCAGACGGAAATTGCTTCAATGGGTAAAAAATCGGGGGAAATGAGCCTCATAGAACGATCGATTACGTCTGGAACCATACAGTCGCATTTGAAAGATTCCACCCAGCCAGTTTCTAGTTTCCTATACGGCTGCTGCAATGCGCTAAGCGAATGCCTGGAGTCGTTGATATTGGAATCATGTCCCGGCGAGGCCCCTCATCTACTCGAAGAAATTTTGAATTTTTGCTGGGACATTTTTCAATTAACCCAATGCCATCTCTTGGATGATGCTATCTTTCTGACATATCTTCTTATTGGAAAAAGCATCATTGTTAAGTTTGATAATCTGCAGCTCAACCTTGGAAATCAGTTTAAAGAGCTTCTAGCCTCGTTCAACGCCAACTGGAAATTGAGCAGTGGGGAGAGCATGCAACGTATGTGGAATGCGTGGCGTCCTGCCACGCCTACCGATCCCAGCCAATTGGAACGGGGGACACAGTTCCAGGAGCTCCGAGCTAGATATGATCGGATAGCTTTGAAATCGCGGGTCCCAATCCATGAGCTGGGCCGGCTTTATGACCTATTCATCCACGCCCAAACTTCCATTTTACGAGGTGCGGATAGCACGTCCCTGTTGCCTGTAGGTTAATGCGGTTTATTCCTGATATATTTTTCCATATTCTTCTTACTGATGATTTCCTTCAGGAATTGAATACAATAATAAGTCGTTTTGAGGCACAATCTTTGAAATGTGATGTCTATGACTCTCCTCACTTTGCTAAAGAGTTTGAAGCATTATGCCAATATAATGATCTGATAGAGGCTGGGTCCTCACATCCTGGACTGCTCCCCGGATCTATTAAACTACTAGCTGGGAGAGAATCCTGTCCTGGTGACATATCGGCCATTGCTAGTGCAGTCCCTGGACTACTGTCTAAACTTACGCAATACTTGGGAAGCCAAAATTCTAACTACGGCCCATTGGCATTACTTGGAGATATCTCCAATTCTCTTGTCCAGAAATTTGAAGACATCGACCAGGTCCCTCTTGGCCAGATGGACCTTCTAGGATCCGAAATTAACCTCCTATTGAATGGGCTAGCCGCAAACACCTCTCAACTATGTACCCATCAGCCTACTATCCTTGGGTATCAGATGGTAGAGTTATTGAAGGAGTTTATACGTTGTCATGCTGACTTGGCAGATCAAGGCTCTCTAGATACAGCGATGCAAAGGTTGCAACAACTGTGCACAGGAGGATGCGACGGTTTACAATTTGCTAGTTCGACCGGCCAAAGCTATCTAGGAGTTCCAGAAAATGTATTCTTCGATTTTCTAGGGGATAAAATTCCAGTTTTACTCGGAAATTTTGGCAAGACGCAAGCTAGTGAAGAGGCTATCGGTCAACTTGGAGAGCTTTTTGTCAGGCTGTCTCTGGTATTGCTACACCGTTATGTCCCAAACCGGCCATTTGATCCCTCCCTTCGCCTGGCTGTTGAGCATAAGCTCCATTTGCAGAGGCAGGATGAAAAGGCCACTAGATTGGATTGCCTCAAGACATGTGAGCTTTTGTTTTCTGGTCAAACATTGACCTTAAGAATTCGAGGTGCAAAAGAAGATCTCGCTCGTCTTGGATCCGTACCCCCGAATACTCCAGTGACCCGCCCTGGGATCTCAAAACTGCATGAGGTGCAAGCCCAATTCACCAGCATTCTCACCTCTATCTTGAATCAACCCGTTGACCATATCCTCTCAGCCTCTCAAAATTCTAATACCAGATCAGTCCCCGAGGATATAACTTCCCAAGCGTCAGGGACGCTGCTCCAACTTAACATCCGCCAGATTGTCCGTCGTCTTACCCAAAACTGCCCTGGATACGAGGACATAACCATACTACCTGTCAGGTTCCTCCAACTCCTAGATCAGGGAATTGAGTTGATCCGTCAAAGCTCCGCATGTTCTACCCAATATTCGTCCATAATCCAATATCTTTGCGCGGCAACCCCTTTCTTGGGATCAAGGTTGCCAGATCTATCACTCGCTGTGGGTTCTTTTCCAAATGGACCCCAAGGCGCAACAACAGAGGTAGACATTCAGAGGCTTCTGCTACTAGGAGCTGCTCAAAATATTGATAAACAGACTCTCTCAGATTGTTCTCAAAAGGAAATGTTACATGGCATCCTTGACCGAGCGTATTCCTCGTGGAAAGAGAAGCTAGAAAAGGACCAATCCCTGGAAGCAGAGAAGTCCAAGTTTTACCATTACAGAGGGTCCTTTGAACACGATGAGGAGTCGGAATCTGCGGAAATGCTTCAGATGTTCCCTACCTATGATGATGACCACGATGAGGTCGGCAACGAAACCGAAAATAACAAGCTTCATGCTGACAGGCTTCGTATGAAATTTTTCATAGCCTTCAGAGACCTCTTCGTGTCTAACAACAGGACTTCCCGCTTAAGGAATGTAATCAGCGAGGGTCTTCGCTTGGTCGGGTCATTATCCCGTAGGTTAGGGGTAACAATACCGCAGGTCGATCTCAAGTTCCACCTTGGGCCCATTTTCCTACTCATGGAAGACATTCATCGACCAAGCAAACCTGCTAACTACAACTTTTACACTGATGCCAATCTAGAAGAAGTAAATAAGTTTGCTTCTCTTGTTCAGAAAGTGCAAGTTCGCTTTTTGCAGCTACAAGAATCCTGGCCTGAGCATGCAACCCTTGCCGATGTCATTGAATGGTGCTCTAAAATCTTCAAGTATCGTCATGGGGAGCCACTTGCTAAATTTATAACAATGGCAGAGAAGCTTCACGGACATGTGCATGAATGGCAAACAGTTGCAAGCAAAGAGTTTTCTGCAGCCGACTGCTATAATGACCTGACCTCGACGCTAATCCACTGGAGACGCCTTGAGCTATCTACCTGGTCCCGTTTGCTCGACGTGGAAGACGAGAAATGCCTAGAACAAGCTGCATCCTGGTGGTACATGGCATACGAGGTCATCATAGCAGTTCCACTACAATTAATACAAGAAAAGCAGCCACTAGACAGCCACATTTCAGGCCTCCTGTCGACACTGGAGAAGTTCCTACATGCTACCTCTATGGGCCAGTTCTCATCCCGCATTGACCTCATCGATAAGTTCAAGCAACTCCTGGTCCTCTATTCCCCTGACCTTCCAGCTTTGAGTCAAGTGATCTCAGCGCTTGATAACCTTCTCGGTCACTATGGTCCTTTCACTTCTCTAGTCCAAACCTCCTTAAAAGATGGACGGCAAAAACTGGAGAAGGAGTTAAAGGAACAAGTTCAACTAGCAAGTTGGAAAGATACAAACATCACAGCACTTCGTGAAAGTGCTCGTCGGTCTCACCATAAACTGTTCAAAATCATCCGGAAGTATCGTGCACTACTGGCGCAGCCCTGCGAGGAGCTTCTTGCAAGAGAAATCCCAGAACTGACTCTGGACACCCAGAATATGGCAGTCTCTCAAACTCATCCTCCCCAGGCTGTGAATCCTGTTGCATTAAGCCTTTATCAGCAAAACCAAGAGCTGTGGAGCCAGCGACCGGCTCGGTTTCAAGCTCCAGATGCCACCGCTACACACATGTACCAGGTTTATGAAAACGCCTTGCCAGGGTTTGAGGCTACTACTGAACTTGAAGCCATTATGGCCGACGTGGTTTCGTCCATCTCCGACTTCAAAAGGCGAACACCCAAGACCCTGACAGAAGAGAACAAGGATGAAGTCCAACATCTCAAGACCCAAAAACGAAGTTTCTATGCTGCAAAATTAAAAGAGCTCCGTCATATGGGTCTCAGATCAAATCTTGGAACAGATTTACTGGACAAGCAAAGCTCCGTTAGTCTTGTTCTCGCTACTACGTCTAGCTTTAGCGTCCCTCACTTGGCCCCCTTGTCCGTGAGCGCAGACAAATACTTCCACCGTTTCCTTCATATAGTTCCAAGCATACGTCAAGCGGCACGAAACTACTCTGAAGACTTGAGCAATGTTGAAGCTGGTCGGAGTGCTGGATTTACGGAAGGGCTTCTATACCAGATAATGAGGCAAAGGGAGGCATTATCCCCCGCATTAGCTTCAATCGAGTGTCTAGTTAACAACGTCAAGTTAGCTACCGCTATTTCAAGCAGTCCAGCAGTGACTACGCTTCTCAGCGAAGCATCATCCAACCCACAGCGCACAATATATCACGCTCTTAAATGGCTGCCAACAATCATTGAGCTGTCTTCAACGATTATCAACATTCATAGCAGGCACTCTTCTGTCGACTCCTCGGCAGTCGTATCATCTTTGGGTTCATGGGGAAAGTCTGCAATCTTGTTACAGAATCGTCTTATCGACCTTCCAACTCTTCCTGATGGATTATCCTCTAAATCTCATCAGGACATAGTCGTGGATGCCGAAGATTTGCTGGCCAGTATGAAATCTGAAATACTGACTTTCATGAAAACTCAACCCGAGATTGCCTTTGCTCTCAATCAGCTACTTTTTTGGACAGAATGTGACTCTCGAGTCGCTCTACAATCGAAGCCTGACGATTCCTCCATTACTTCAGTAAAGGATGTTGACTCGTCTATCCTCGTTGCAATGAATGCAATACTTGTGACCGTACAAAGAGTCCAGGGTTCTTTCTCTAATGCCCCCATCTCAACCGAGGCTCCCGCCTGGTTATCCAAAACTGATGCCTCGTTTTCCAAGGCTCTCTCTGAACTCCACATTGATGATATTTCCTCTAAACTGGAATCGGCATTTGATGTGATTGGAAATATTTCCGATCATCACGAGTTGAGCATTGCAGTTGCTGGGGTCGGTATTAGCTTGCCGATATTAGAACAATATCAGGCCATCTGCTTGGACCTTGTCAATCGATATGTCGCCTTCCATCATTCTCTGTGCAAATTGGGGTACACTCTGGGTAAATCGTTCAAGCAGGTCGCCTCAGAAGGGTTTTGCAGCCCTTCTGAACCGTCCGATCAGCAAGGCCAGCAGAGCGATAAGGTGGAAAGCGGTACTGGGCTTGGAGAGGGTGAAGGGGCGGAGGACATAAGCAAAGACGTCCAGGATGATGAGGACCTTTCGGAGCTTGCCCAGCAGAAACAAGAAGATGGTGAAAAAGAGGATATAGAAGGGACAGATGATGCAGTCAACATGGATAATGAAGAATTGGAGGGCCAGGAGGGTGATTATTCCAAAGACGACGAGGAAGAGGAAAAGGACAAATCGGATGCTGATGAAGGTGACGATGATGACTTAGACGAAGAAGTTGGGAGTGTTGACGGCTGGGATCCTTCAGCGGTAGATGAAAAGATGTGGGACGGTGCAAATGATAAGGAACAGAAAGACACCGAGAACAACGAGAGCAAAGGGGAGGAAAAAGCAGAGGACATGTCCGCTGCCACAGAGCAGCGCAAGGAAGATGAATCAGCCAAGAAGGAAGCTGATGAGGAACATGAAACCGTTGAGAGTGATGAGGAAGCACCTGATGACGAGAAGGAGGGCGTAGGTCGCGAAGATATGGATGTGACCGATCCCCATGCGCAGGAGAATGAGGTTCTTGATTTACCAGAAGATATGGACCTGGATGGCGAGAAAAAGGAGGATGAAGGCTCCGAGGCGGATGATGGTATGAGTGAGATGTCTATGGAAGATGCTGCTGATCAAGATGACCTTCCGGAGGATACCAAGGAAGACAACCCAGATGCAAGGCCGGAAAGCCCTGATGTTGACATGGCGGAGAACCTAGAAGACGATCATGTGGATGAAAATGGCCAACAGGAAGAAGGGGCTGGTGAACAAGACCCAGAACCTCAGGCAGATGCTGGTGAGGATGAAGATAAAGAGGATATTATACCAGTCGAAGATGAGCAACAAAAGGCCGACCCCGACAACACTGCACCCAGTGACCAGGTTTCAGCTGGCGTCGAACAAGATCAGAGCAATGAAAAAGGCACATCCGGAGACGCAGCCCTTGATCAGCCAGCGAATAAAATGGAAGAGGATGGTGAGGGGGAGAGTAAAGGGGTTGAAGAACAGGGTCAACAGGGGAAGCAGTCTAACCAGGAAGCCGGTGATGGAGGTAATGATGAGAAGCAAGATCCACAGCTTCAGGCATTCAAGAAGCTCGGTGATATTCTTGAACAATGGCATAGGTCTCACCGTGAAATACTGGAGGCTTCTGAGAAGGAGAACGAACAAACTCAGGATCAGGACATTGCAGACAAAGATGTAGACTTTGAACATCTAGCTGATGAACAGGATACTGCAGATACCCAAGCCCTCGGCCAGGCAAATGAGGAGCAGTCTCAAGCAATGAATCAGTCTCAGGCAATAGAATCTGACTTCAAACCTCAAGACAATGAGTATCTACCAGATGCACAGGAGATGGAAGACAACAGCAACGTCAACAATCTTGAGGACCTGATGGATGTTGATGTTCCGGTTGTATCGACTGACCAGCAACAACCTACTACATCCATCTCACGGTCTGGTAATGGTATAGATTCCTCCTATGCGGATGAGGGTACCACAGCACAGGAGAAAGACGAGCTCGATGATGTTGATAACCATCTTTCCATCATTAACATATCATCCGATCTTACCCCCCTGACACCTCCAGATGAAGCTCGTCGGCTGTGGACTCATTACGAGTCTATTACGCATGAGCTTTCCCTATCCTTGACGGAACAACTACGCCTTATTCTTGCGCCAACCATGGCAACCAAACTCAGGGGCGACTTCAGAACAGGCAAGCGGCTGAACATAAAACGTATTATCCCTTATATTGCCTCTCAGTATAAGCGTGACAAGATATGGATGCGTCGATCCGTACCTTCGAAGCGCAATTATCAAATCATGCTCGCAGTAGATGATAGCAAATCCATGCTTGAAGGTGCGAGCGGCCAGCTTGCATTCCAGACTCTCGCTTTAGTTGCAAGGAGTTTGAGCATGCTAGAGACCGGTGATCTGTGCATTGTCAGTTTTGGAAACGAGGAACACATCCGTGTTGCCCATGACTTTGGAAAGCCGTTCTCCTCCGAAGCCGGGTCACAGGTATTCCAGCACTTCAGCTATAAACAAACCGGCACAAACGTACGGCAGCTCATTGCAGATTCTATTGCTCTTTTCCGCGAAGCTAGAGCCAAGAGGCCATCCTCATCGTCTTCGGGTGATTTGTGGCAATTGGAGTTGATTATATCCGACGGCATTTGTGAAGACCATGACAGAATTGCTCGCCTCGTCCGCCAGGCGCATGAAGAGCGTATAATGCTTGTTTTTATTATTGTTGATGCAGTTCAGGAAGAGAGCCGTTCGATTATGAACCTCTCCCAGGCAACTTTTGAATCCAGCGGATCCGGGCCTGGCGAGGGAAAGTGGAAGATGAAGAAGTATCTGGATGGCTTTCCGTTCCCTTATTATTTGATTGTAAGAAATGTTCAGGAGTTACCGGCTGTTTTGTCTTTGGCGTTAAAACAATGGTTTGCAGAGGTGGTGGAAATATCCTCATAAAAGTTTAGACATATTCCCCTTGTTTGTATTATAGCGTATACTAGCTATAGAAATATTTTCAAACTAGACTTAGGCCTTTGTTCAATCTTCTACTATGATACCGTATACAATACCCTAGATACTCTCGAAATTCTCTAAAGGTCTAGCCTTGAACTGTAAGTACTGTTTATCCATTATTCTCATCAACACGATGTACTATCTAATAATGGCCGCCTGGTGTGGTATACTCCCGGATTCTAGCAGCCAATCGCTCTATATCCGAGGCCGACTTTCCTCCCACGCCAATTGCTCCACAGCTTAGTTTCATCGAATCATCATACGACCAGGCAATTATGAGGAGGCTTCCTCCTTGGAATTCGTTGTAGAATGCCTTTTCGACCATCTCCCGAGAACAGGTAAAAAATCCTGTCACTGTTGAAGCCACGTCAAGACCTCTTCTGGTGAAATGGCCTTTAAGGAAACCTAGATGGCAGAGCCCCGTTAATCGAACATTTAGATCAACAACGTATTGATTTCCTTGACTGTCTGTCAGGACATCAACTCCCGCCGGACCATAGTACCCCTTTTCATGTAGAAATTGGGCAGTCTTCTCTATAGTCGTTGCGTATTTCTCCTCCAGCGCCGGTTGGTCAGGGTATGAGATGGAGCCGCCTGACCAGCGCCCCTCTTTATCAAATTCTTGATCGAAGCACCCAACGAAGATACAACGTCCAGTCTGTGTGACGAAAAACGACAATGCTACCTCTGTTCCTGCAACGAAGTTCTGGAAGATCAGAGAACAAGGGTTGAGATGGTAGTTGGCAACGTTGATCTGTTTCAGCATAACACGCATATGAGTGCTGAGTATGGCCTTCACCCGTACTCTATCGTCATCAGAAAGGATTGCAAAAGTACCCATAGCCGCCACAGATTGGGGTAACTTCACTACAAATGGTGTATGGTAGGTGTCGATAAGTTCAAGCATGCGTGCAATCTCCCGTCCCATTTTGGTATCATCCTTCAGCTGATCGAGTGGGAGAGCCACATCAACCACAGTGGATGGCGGCGTGGGCAATCCAGAAACTGCGAGTCCTCGCTTTGCTAGAATACAAAAATGCACGTCTGGGTCAACGATATGAAGTAGAGGCGCAAACGGATCAATTGGAACTACCACGGCCACAGGTACACTTGGTGGTAGATTGATTTGGTCAGCTCTCTTCACAAATGTGAGAGCAGGTTGCTGGTCGTGTCGCATCGTTGATAGGTGCCTGTACACATCCGCCTTATCCGCTGGTAGAGCTTCTGTGTCTTGCTCATTCTGGGAGTACGCAAAGTCCATGACGAAAACTGGCATTTTCCCAGCCAGAAACACGCGCCGCTCAGTCTGACTCCTCGTCAACAGTATCAACATCTTGTCCGAACCTTCTTGAGCCGCCAGGTGGTAGACGTATTTGGCGGAAGGTATCATGGCATAGTCCTCCACCGGCTGAGAGTCGTAAACCAGGGCGGGAATAGGGGATCCATCGTTGTCGATGGAGTAGAGGTCGTGTAATGTGTAGTCCAGCACCACCTGGGTATTGATAGTCATTTTTCCTAGCCGTTCAGTCTAATTCACACCTGAATAATGTGTAATAACTGACCTGAGGGGCATTGGCGGGCCTTTTAGCTCATAACTAAAGCAAGGATGACAAGTCAAGTTCCGTTTTTCCTTCCCCTTGTCGGTATCGTCCCGTAAACATCCTATCCTTGTACTTTCCCTGAACCCACTTACTGCTCCGTCATGAGCCGAAAAGCCATGATGCGGCAAACTCCATATATCCGCCAGTCATAATAATATAAGCGAAGAGATCAAATGTATGGGTAATTGATACTGTTTGTTCGATTAAATATTCAATAGAATACATGTAGTTACTTAAGCAGCAAGCATGCTTAAATAAGTGAGAAGAGTGAATTAGACTATGTGATAGAGCATCCTGATTTAATACCCGCTACGCCTTGCATATGAGTATTGATCCGGTTTGTAAAACATCTCGGTGTGATTCAATAACCATAACTTAATTGTTGAAATGGAATATCGTTAATGTTTCTTAATAACTATAGCCAACACACATACCTGGAATATATCATCCAGTAAAATTTTTGATCTTACGGTAACCCTCTAACATTGATCGTATAGAAGAGTATAGGCAACGTATACAATTTGGCATAAACTATAACGAGTCTTCAGTTTAGTAACTTGATTGCTCTACGTCACGGATAACCTGAACGAATATAAAACAGTTGGAACACTTTCGCCTATAATATTTGCAAGATCCCCTTGTATATTTACAACCCCACTCAGTAAGCAACGCTTTTAAGCACCAATAAGATTGTATACAATAGCAGTATCCTTTATTAGTTGCTCCAAGTATCGAAGGGCAGAAATTCTTATCTGATCAAAGGTGGGGTGAAAAATAAGGTTCATAAACCCTAAACAAGATTTAGTCAGGTAAATCTTATCAGATAAGATAATCTCAATCAAGTTCATAAACTGCAAGGTGCCCGGGTGAATAGAGTACTACCTAGGCACGTAGGTGTATTCAAGAGCCTACAGATGACATTATGAAGAGCAATTTAAGGATAAAGCTATAAACAAACAATGATGTAATTTTACCAACCATATTTTGCACTCGCCTCTTTCTTATTCCGCTTTCCAGCAGCGAAACTTTCCTCCAGTGCTTCGCCCTGGCTTGCCACTGCATTGACGAGCTGATGCAAGCTGTGCTTACCAGGCGCAACGGTCCTAACAGGTCTATGTTGTTGAGCGGCAAGCTCAGCTTCAGATGTGTTGGCTAGGTATGCTGAATTGGACTTGTACTCTTCATCCGTGTTGAAATTAATCACTTTACTAGACGCCCCTTTTAGATCACGCCCTAGTAGCTGTCGCATTTGTGCCTTCGAAAGGTTTAGGTCGCTGGCAACACTGGCAAGATCTTGTGGTCTACTGGAGGCCGTAGGTGCATATGAGTTGTCGCTAACTGCGGTGCTTGTGCCTCTCGAGTCATCTGGTGTCTCAGCTTCAGCTACCGCTGACGGTTCGGACGACCCTGTATATAGCATAGATTCGTATGGTGTGTCTTGAACGGGGGGATCGGTGAATGGAGTATTTTCGGCAGTTCTGGAAAGCCCAAAGAGGCTTACTTTCGGTTTCGCTTCTGGTTGTACGGGAGGTTGAGGGTTTTCAACCGGGGCCTTTGGGGTCAGAACAGGCAGGGAGGTCGTCGTGGTCTTCTTCTTCGGTTTATTTCTAGCCACAGATAGTGGTTTGAACATCATCGAATTGCCTTTCTTCTCAAAAACAGGCTCTGGTGCCGGCGGCCTAGAACCCGCGTCCAAGGGAGTTTGTCCAGCATCCTGGCCGCTGGACGGTTTGCCGAACTCGTCATAAGATGTATTGAAGGTATCCGATTTTTCACTCCTGTCAAATCCAGGCTCTGCACTTGTCTTTAGAGTGAAGGGTTTTGATTTCTTTAGCCCGGCCTGTGTTTTATCGCCAGACTTCTGCACTGCTCCTGATCGTTTTGGCGCAGGGAGCAAGTCGTTGAACCCAGAGAACAGCCCACCACCTCCAGTACGTAGTCGTTTCCTGGCAGGGCCATCCTCTTTACCCTGCCCTGAATCTATTTCATCGTTAGGTTTTGTTTCTGAGAGGTTCACAAGGATTTTTCTGCGGTTGCCACGATCAACCAGCGGTTTGAACGTGGGTTTGGAGGTTGAGCTCGGAGGCTGGCGAGGAGGCTTAGATTGCTCGACTGGCTTCGTCTCGGTATCGGAGTCGCCTTCTGAGTCTGAATATGTAACCAAAGCCATTGTAGATACTATGCAGTAGCTGTTGTTTCGATTGTTCTCGATGCTGTCAGAGAGTTGAAAGCCGCAAGCTGATAACTAACTCCTGTCCACTTGAGCCGCGTCACGTGTCGCTTTTTGGATCTTTAATTTTTGATCCAGGCATCAACAACAAGAGAACAACACAAGATACAACGATGCTATCATGACTAGTGATACCGAACTCCTAGCCCCAACCTTTGTTTCTAAACCTTCTGTCGCAATGATAGATATCGGGGAAGCCTGTTTTCACCCAAAGCCACCGTCATAAGGCTTATAGCCGCCAACAGTCCCAGTGATGGATGGAACCACATCCAAAAGCGAGGCCCATGGCCATGACAAGCCTACGGATGGAGCTGATACTATTCCCAAGGGCGATGAATATCGAGCATCACGACCTGGTAAGGTCAGGTTGAAATCCACACATTCGTCCAGCCGGAGATCCCGCGATAAAAAGCGATCGCGCGAGGAAGACGACCCTCATGAACATGGCAGACACCGACACCACCATCATCGGCACCGTCGTCGCCGTCATCACAAAGATCCCGAACCAGAGCCAGAGGAATATCGCTCACCACCTGTTTCACCCAACACAGCGTTTCGCGAATCATTATTCGATGCACTTGCCGATGACGAAGGGGCTGATTATTGGCAAGCAGTGTACGGCCAGCCAATACATACATATGCCCGACCAGACGAGAGAGGAGAGTTGGAGAAGATGACTGATGATGAATATGCAGCCTATGTCAGGGCACGTATGTGGGAGAAAACCCATCAGGGGTTAATAGAAGAAAGGGAACGACGGAGGAAAGTTCGAGAAGCTGAAAGGGAGCAGGCCAGGGGATATGGAAGATATTCTGCTAGAGCAGAGACGGAGCGCGAAGCGTTTGATAGGATAGTGGAAGAAAGCCTGAAACGTGGCAAGGAAAGGAAGACTAGAAAAGAGCAGGTGAATATCTGGCTTGATATCTGGAAACGGTATCTTGATTGCTGGGAGAATTTGAATAACCGGGCTCAAGAAGGTCAGGCTTCTTCCAGCCCGGCGGATTCTCTCCGTAACATAATTGTCTGGCCTGTCGAGTCCGGCAAGCGAAAGGATGTAAAAATGGATTCAGTGAAGCAATTTGTGAGCAACGCCCCTGTTCCGAACGGTGGCTCCGAACCAGAACATTCCAGTTCTAGGACATCAAGACATTCGAACATGTTGGCTGTTTTGAAGCTGGAGCGTGTGAGATGGCATCCTGATAAAATACGGCATAGATATGGAGTTTTGGGAGTTGATGATGATATGGTTAAGGCTGCCACTGAAGTATTTCAGATTCTAGATCGGATATGGGTGGAAGAGCAAGCTAAATGATGATACGACATTTACTATGACACTTTTAAGACACCCTACATTCAGCTTGGAGGTTAGACCGCCTTTGGCTACCATTTAACTACCATTATACGTCCATTGCAACTTTATCAAGCATATATAGAAAGTAATCAGGGAAAGGATAAGAACAGTATAATGAAAGAAACCGCTTGTACGAAGCCTAAATGATAACAACGAATGCCTGCCTTGACAATGAGAGAGGTTTTTTTATGGAGCCTGAGAGCACGTATGCCTAGTGTCGGTGTGTATCCAAGAAGGAGGAAAAAAGGGAAGACTATTTAGGTAGCTGGGTGTAGGTGATTATATCGACTGTATGATAATAAAGGCGATATCCAAATTAGAACCGTCTGCTCACAGCAGTGCGGTAGGCAGTCCATCCAACATATCCTCCAATCACAACGGCGAAGAAGAGTATGACCTTGAAGAGGAACCATAGCCAGCTACCACCACTTTTCGAAGCGTGGTATGCCTGCTCCTTCTGGGCGTTTCTCTGGTTAGCAGACTGAGCCATCTGGCCTGGGCCGGTGCTGTCACTGCCTTGCTTAGTGTAGAGGGAGAATACGTCGACTTCAAGAATATCATGGGTATCACTGAGTTCGCCTGTTTCAGCGCTAAACCCGAGATAGGCGGCGGCTGGTAGGTTAATCGGAGAGTCGGGCTTGGATTGGACCTTGAAGCAGGAGGTCCAGGCCATGTCTGACTTGTACTGCAAGTCGAGAGCGAGATATTTATCCTGGAAGTAGGTAAGACGAAGCTTTGTGGGGTATGAGGAGCCGCGAATTCCCCGAGCCTAGAAGACGTAGTTGGTTAGGGTAATGTGCTCTCCACAGTAGGAATATTTATTATTCTCATACCGAGCATGATGCAAGTTCGTTGGCTTGACCATCTCTAGCTTGGTCGTACGGAGTCTTGCCATCACCAAGCATAGCCATAACCAGTGGGAAAGTCATTCCTTGTCGACCATTCTTATAGGTATCAATGAATATGCCTAGGCCCTTGAATCTATCCGCCGATCCAAAAACCGGGCCTTGGTTTGCACGACCTTCCGTGAGCCACAGAGCCATGCCGTCACCGTGGAGAGTTCCCTCGCCATTGATAGCAAAGTCAACCTCGATCTATATATATAGCAGTATATTAGGGTGAAGGCCGGCAAATCGAATTATCAAGGGTCACCCACCTGCCAGTTGGTTGCAGTGAGGGGTACACGAGAGAAAATCCAGCCACTCTGGGATGGTCGGTCGGCGGTTAAACGAATGTATCTAAGGATATCATCAGCATTCCCCTTCTCGTCCCTTTACTCTGGTGTCGTTCGCCGCAAACGTACCGGTCCGCACGGATAACGGTGTCTCCTCCAAAATCAAACCATCGGTTCGACATATCGGAATCTAGATAAGGCTGTTCCGTCCGATGGGCAAGAATGCGATCCCCGGTCAGCAAATCCATTGTATTCAAGCCATCTGATTATACACTATCCAGATTGATTGAACGCACCGAGGCCAAGCTAAATGATCTCATCTACAGGGAATATCCATTAGCGCATACGCTCTATTCCAACCAATGCGCCTAGGCAAACCACATACCGGCACCCTCTTGGTGGAAGGGTGATTCTCGAAGTCATTCTCGTTTGCCTGGGTGCTAGCATTGGCCACACCAAGCACCGATAGTAATATAAACGGTAACAGCTTCCACGCCATGTTTACGGCCAGTCAAGTAAGGAAACTGAGGAAATAGAGAGAGAAAGAGAAAGAATAAGTCAGATAGGAAAATAATTAGAGAGTGAAGAGAGAGGATCCAAAGGGAGTGTCGTGTGTCACCGGGACATCTGCTTGCTCGAGTAGCGGCGCTTGGGAGGGATGCCTCGGAGTGTACAGGGTCAAACGGAGGCTGCAGCAGGCAATGCTAGTGAAGACGGATCCCTGTAGCCTGGGTCTAGACAATGCCGCAGTAGCAGACCACAAAGGACATGACACCCGGCGTCTGTTCAATTGTTGTGTTTGCTGTATGTGTGTTGTTTTTGACCTCATGTATAGATAACTGTGTCCACTTCTCGCAGCCACAGCGAACAGCGCCCGGATCAACACTTTATCCGGTTTCTGCACGCGATGGTGGGCAAACCGTTACATACAAGCCTACAGCGGCCAGACAGCTATAAACAGCGTATATATCTACTCTTTTATACGCCAATATCCAATATGACAGCATCGAACTATCCGAATCAAATTAACTAGATTTTTTTTATTTCTTTATTTTTTTATTTTTTTCTTCTAAAGAAATATAGAATCTTAGTCATTGTTTAGTCAGTTGCATGACTAAACATATCACATGACCTGAACTTTTTGCTCCAAAAAAGCTGAAGATGAAGAAAGACGAAAGCAAAGAAGAAGACGAAGACAAACAGACAAGACGAAGAGACAGCAGGAAACACGCAATAAACCCCTCGAAGCAAGACGATAAGACACTCAATTCGCTGCCACCATGTCTCTCTCAAACCCCTTCGGCTCCACCTCTAGCTCCTCCAACATCTCTTCCTCAGAAATGAAGAGCGCCATATTACAACAGATCCAGGCCGAAGCTGCGATGACCAACGCCAGAACGCTGATGGAGGTAGGCAATGCTTTCTCCCACGCAGTATAGTCCCCTATTGGAAAAAAGATGAAGCTAACGATGCGCTAGAAAATCAACTCGAACTGCTTTGAGAAATGCATTCCTTCACCCGGTTCCAGCCTGAGTTCGAACGAGCAGACCTGTATTAAGACCTGTATGGAGAAGTATATTTCTCTATGGAACACCACGAGCCAGGCGTACAGTGCTCGGCTGAGGGAAGAAAATGAGAAGAACGGTATGGGAGGTGGGAGTCTCTAGATCTGCGGATGATACGTTGAAATAATGGGTTGGGGCGGAGTTGGCTGGTTAAAAGTAGCCGCTCAAGAGAGGAGAGGAGAGACTGTACGATCATGCTTGGATGTTATATTACCTGGACTGGCTGTCTGGCAGAGGAGATAGCCGCCATCTGTACATTAGCATTTACTTGGAGGGAAACCAAAGGATGAATTCATGCTATGCGTGTTTGACCAACGACACTTTTAGGATTGATACTCTGCGCATTATCACATCTGCATACAGATGCATACATAGATCCAACATCACTGCCACCGCCATCACCAAACGTCAACATGCAACGAGCAAAAAAATTCAAGATCAAAAGAGATGCAGACCACGTATCGATATATGGTAGGATATGGTACGGAATATATATACCATGCTATGGCATGGACATCAGCCAGAGCGGCGAGATGTAAGAAATAGCCAGCGAGATATAGCAGCAAGCAAGGAAACAGATAACAAACCCTCCCGAAAAGAAAACCAAAAAAATAAACAGACTCATCCATGCATCAGAGGTGTACAGAGACAATTAGGTATTAAATTGCCCGTTCATAAAGAGAAAGCAACAACCAAGACGAGGAAAAGCAGTAGGGAAATAAAAGCAAGGGCAAGAAGGAAAAAGTCATATGGAGATAAGATGTATACCTTTCCTGCTCGTCCGTATTCCATATCGCCGGGGTAGTTCAGTAAAAATCCCTTCTTTTTTCGTTCTTTTTTTTTTTTTGCCTTGCAGTATGGGATGTGGTAGGGAGATAGCGAGATATAGATACCTCAAAAAAGTTGATCGAGATGCCACAGATGATGGAAAGAGATGGTAAGAAATCACAGGCCAGCTGTTGCTGATGTAGTGCAGATATGGGATAAGGCCCCTACTAGCTTTGAACTTCACGAGAAGGATATAGATATAGATATAGGTATCTATGTATATATACTGCCTTTCGGAACTGGGAAGCAGGAAGCACGGAATAGTAGGGAAGCGAACAGTATCTCGTTTAAAAGTTCTGGAATAGATGGCCGAACCTACGTGGGAAGGTTAGTATATTAGTTGTCAACCAGACTGGATGCTGGCAAGGGTATATAAATTTATATGCATGTATGAATGGTACGTACTCATCCTCAGCCGGAAGACCATACTGTTCCGTCTCTTCCGCATAGGTATCGAACATGCATGCATCACCCGACCCGCCCTTGACTGGTGGTATGTACGGAGCGTCTATCCGTCGTTGGGCAAGCAGTTCCCAGGTGACTTCCGAGAACCAGGGATGGTTCTTGACATCCTGCGATCCGCCGTGTAGATTGCCCAGCCTCTTGGTCAGATCGGGCGTGATTAGTCGCGATAGTAGATCCTGGGCATCTGGGACCAGGGACGGGGGGTATTTAACGCGGCATTTCAGGATATTCTCGTATATCTTCATGGGCGACCCGCTGTCCCAGAAGGGGGTGAAGCCACAGAGCATTTCGAAGATGAGTATACCAAGTGACCACCTAGATTATAGATATTAGTAAACAGCACTAATATGTATGTAAGAGTTAAATTAAACCCTACCAATCAACAGATTTGTTGTAGCCCTTAGAGGAGACTACCTCAGGGGCAAGGTAGTCCGGCGTTCCGCACAGGGTCCATGTAATGTCCCGCACCTCCTTTGCGAAACCAAAATCGGTGATCTTGAGATGCCCGTTCTTGTCCAGAAGCAGGTTCTCTGGCTTCAGGTCTCTGTATACGATGTGCTTGGAGTGCAGATACTCCAGCGCAAGTGTAACTTCTGCGGCGTAGAATTTCGCCACCGGGTTGGGAAACCGCTACATCATAATCTTGGTCAGCATCCCAGCACAAACACCCGCTCGCTAGCGAGCAAACAACATGAAACAGACGTAGGGAGTACGAACCTGGGACTTTCTGAGGAGACTAAAGAGCTCACCACCCTCAGCAAAATCCATGACCATGTAGAGATTCTTTGCGTCCTGGAAGGTCCCCCATAGAGTGACGAGGAACGGGTGCTTGACCCGCTCGAGCATGGCCCTCTCATCGTTTGTATGCTCGACCTGCTTGAGCTTGACGACCTGGGCCTTCTTGAGGACTTTGATAGCGTAGAAACGCTGGTTGTGTATAGATTGAACGAGGTGGACCCGGCCGAAACTGCCTGTCCCCAAAGTGCGGTGGATGGAGAAGTCACTGAGGGAGTATTTCCCCTTCAATTGGCGCTGCGAGGCCCGAATTGAGGCGTCGGTGGCCCCCGTAGCACCATGCTGATGCTGTTGTAGTTGCTGGTGGTGGTGCTGTTGTTGTAGCTGTTGCGGCGGTTGATGCTGCTGCTGCTGCTGTTGCTGGTCGTCGTGGTGGGGTGGGTTTATGATATTCTTGATACTGGTGACATTGTGAGACTGGGGGAGGGTGGACGGCTGTGTCTGCTGGGGAGATCTCGACTGCGAGACGTCTCCGGGGCTGGGACGCTGGTATGTCGTCGACATGTTGGCGAGCGCAGGCGTTACGCTGGTCGAGGGAGGGTCAATGGCAGCGTCGGTCACTCCACCAGCAGCAGCAGCGGCGGGCGCAAGAGATGCAGGGGCAGAGCCAGAGCCAGAACGTGGGCAAGAACCAGAGCCGGAACCAGCACCAGCAGCGATGGCAAAGTCCTCGCTGGCAGCGGAGAGAGGGAGATTCGAGGTATCTGCGCTGTCGACGCTGGACTGGGCTGTATGATGGCCTTGTACGGCAGCTGGCGCAGTGTTCGGCGTAGTGTTTGTAGCGGTGTTGTTCTCAGCAGGAGAGTCGAGGTCCTTTGATTTCGAGTCCTTCGTCCGCCGCTTCTTGAGAAGGCCTCCAAAGGTCGGCATGGAACAGAAGCAGCCCGCCGTGGTCGAGAGTGTTTTCTTTTGCCTTGGTTCTCGTATCGTATAGTTAGTTGGTTGTGGCCAGCAGCGAGCGAGCGGGAGGAGAAGGCGGAAGAAAGACGAGACGAGGCCCAAGAGGCACCGGGATGCGAGGATGCGAGGGATGCAGCACGAAAAAACGTTATCAACAGACGATAACGAGGATGCAAGTATATTATCTCGTCGACTATAGGTAGCGGTAACTAGCTGGCGATGTAGTTACTGTCTGTTATATGACGACAGATATAGGTCGAGGTTGGTGTTTGTTTGGTGAGCCAGAGGGGAGTCAAACGCCTCCCGCGCTCCGTGGCGACACGGCAGGATAAGACTGAAGCAGGTACTCGGTAGAACGCTTGCTGCGGGCGAGGCTGTCGATGGGCCCCTTTATGCTGGCTGAGGCTGTCTTTGGGATGTCCCTTTTGGGCAGATTGATGGCTGCTTTGGCTGTAGTTGTCTTTTTCGCTGTGAAGCCAGCGCCGGGTGAGAACTGCTGGGATCCGGCTAGAGGTGGAACAAGGGCTGTTTCAGCAGCGAGGACAAGAGGATAGGGGCCGGACGAGGCTGTAGAGAAGGGCGCAGAAGAGGTAGAAGTCGGTTGTGATGCTGATTGAGGTTGAAGGCGTAGATGAAGCCGGTGAAGTTGGGTGCAGATATGGGCTATACGACGAGCAGACGATCAACGCCACAGGTCGGTGAGTTAGTAGGAAAAGACAAACAGACGGGAAAGATGAGAGGCAAGATAAATCTTCATTCAGTTAGTGAAGGCTGAAAGAGTGAATGGTTGGTGGGAGTTGGCGATGTATTTGGTAGATGTTTTTGGTAAACGTTGAAGTTGATATCAAAGTCGGAGTTGCTACAACTACAACAGCTACGGGAATCACCATTGAGATATTACAACAGCCATAGAAGACAGATATAGAGAAGATAGATTCTATCCAAGCCGACAAGAGTTCTGAGTCCTCGATCCATAGACACAAACACGAAAAGAAAGCAGTATCCCAGACACCGTCACCACCCATCGTCACCTTAATCAAAAGACCCCAGCCAGGGGATAGAGCCATACAAGAGACAGGAAGAATCACAGCCTGTAGTGGGCCATGTTCTTCTTGATCTCATCGACAATCTCAATGGCTTCAACTGCATTCCTGGCCTCGAAGTCGTACCTCTTCTGCTCCGTCGCATCCGCGCCCCTGACGACCACAAACCGGAAGCTCTTCGGATGCCTCCTGCTCACCTTCGAGCCGATAACATCACAGAACGAGATCGACGTCGTCTTACTGTTTGCCTCGAACAGCGTCTTGCCCGTCTCTGCCGGCATGATGTGCATGTAGTCGTTGTCAAACGCTAGCACGCGCTGGCTGGACGTAGTGAAGGACATGGACTGTTTGCGGATAACATTGTAGCGCTTGTAGTAGCCGCCGACGATAACGTCTTGTTTCTGCGAGAGAGGATGCAGCATGCGTGAAGCAGCGCTCTTCTTGCTCTTCTTCGATGCTCCCTGGGTGTTGGTGTCGACCAGCAAGGGAGCGCTGGGGGACGAGCTGCCCGGCGAGCCCATGAGGGATAAGGGGCCTGCACCGAAGCGACGGCGGATCAGGTCGAGGTCTGTGTTGGTCCCCAAGGCTTCGACAGTGCGGTCCAGCGGTGCGACGGTGTTGGTGTTCATGATCTTGAGGAGGTAGTTGCCCTTGTCGAGCTGCCATTTCTTGCATACCGAGTCCAGGATCTCGGCGATGTAGCTGTCCGTCGACGTGTTGAGCGTCGTAGTACGTGTCGACGCCTCCAGGTCGATATATCGCACCTTCAGCTGCGTCGATACGCCCAGGCGAGGCGTAGCCTGCATCGTAGGGATGGCTGGCAGGTCGGCTGGCCGCAGCGAGCTGTCGTGAAGCGCAGAGCTGAACGGATGGCCTAGGATCGGGTTCATGCGTCCGCCGATAGCGACCTTGATGTGGTTTGCCGGCAGACCGGGCGCAGCTGACGCTCCCCCTTGTGCTCCCGTATTTCCTCCTGTTTCGGCTGATGGTGCAGCAGCTGTGGGCGTGGCGGCTTCTTGCACCGCTACGCTGTCTCCGGGGCAAGCAGCCTCGTTCTCAGCAAACTCTGACGGCGAGGCTTCAACCAGCGCGAACTCATCATACGGTTTGCTTCTTGATCGTCCCCTGAAGCCGGCTGCCCGGTTGTTGTTTGATGTAAAATCTGTGATCGGCCGTTTCCTGGCCAGCGGTGGGAAATCATAGTCAACTTCGCCGTCTTCCACCATGCGTAGATTCCAGTAGTTCACTCCCAGCTTCGATACGTCGATGGCTGGCTTGATCTTGTCGTCTGTATACCGCCAGAGGGCAAGCCCGATGGCCTCTGCAACAGTGACGGGCCGCGAGTGGTCACCGTCTTTGGTGTCCTTGGTCAGGGGCATGTCCATAGGCTCTTCCGGGTCTTCAGCACAGGGTGTATACAGCTTGATGTACAGCGGTGTAGCTGACGATCCTTTGCCCGACAGTGCTGCATACTTCTCCATCGGGTTCTCAGGCGCCTTTTTCCGTGCATTCAGCATGTTGGACAGCAGGCTGACGGGCTCTGAGGGCGCAATAGCCTGTGCTGCAGGCAATCTAGGCAGCACCCCCGTCCCTGCTGCATCTCTGTCCTTTCTCGGCGATGTTGTTGATGTAGTTGGCACTGCCCCTGACGCTGTAACCGATGTTGTAGACGGTCCTGCATTCCCGCTGCCGCCTGATTTGGGTATCTTGTTCAATATCAACGGTGACGATACACCAAGGCCAGCCCGGCCAAGTAGCGACCCTGAACCAGCTGTATGCCCAAAGTCTGAAGATATAGCAGACTCAACGGAACCGGCAATAGAGTCATCGTCATGCTCATGGTCTCCTCTTCGTGCCCCCAGGCGTCCATTCGCCATCGCGGCCTCCAACTCGACTTCTTCCTCCAGCTTTTCACTCTCTGCGTCTTCGTCTTCTTCCCTCGGAACAAACGTCTCGTTCTCATGTTTGGAGAACTGTATTTGCCGCCGCTTCATGGCTTCCGGATCTAGTTCAATATCAGAGGACATGTCACTGCTCGTAGTTGTGTCTCGTCTAGCTCGAGATTTGATGGCTTCTACGGCCCCTAACGAGCTTCTCCGGAACCGGTTGTCGACTGATCGTAGAGACGGCGAAGTTATCAGCACCCGGGGGCCGCCTTGCTGCTCTGAGCCTCTGATGGGCGACGAGTCCGCCCGGTGTCGAACAGGCATCTTCGTAAACTGTATCTGGTTCATCGCCCTACCAGCCCATTAGTATAAAATCACACGTAAACCAACAGAGATACTCGACATACCGCTGTCTGGAGGTCTCTTCATCGCTCTCATCGCTGAGATCGCTGCTATCCTCCTCCGCTTCACCCGGCGTACCAGGCGGCCTCGAGCTCTTATGCCCGCCTCTCCGTCGCAGGTCTGTCCTGCTGCTCTTCTTCTTGTACGTCTGGCGCATAACATTCGCAAATCCCAGGCCCGTAACCCCCTCCGTGTTCAGCGTAATCTCTTCTTCATCCTCTTCATCTGCCGCTGTCCCTCGCCTGTTCCCAAGCTGTAGCGTATCTTCGCCTGCATAGCTACCCTCTCTCGTAATAACTTCAGTATTCCCGTTGCTAGGCCCGTTCCCTCGCCGCGCAGTACTCTGGGAGCCGGCGTACTGCTCGCCCACCGTCGTCGCCGTGGGTATGGGAGGCGAGTGTGTCCGCTTGATATGGGCGGCGTTGGGGTCCGCGGTGGCCGACCAGCCAGCGGAGCGGAAGCAGGGCGAGTTCAGGATCGAGGAGTTGACGTTGATGAGCCGGTCGCCTACGCCGTCCTTGATCGTAGCCAGGTAGGACGTGCGAAGTTGCCAGATGGTGAATCTATGCCAGGCAGGCAGTCAGTCAGTCAGTCAGTCAGTCAGTCTCAGTCTCGTAGTTCATGTCTCTGCGCAAAGGGTTCATACTCTTCGTTCTGGAGCAGCGCCATGTCGCCAAAACCCCCTGTACCGTCGAGCGGACAGCGAAACAGGAGGAAGAGAAGATGCAGGCAGGTTTATACAGAGCAGCTCTTGTGTGTATCACTGCAGCAGGGAGAGAGCCGGCGGGGGCGTTTGCAGTGCTGGGCCGGGTCTGAGACAGGACGGCGGTTTATTAAACATGCATCGGCGCAGAGGAAGAAGAAACGAAGCGGCAGAAGAAACAAGACCAGGGCCAGCCTGGCAGGTCTGGAGAGTCTACCGAGGAGCGCTGCGTGCTTGGTCGCGATGCCGGCTTCCCTTTGGTTATTTAGTTGTTTAGTGACTTCGAGCCTTGAAACGCTGCTTCATCTCGTTGTTGCTTCTGGGCTTCCTGGGGTGCAGCCGGTGGCGTTGTGGCTGAGCTGAAGATAAGTACGCAGGAGTAACAACTACAGCAGGAATACAAGAGATACAAGAGGTCAAAAGGCCAGGCAGAGGATGGGGATGGAGCTGTTATTGTAGATGCTGGCTACTCGAATATCATCCACAGGATCTGGACCGCGAAAAGGGAGGCGAGAGCCAGGCCAAGGGGGGTGCAGAGGCCGGCCAGGACTGCGCGCAGGCCGCCAGCAGGATAGTCGGAGGCCCTCGTCTGTTCTGCTGCTGCTGCTCCTTCGACATCCTCCTCTTCAGGCTCCTTCGCTTCATCTGTTTCATCTGCTTCGTCGACTTGCTTTTCCACGATAGTGATAGCGCCGGTGACACTCTCTTTGACCTCCTCTTTGTCCACCTGCTCCGTCTCACACTTATTACCCATTTCTATATCTTCAAAGAGAGGAAAGTCCTCGTAGTCTGCGGCATCCTTTACTGGAGCCTCCCGAACCGTGACCCTGGGCCCTGAAGCCGAAAGCTCGCAGGCATCGAGCTCATCCAGGGGTTTGATATCCGGCATCACTGGCATCTTGAGAGGAGGCTGCGTTGGCGTCTTGTCAGGATCATCATCGGCCACGACCTTCTAGTAGCTGGTCAGTTATTATTTATATTCAGCAACTTGAAGTAGACAAAAACATACCTTTGTGCGTCGGCCGCGGTATGTCACAAGAGGCATGTTGATAGTATCGTATCTATGTATGGTCCGTGATGCATGCGTATTCCCCTTGTACCATGCAGTTGACAGCGTATCTACACGGTAGACGCAGAATCAGACGCGAAGATGAGAACGAAGCATATACAGGAAAGAGAACTCTCCATCCACGCTCTGTTGTCATTTCATTCTTTTTCACTCCTTCTACCTGTCCGTCATCAATACAGTGCACCATGGACAGCAGGATTGAACAAAGGGAGCTATCCTTCCCCCGGTTTATCCTCGACATAGTCACCCACAAGCTGAGCAACAGCAACATCGTCCCTGCCATGACTCGCGAGGCCGATTCCCCGGTTGACGATGTCGATTGCCCGCTTGACTGCTCTGTTCATATACTTTGCATCGTCAAGAAGCAGCTGGCTTGCTCCATCATCCACATTCTCACGAACCGAGTCCGTAATAGCCTGTTCAGATAGCAGGAACGGCTCAAGCATGTACAGCATCACAGCAGACAAATGCATCATCACCATGGCGACAAAGTCGGACGCCATCGTCGTAACTCCATGGCTGGACAGCGCCCTGAAGACTTCCAGCCCTAGACCTAGATAAAGCATTAGCACATTAACTATCACACGCAGACAGTATGCAAGTAGGTTATCAACTTACTGCCTTTCCTTGCTGCTTTCACACCCGCCCTCACACAGCACTGCATCACAGCAACCCGGTAGACAGCCGCCTCAGCAACAACTCTGAGGACAAGCATACTCACCCACCCTCCTCTCTTGATCCCCAACCTCTTGCGTAGTGCCATGTACATCACCGGCAACACACACGATCTCACGCACAGGACTAGGGTAGCCCCGTACGCAGACCAAAGCCCGCCAACGCCCTTCTGACGCAACACATCATCCAGTGCATCTCTCAAACTAGACCCCTTAACCTGTCTCCTTACCATAATTGCACCGAGAGGTTCGGTAGTCAACTTGACCAGCGCCATTGACACAAGTGATAGGAGCAGTTCGTTGCCTACACCCACCCGGCCTACCACGTTCAAACGGGCATGTAACGCCGCATAAACCTTCGGAACAAGCATACTTTCCACCGTCTGCTTGCACACTGCTTCTCGCATACCGGAATATAACACTTTTCGAGCATCGCTAGCCTCGAATCCCTCGATTGCTAAGTTGAGGAAATCAACTAGCACATCCACTCCGTTCTGGGGATGGGCTCGTTCGCCCTTCCGGTACTGTTGGGCGGCATATCGGACTTGTAGACGGGTAAGTATCGAGTCTAGCGGGTGAAATAAGGCCGCTGATAGTGCTACGGCTGTCGCCTTTGTGAGGGAGTTGCTTGCGGAGGTGAAGCAGTCGCTGTGCTGGGATACGAGGGAGGTATATAGATCGTAGCTGCGGAGGTCGTTCTACCGACCAACTTGTTCGTTAGGTGAGTACATCCTAGCCAGCCATCACGGGAGTAGCCAACGCACCATGGTATCGTCTAGACAGACATGCTCGTGCTATTATATATTCGAATACCTCATGATACTCTCGAGGCGAGTCGAGTGAGAAGCAGAAAAGTAGAAATCGACGTCTCGCATTTGGTGAAAGTTGGAATAAGCTCGAACCTCCACGGATGATGTAAGCAGCTTCACTCACTTGTTTAGATCGTCGATGATCATGCAAGTCATTCACTTATTATTAAGTCGGTGGAGATATAAGAGGGCGATTTGAATCGTGGATCAAACAGTATGTATATATATATGTCCAGTAATATATAATAGCTATGTACAGATATGCACACACATGCCAACTCTCATGCAATGTCCATACCGTTGCCGCTATCAAAGCGGTAGACTTCCATCTCCATGTCCGTCTCTGTCTCCATCTCGCTCTCCATCTATGCATCTAATTTACAAAGTAGCAAAGGCAAGCTCGTAGGCGAAGCCGACAACGAGCTTAGCGTGCTCAGCCATCTTGGCAGGGTCAAGCTTGTCAAGGGTGTCCTCGGGGGAGTGGATAGCTGGGTTGTCCTTGCCGAACTCAGCCTCGTAGACGAAGGCAGATGGGTATCCGGCCTTGTTGGCAGAGGCGTGGTCAGAGCAGCCGTAGCCGCACTCGGAGTCAGCGTACTTGGCGGAGGTGTACTGGCATAAACACGTTAGCATAGAGATTTATGATTTTGAGGGAGATGAGACTTACGACATCGAGGATCATCTTGGTGAAGGTGGTGAGGGCAGCGTCGACGTTGTCGTTGATGATGCCCATGGTCTCGCCGTAGCCAGTCATGTCCTGGTTAAGCATGGCAACGACCTCCTTTCCTTGCTGCTTGTAATCCTGGAAGATGTCCTGAGAGCCGAGCAGACCCTCCTCCTCACCTGCGTACCAGTGGAACTCAAGGGTGTTGGTAGCCTCGCCACCAGCGATCTTCTGGTCAGAGACAAGAGCAGTCAAAGCCTCGAGGATGGTCATGGAGCCGGAGCCGTTGTCGTCGGCACCTGGGGCCTCGCCCTGTGGGTTGTTGCCGTTGATGCTGTCCTGGTGAGCACCGACAGCGACAATCTTCTCAGACTTGCCGGGGATGATGACACGGACGCTGGGCTGCATCCACTTGTGCTTGACCATCTCGACGGTGGCACCCTTGACCTGGCCGACGACCGACTGGGCCTGTTCCATGACCCATTGAGCGGACTCGACGCCGGACTGGGCGTTGTAGTAGCGGTTGGGGTAGCTGGAGAACATCTCAAGGTTGGACTTGATGTGGTCGCCAGAGATCTTCTCGAGCAGAGGCTTGACCTCGGCCTGGTGGCTGACGTTGCCAGGGAAGGCATAGGACTTGGGCTTGGCAGCAATGCTGGCGGTCTCTGGTCGGTCGGTGATGTCAAAGAAGCCAACATGGTTCTACCTTTTATTAGTATACATAACATTCTCCAATGTTGCAGTGGTATATAGACGGACGAACCATGACGAGGTCGAGCTTCTCGGCAGCAGTGACCCAGCGAGTCTCCTGGGGACCAGTCTGAATCAAAGACATGCCCGGCATGGGAGGAGTTGGTTTGGCCATGGCCATGGCGCTCAGCGCGAGGGCAGCAAGGACCTTCATGGTGACAGACTAAAAGAATTGAACCGATGTGAGAGAAAAGAAATGGAAAGGGAAAAGAGAGGAGGGATGGAAGATGGATGGAAAGATGGAGGATGGGTTTCAAGAAGCAAGGAGAGGAGAGTGCCAAAACAGCGAGACGGAACTAGCTATATATACACCACTCCTCTGACCCTTTCATCTTAGGCTTCGTCTCCGTCGTTTTAGGGTATCAGCGGGTGATGAGCAAATGGCAAAGATAAGACAGCAAAAGGGGACGAGCTGCCCGTCCTCACCCGCCCGGGCCCTGATCGTCACTCACATCCACCATACACAAGCCACCAAGCTAGGCTTCCATTTCCAGAAACGTCGAGTCTTCCCCACGAAAAGAAGGTCGGCGGTACAGGCAGGATCCGCCACGCCAAAAGTCAACCTACCTAGTAGGGTTCTCCGCAGCTCCTGGAGCAACGAGCAAGGGTGATATCAAATAAACGAACGTCATGGTATGATAATAATAATAATATCCATGATTACCCGTGGGTATCTTCAGGCACACCATCATCATACATCATCCTCATAGGTACATGTCGTATCAGCCGATGTCAGTATGCGGACATACATCACATCACGAAGACATCAGCCTAGTCAAGCAAACGAACAGACGAGTTGGTGTCAGGGATTCCCCAAAGTCCACGCTGCTTCACTTGGCAAGCCGTATGCCTCGCATGTACGGAACGATGGAACCAGAGAATGTAAGAGGAAAAAAACCAACCCACGATGGAACGCGTTTCAGGTCAGTTTTTCTCCCCCTTTGACGCCCGCCCTGAGTCGAGATGACACTCTTGGCCAGTCCATATATTCCATATATTCCATTCCAGCCAGGCATGGCATGGCATGACTCCGTTCGAAATGTGACATCCGCGAGAAAAGTGACTCCGTAAAGTGACTTGCCAGCTTCGGTTCAGGCCGGGATGAGCAAGTTGGTGGGCAACTGGTTGAAGTTGCATGACGATCACCTCCTGCGGACGACGATCAGTCACTTTAACCCCAGCAGAAGGGGAGGAAGAGGAGAAGGACTTCTCCGAGTGGACTCTGGCAACAACCCTACATACGACTTTCCCGTCCACATGTCCCGTCGTTACTGTTTCCTGGTGGTTTTAGAGCATGTTCATGGTGCAGCCCACTTGGAGACGTCGTTGGGCGCGGGAAGACCTAAGTATAAGGATAATAATGTCCGCGCATGGCGCATAGGGCGATGCTTGTCCATGGGTACCACCTTATAAGAGGCGGAAGATATAACCTCCTTGATCAGCGTTATTGGCCGGGTTCCTTGGGCTGCTTGACTCCCTGTTCCCTGCCCTGGACACCGGCTTTCTCGTCGTTGTCTTGGTCTTTCGTCTTCGTCGTCTTCAAACGTGAAGCTGAAGTTGCTTTTTTCTGCTTTTGGCGTGTTTTAAGTTGGTCTTGGCGTCTTCCACAAGAGGACTAGTGCTCCGGGGTAAGATGATGTAAGCAGTGACGGACCTTCTTTTTCCCGTTAACTTAGTCATCATGCCTCGGCTGAAATTACGTGACGATAATCAAGATAAGAGAAAGAAATAGCAAGAGAAGTGACAAGACAAGAGAAACCAGACTCCATTGCCGTAAGTAACGTAGCTAAACAGCTCGCGAAGGAACCCATGCAGCAACCCGTCCACGTCCAGCCCGCCCATCCGTCCCACTCAACCGAATAAAAAGAAGAAAAAAGTTTAAAGAGTAAAGCAAAGATACAACCCGTTCCATCCGACTATCAATCATGATTGACCATCTATCCACCGAATCCATAGAGGGTACGGCCCTGTCTCTTAAGAGCGTAGACAACGTCCAGGGAGGTGACGGTCTTGCGCTTAGCGTGTTCGGTATAAGTGACTGCGTCGCGGATGACGGATTCCAGGAACGACTTGAGCACGTTGCGGGTTTCGCCGTAGATCACTGGAGACGTTAGAACAGACATACTCAACAGGGACAAGGACATGGACATGGCTAGGAGGGTGAGTAGGGTGGGCTTACTGGCTGAGATACGCTTGACACCGCCACGACGAGCGAGACGGCGGATGGCGGGCTTGGTGATGCCGTGGATGTTGTCGCGGAGGATCTTACGGTGACGCTTGGCGCCGCCCTTGCCGAGACCCTTGCCTCCCTTTCCGCCTGGAGGGAGTTAGCATGATACATTAAAGCAGAGACGGCATAGTCAAGTAGAGTATAGAGGGGCAGTTTCTGTTTATCTGTGGTGGTGGTGGTGGTGGTGTGGACGCGCAGGCAGCATCACGCAACGGCTTAAGTGGCGACTTGCACCGCCAAGCCTCACCGCGAAAACCACATCCAAACCCGACATCCACCACCACCACCACCAGCAGCGACGACGACGACGACAACATGCAACATCAAGCGAAGTAGAAACAGAATTACTTACGTCCAGTCATGTTGAAGAAGTAAAGTGAAGAAAGTAGACGATGGAGATGACGTCGATGTGAGCGAAAAAGTGGATGAAACGCGTTCCTATCAACTCGCGATGTCGAAAAGAGGAAGAAAAGCGAAGGTTGTAAAGGTGCAAAAAGTTGCGGCGGGCGTGGGCGGGCAGACAAGCTTAATATACTGCGCGCCAGAAAGGGGGGAGTGATCCAGAAAGAACCTTCGCTGCACTAGTACAGGTAAGGCTGCGTAGGTAAGGCAAGGCAAGAAAGGTGGCCTATAAGATGCTGCGTGCTTAGTCAGACGTGATCTTGCAGGTTGATGCGGTTGATTTGAAGCTGATTTGAAGCTGATCTTTGCGGTTGATTTTGTGGTCTTGATTCGGACGCGCAGAAGGGAAACTTTTTCGCGGGACAAAAAGAGAGAGGGAAAAAGGCGCGACGGATAAGGTTATTAGTCAGGTTTTAGTCAGGTCACGTGGAAGACGAACTTCATTATCATCATACGATACGTTAAGTAGGAGTAGGAGTAGGCAGGCAGGGGGAGCATCCTACAGACAACAGACAGCTAACGTGACAGGAACAGAACGGAACGAAAAGAGACACTTTTTCCAGCCGAGCCGAGCCATGGATGGATGGCAGCAAGTAACAGGTCATTAGGAAAGTAGGAAAAGGAAGAGGGAACTCCGGAACCCATGAAAGACGCTGAAGAAGCAGACCACGCCGCGCCGGACCGTACCATGCGCCAGAAAAAAGCAGAAGGAAAAGAAGAAGATACATAAATACATGAAGGCAAGTATGCTGAGCTGAACTGGACTGGACTTAAATAGTGTAGCCAGCCAGTGATGAACAGACAGACAGACATGCCGGAGAGGGGTGTGGTGGTGGAAGCGACGAAGAGCGATGAAATAATGCAATCTGGTCAAACAAGTAAGAAACGCCTGCTGAACGGAAGAAAGAAACGAAAAGCGAGGATCAAATTAAGCGTGCTGTGCTGTCGTGGTAGTGTTTGTTGGTGGTTGGTCGGTACTCGTCACTGATAGACGATGCTGTTGTGGTCAGGTAAGTTAAGTCGGTTCATAGATGGATAGTCGGTGTTGGTGTTTGGTGGTGGGATCATCCTAAAATGGGCGTAGGCGCAGGTGTTGGGGCAGGGGCAGGAGAGGCGGGCATCCCTCTCTCTGAAGCCGGACGAGGACGGTTGAATGATGCAAAGGAGGGACGGATTCCAGCTGACGATGATCCCGATGCTGGAGGGGTAGATACGCCTTCTGTGTCGGACACAGAAGTGGATGAAGAAGAGGAGACGGGGCTGTGGCCTCCTGGTCCTTGGGGGCGGGAAGGAGAGGGAGAGAGGCGGCGGTTGAGGTGCTGCATGTTCAGGGGCATCGACATGGTGGGAGTAGAGCAGTCTTCTTCCTCGTTTGTGTCGGTGCCGTCCTTGGAAGACACGCCTGATCGTCGCGATTTTGTCGAGCCGAACTGGTTATTCGTTAGTATGGAGATATACGTAAGTCTAAGTAGAAGGGGAAGGGGGACATACGAAGCAGTATCGGTCGACCAGCTCTTTGTACACCTGGGACTCATGGTTGGGTCTATCGGATAGGAAATCAGACAGTCTCTTCTCGGTTAGAGAGGGAGATTCGTCAGAGTCGCTGGGCGTGCTGGGACTGCTTGCACTGGCACTGGCACTCGCACTGGCGCTGGCACTTGCACTGCTGCTCTCTACCATGCTCAGCTGAGGCATGGAGTGGCTGTGTCTATGGCCAAATCGAGCAGCAGGCGGAGCACCACCGGCGGCGGAAGTAGTCAAGGAAGCAGAGAAATCATATCTGTCTCCAAAGACGTTGGTGCGTATCTTGTTCTTTCTCGTGGGCGAGTCCGGGTCCGGGAACCAGCTTTCCTTCTCCGAGTCGACGTCGGAATCACCGGGTTTGGAAGCGGTGATTTCAAACTGCGTCTGTCGAACTGCTACCTTGACCGTGTCAGGCAGAGAGATGGGCATGTTCACGCCCATCGCAACCATGGACAGGGGCTTAGCTCGACCGCGGGAGTTCTTCACTTTGGCCATGCGTGCTCTGAACGAGGGATCTCTACCGACCGAGCCGGAAGAGCCAGCAGCACCGTTGGAAGCTCGTTTCGAGAAGGCAATCTGGTAGTTCATGTCGTCGTTGTTATCCCAGAACTCCCTTCCGCCGACGTTATACCGCAGACACAGGAGGAGGGTCTTATTCTGCATCCCGTGTCTGAGCAGGTCGGCCAGGTCGATGGAGAAGCTAAAGGTGTCAAACCCTACCCGCTCGTCTCGGTCGATGCAAGAGGCGCGAGCATGCACGTAATCTGCAGTGACTTCAGAGACTGTTTTCCAGTTATCCAGGGTGAAGCGAGCAGTGACGTGTTTGGAGTAGGAGATGTTTGCTACTGCCGCTGTGCCGAGGAGGGCATGGGTATTCGGACAGAGCTCGATCCGACGGAGCCGCACCGCCTTGTTCAGACGAGCGTCGTCGAGCATGCTGGGAAAGTTGGTCACTCGAGCCTCCCATGATTCCTTACCACTACCAGAGGAGCAAGCAGAGTTAGAGCAGGCGAAGGGGAATTCGGTGTCTCCGTCGTATTCCTCGACGGGGGAAGAGCCAGCACTGACGGCCAGCGGTCGATCGAGCTGCATGAAGTGGCGGACCTCTTCAAGCTGGGCTCCAAAGTGTACTGCCTTGGAAAAAGTGGGTGTTCCAGGCATGCTAAGTGGTCTGCCGGGTCGTAGTCTGATGGCTGGCCGGACGAGCTCCCCTGACTTTTTCCGTAGCATGGGAGGCTTGTTGGCCAGCTCTTCCTCGTCCTGGTCACTCTGCTCGGGAGTCTGGGTAGCTTGTTCCGGCACCGAATAAACCAGTATCCCTTGTCCCTTTCCATCCCTACTGCCGTCACTTGCCTGATCTGGAGCAGCAGTAGAAGAAGCCGAAGCCGAAGCAGTAGTCGAGGTGGGAGTGTTGGAGGTGCCGTTCTGAGCCTGTCGTTTCTTGCTCTCTTCTTCGTCACTCGAATTGTTCCGTGATTCAGGCGGGGACAGCACCAGCCCCATGCCTGTGCCTGCAGCCGTCCAGACGTCGTGTGCAAGCTGCCCATGCTGCCCCTGCTGCTGCTGTAGGCTCCCCACTGGAGCTCTCATGGTAGGACTGCGCCTGTGTCTGTGCAGGTACGAGCTGCTCGACGGCCGCTGGAAGCTCACGGCCGGCTCTGAGTTGTGGCGTCCATGGCGGCGGACCGGGGCAGATCCAGCTGCCGCAGTAGTCGAGTTGGAGGGAGTAATCGTGGTGGTGGTTGTGGTGGTAGTCATAGAGCCCGTCGAGGCCCTGGTGGGAAAGGAGGACGCTGAGGCTGGTCCCGCCGCCGAGGAGGTTCCAGTGGGGGAAGGGGGAGCGGACGAAGGGGATATGTATGGCATCCGGCCTGTTTCGTCTCTTCCTGGCTCTCCTGGTGCCGTCAGTTGGTGTATTCGAAGTGATGTGTAGCTGTATGTAGGTGCAAGCAAAGCAGTAACTAGATGGGAGGTAAAGCAGATGGAGATGTAGATCCGCAGCTCCACTTACAGCCCAGCAGTATAGACGAGAGCAGAGAAACCGAGCTGATCACTGCATCAAGCAAGTCTCCTTCTTCTATGGTATAGGTATATAATGCTGTTTGTGGTGTTGGTGCTGGTGCTGGTGCTGGTGATGCCGGTGGTGATGGATCCAAGCGAGCGAGACAATCCACCTGAAGAAGAACAGAAGAGAAAAAGGAAGAAGAAGAACAACAACCACGACGAAGAAGAAGAAGAAGAGAAGAAGAAGAAGAACTTGAACAGAGAAAAGAAAAGGAAGAGAAGGAAGAAGACGAGGACAAGGGGGGGAGGAAGACGTTGATAAAGAGGAGGACGCGGACGAGGTCAAATAAGCTGGCGGCGGATGCAGATTTCTTGCCGTCACCCTGGTCGCCACCAGTAACGAGCAGCAGCAGCGGAAGCAGAAGAAGAAGAAGTAAAGACGCAAACTGGCCAGACACAGGCAAGGATAAGGATGCGACAAGGACAAGGCGACGCTGCGCTTCTCTGCTTCTATGTCTACCTCTATGTCTATGTCTATGTCGCGGCCTCGTCTGCGTCTGCTCGTCGTCTTCTTCTACTTCTTCTACTTCGTCTTCGTCTTCTTCTTCGTCTTCTTATCGGCCCCACTGTGAAACTCGGCGGCGACTCGAAGGTTTTCCTGGTCCAAAGGTCGAAAGGTCGAAAGTACCTGTACTTCTTCAACTACTTCTACTCTTTACTTACTCTTTACTCTTACTTCTTACTCTTACTTCTTATTCTGCTGCTTCTTGAGCCTTCCTGGTACTTCTCGACGTCTCTATAGTCTATTACTATTACTCCTATTAGCTTCTTCTATATTACTTTTACTTAGTTATTAGTTTTACTTCTGTCCATCGTACGACTCTCTAACTACCTTCGGTATAGACATCACCTTCTCCCACTTCCACCTCAACTACTCCTTGCAAGCCACGGCCGGTGCCTTGGTTGATATCGCCCATCGTCCTCCTACCTTCTACTCCCCCGGCGTCCTTAAAGCACTCTTATCACGCCATGCGACGCCAATCAAGCGGCAAAGGAGCAAGCCACTGCTTCATTTAAACTACTCCTATCTCTATACGACCACCACTCAGACACCTCTGGTACCGGTACTTTAGACTTGCTACCTCGATAGCCGACGCTCCCACCCTCGTATCGCATATCTAAAGTACCTTCTTACCCTCTTACACTCGCGGCCAAGGGAAAGGGGGAGGCGGTGAAGAGGGTTTGACTTCTTCTCTTCATGCATGGAGGATACAGATGATGCTGCACAGTCGGGAGGCTAGGGGACTTAGTAGACCTCCATGGTGGGATGTCATGATGTCAATATCAACATCGACCCTAACCCATCAATAGCCAGCAGCGATGTCGACAGTGACGGTGCTGATGTTGACCAGCTTCGTCCCACCCCCCCGTCCCCCCCTGAGGTACCGTCCCTGTCTCCTCGACGTATCCATCAGCATCAGCGCCAGCATCCAATAACCTATCCTTCTCCCGTCACACCCAGGGCAAGGATGGGAAAACCATGCAAAAATGCAAATCATCTACCTCTCTCTCTTCCCCCTCGCTACCAGGGCTTAAAACGTCCGAGTGCTCTTTGCTTCTGCTGCTGCTGCTGCTGCTCCTCTGCCCACCCATCCCACTGATCCATTATCCATGCAATGCAATGCACGTCAAAAAAGCAAAGGGGACAGGACTTATACTCCAGCAAAAGCAAACATGGGGCTCGACTCAGTTAGTTACTTACTTGCTGAACCAAGGGAAAGTTGGAAAGACTTTAACTTGTTCCTCTTTGCTTTTTCCTTTCTTCCTTCTCTTATCTCTGCAGGTGGCGATGATTCGTTTTTTTCCCGCGTTGCCTTTTTGCTTTGCTTTCGAGATAGTTGCATGGTTTTTTCGTCCCTTCTTCCCGTCCGAGACCGAGACAAGGCAGAGATATACCGGACCAGACGATATTAAAGTCAATGGTAACTAACTAGTTTGTTTGTTAGTTAGTTTATCTCGCCAGAGTGGTACGACTGACCTGACTTCTTGCTGTCTATCTCTGTCCTATCCATGGCTTAGCACCGCCCATTATTACTGCTCCAGTCAGTTATCTAGCCGACCTGTCCGTTCGGCCCGGCGTGCCCCATACATACATATATTATTATTACCATTGTGGCCGATATATACATGCATGCATATATATATACTTACATATGTACTTATGTACATCGATCCGTCCAGATTCCAAGCACGGCCGGCAAGAAGTCACTAACGCATGTACGAACTGACCAGGGATTATATATATAAATATATAATAGCAGTTCCTACCTAGTTACAGATGTACCCCTACCCCTCCGGTCACGGAGCTGACAGGGTAGCTTTGTGGCGCTCTTCTTGTCTCTATAACTGCTTGTTATGCATACAACATACGTCCATACATACATTTATGTCTAAGGCGTCTACGTCTGTGGCGGCGCTATCCAAGGCCCCAGATAACTGGACCACGGCCTAGTTACCAAGTACCACTCAGCATCAAGGTTGAACCTTCGCTTCTGCTACTGCTCCTGCTCTTGTTCTTCCCTTTTTCTCCCTACCTTGAAACAGACCGACAAGATAAGTGCGGAAAGTAGCCAAAGTAAGCGCCCAGACAGACATGGGGCATCCATGGATGCGTGTGTGTGTGTGTGGATAAGCGGAGATGCCGCGCCCTCATGCTCAGACTCATGCTCATGCTCATGCTCATGCTAGAGATGGAGACAGATGGAGACAGATAGATGGATATGGAGATACGCCGTGCCACTCAGTCGGGTTGGCTTGGATGCATAAGCCAGAAGTCTCCATCAGCCTACATCCTACAGTCTCCATACTGCAGTGTAGTTATCAGTTAACTATCAGTTCCAGGCGTAAAGCTCTGACTCTGCCTTCGTATTAAAATCCTCTTACTTCCCGCCCTTCAGCTCTTCGCCGCTCTTCCTACATACACATACATACATACGGTGGAACTGATATGAATACACATATCTCGACGCGCGTATACATAGCCACGAAATGACTTCTACCTTCCGACATTCTTCAACATTCTGCATTCTACCTTCCTATCTGTGGAGAAGCAGCAGCATCGACAAGATCAACTCAGCTCGCCGTCTCCAGCACTGATCTCATCCTCGTCGCCATCGTCGCCATCTTGTCCCCCGCGTCCCCGCCAACCCCCAAGATCCAGCTGCATCATGATGTTATTTGACATAATCAATATGCAAAGTACGATGCAAAGTACGATACAAACCAATAATATATGTCGGCCCGCTTGACCGTAGCAAGGAGGATGAGAATCGAGAAGACGACAGGGGGTATCATCGGCCTAGCATAAGTCGTTTATGCGACCTATACGAACCGTTCATTATTAGCTACATACAGCCCATCGATCGTATACAGGATGCTCATGGTACTCCATATACCACACTGCACAAGATAAGGTAGCATAGTCGGTAGGACAGATGGTATCATAGATAAGTAAAGAAGGTAGGTAGGCCAACCACTAGCAAGTTCGACTATTAAGTATACCTTCAGATAAAGACTGGAAATGTTTTGAATGAAGCTGCAGCAAATCCATCAATTCCATCAACCCATTTGTTAAACTAGTTGACCAGCCAGCCCACATTCGTTTCTTTTCTTTCTTTGCTTCTTCCTTTCTTTGATTTTTCTTTTCATTTCAGCAAAAAAGAAAGAAAAAAAAGAAAAAAGGAAAGAAAAAGCGCCTATTAAACTTCGATTAACGCGGCTGTGTCACATGACCTTCTAGACGCCCTTTAAGCTTTTATAGCCGCTCTTTGTTTTTTGTTCTCTTTTTTGGTCTTTTTTTTTTTTTTTTCTTATACTTAGAATCAACGACGAGACGAAAAGATGAGGCCTCGCTGCTTCATACTTGACGCAGGAAAAGATATCTTCGGGTATACGATTACGCCGTACAGTCGGTGTGAGCAGTTTACTACCGTATATCACCGTGACTTAGCTTTTCCTTTCTGCATGGTAGCGAGGTACTCGCTTCACCCACGCCTAGAACGAAGGGGTCTATTCCAAGCCAGCTTCCTTTGCAATCCCTGATTATACCATGCTAACTAACCATACTATCCAGCAATAAATGCCTGTGCTCAAGTGCTCATACTCCAGCTCAGGAACCCCCTCCTTTCAACCTTATTCCGGTGATCGGCCCTGGTCACTGCACAAATCAGATTGATATACCCCCCCAAGTGTACTTATGTACATACAGCACTGAACTACCCAGATACATCTATACAGCATCTGCATTAAAACCACCACTTATTAAGATAACAGCCTTACAGGGTCTCTTAGGTTCAAGGAGATTTAACTCTCTACCACTCGTAGGGATAACGCGTACACCAAGCAAGCCACTGGATGGGCCAGAAGCAAAGCAGAAACCTCTTAACTGTGCTCAGACTTGTCCGTGAGTCTGTGAGGGGTGGATGAGGGGGGGAATAAATGGCATTGCATTGCATTACATTGTTGCCAACCCCGAGCTGCTCGGTAACAAAGTAACTAGTGAGGGCTCGATCCAAGCTTCCAAGAAAGCGAAAAAACGCACAGGCTATCAGCATCTGGAGTCGAGATTCATGGCTCTCTCACCTCGCCAAGGGGCCGGGGTTTTACCGAGCTCGATCAGACAAAACGCCGCCTCGTTTGCCGAGTGCTTTGTTTGAGCGTACCCCGTATTATGCCAATGGTTCGGCGGAATTCTGGTTTGTGATGGAAACACACAATGCCTGAGGGGGAAAAGCTCAGCCGACAGTCGTCTAGAAGCTGTTCGAGAAGATCACAGCTAGGGGTCCGATGTATGTGCATTGGAGGGTGGTTGGTCTAGGGCGTAAACCCCCTGCGCTAAGCCCCAGAGTATGTCTAACTAACTAGTTAAAACCACCAGTCCAGTTGCATCGGTTGCATGCAAGGGTGAGAAGAGAAGAGCTCCCCCTCTCTCTTCCCATGTCGGCTGTCCGTCAATCTGCTTCACAGTGCCACAGCGTCAAGAAACGAAACCAGCAGGTAGGGGGTCAAAGCCCTGACTGCACTGACTCTGTTGGATAGATCGTTTCTTTTTCTCCCCGTCCCGCATGAATTGTATCCATGCATTTCAACTAGTGAACAGAGCTGGATACTGCGCGCATAATGGGAATATTATTTAAAAACATATGCTCGAAAAATAAATAAAATGCATGGGTCGAGATCTTGCGATAGAAACGATCGGCCATCCAACTGTCTGATATCCCATCGTGTTTGGACGGTCTTCCCATCTTCACCCCTGCCTGTTCATGTGGGCTTGCGAACACAAATGCCTCATTTTCGGCCCCAAGGCAGATCTCCATCTTCTTCATCAGGCTATCTCCTCTCCTGAATGGGGCAGCATTCCGATAACAGGCGGGGGTGGCTGCAGATGCTGCGGAAAGCTCTGGAGAGAGAGGAACCAGAGGAACTAGAGGGAGAGATATCAAACATGCAGGTATATCAAAGGGACCCAATAACGTGCTTCTTGCGTACAACGTGAAATGGTCTTGACTTCTGATATACCTGCCGTCTACCTCCAGTCCATAGCCGACGGCTTCTCTTCCTTATCACTTCTCAAAGGCCGACGAGGAGACAGCAACAACTGCTGCAACTGCTGTACCCCCTTGCCATGGAACGGGATCACTGGATATTCAAGGCTATTGAAATGGCACATGGAAAATGATGTCCAGTGTACTTGTGTACATACACATGTACCACTCATGCGAGTTCCCGCAGCGGCCTCTCGCTCAGATGAATTTCTGCACTGCTCCGTGCTCACATCCCCCCCTACGCTCGCTCGCTCTCTCACTCACTCACTCACTCAACTCCTTCCTTCACCCCCCTGAACTGCCTGCTTGCACATACGGCTGGTCCCGTCTTCAAAACATCCAAGCCATGGTTGCACTCGCTCAAAACGACCTCGACCAGTCCCCTTTAGAACTCTGCAGTGCGGTACGGAGTAAGATTTTCGTCTTGATCTCCACTCACACACACTCACGCACACACGGTCCATATCAGGTTCCAGTCGCATCCAACCGCCGCCACCATTAAATCCTCCCTCACAGCCAAAAAAGACAGATAGACAACGCCCGCAGTGATAGATTTTTTTTCTTTTATTCCTCCTACCACCTTACCTACCACATTACGACCCTTCTATCTGTCCGTATGTATGAAATCCCTTCTCCCCCCTCCCTGTGTTACGCTGGTTCTGTTTCTGCTGCTGCACGATGCCACAGTCGGATACGCGGCGTTAATGCCAGACAGACATCAGACATCGCATCACATCATTCATCCATATTCCCCCCCTACAACAAAACATACCTACAACCATTCGAGGGGCACAGAAACACAAACACAACACAGAATAAACACTGCACATCTGTCGCGTAACTTCAGCCCGGGATAGAAGCCTCACGCCCAAAGCATCATCTGCCTTTTCTTTCTCTTTTCTCCTTTTTCCCACAGGCACTACCGAGCTATTCCCGATAACTTGTTAACTACCATATCACCACGGGACGCGAGCAAACCCGATTCGTTTCATGAACGAAGTTATGGTTCCTGCCCTCTGACAACCCCCGGGCTACGTCGCTCAAGGGTAGAAGCAATAAAGTACCTACTCAGCCGAAAAGTTGTTTACGAGCCTTCGTCGGCTTTTGATACTTCGGGCAATTTCAATAGCATCTCCCGTCGTCGTACGGTTTGATTAGCTGGCATATAGTCAACCAGTTGAAGACCGAGCTATTGGCTCCCTTTGCATAGATATCAGGTTTTTGCCGGGCAATTTAAGCGGGTACGCGTTAAATGCGCCGGTGTATCTGTACATGGCGTACATAATATACGTCTTAGCCTCTCTGATCGTCTTGGACACTGCCTCGTCTTTGCCATGCTAATGCCTGTCAATTTCGACTCTTACGAGACATGCAAGAAACTCAAGTAGATTAGTTAGAACAGATTATTGCCCTGCTTGCCGATGTCGGGCGTAAGATGAATGGCCACAGAGACAGACATCCTTGTTTCACGAAGGATTTTACTTGTAAGCCCTCTTAAGGTGAAACTGATAGAGGGAAAAGTTGATGGCTAATTAACCAACAAACTTAACGAGTTAACCACTAGATAAGAAGGAGGAAGATGTTTAATTCATGCTCATTATCTAGTTAGCGCTATATACTTTGTATAAATAAATATCATCCCTGTAATGTGTATCCATCCATCATCTTATTCGTCATCATTCATGCATCCGTCCAAAAGGGCCGGATCGAAAAGAGAAAAAGGGGAAAGAAAGATATATCAACAAGAAAGAAAAATATATATAAAAAAATTTCCGGATTTGTTCGCGTTCATCGGATGCCATCGGCTCCAACTTCATCGATGAGAAGCACATATCCGCCAGGTAAAAACCCTTTCTGGCCAGCATAGCATCCCCAAAGCCAATCGTCGTTGATGTTTTCTGCTTCCGTGATCTCCGCGCCCCGAGGAAACATGATCTCGTCATTGTTGTCTGGTTCGGGGTGATGTGACCATTTCGCTATAAGCCGTAGCCCGATGCCACCTGATGGGGGGAAGCGGGCGGTGGTAAGCGGGAAGGGGGACGAAGAGGAGCTGTCCGACGGACTTTCGGGACCAGAGGAGAGATGTTGTCTGGCTCGGTTAAGTCTGCGTCTTTGTCGGAAGTTGCTGTCACTTGAGTCGGAGGGTTCAGTCCATGTCCAGCGGCCGGAATCCTGCCGCTGGAGGGCATTTCGACTTGGTGTTCCGTTGGTTTCGGAGACGGGGCTCGTGGGAGTGTTGTTGCTGTTGTTGTGATCTCTTTTGGAGCCAGAAGAGGGGGTTGGGATGTGTTCGTCCTTCCATGCGTGTCCGCCCACAAGGCCCTGGACGACAACTCTCATCTGTCCTACTCGGTGGTCCTCAAAGCCAACAATTATCATGCGATGGCCCTGTAGACACCGTCGCCAGCCGTTTCGGCCATTGTCCTTGCTGATTTTTCCCGATGCTCCTAGCTTGAGATAGCAGTTCGTGCACATATCGTAGTCCCCTTCGTTACACTGGATGCAATGGAATCGTGTTGTTGAAGGGGGGATAGGATAAGTACAGACATTGCATTGCGTAGAGAATGTGAGGGGTCTGTATTCAGTGGCATCTGTTGACGGAGGAGGCGAGGCTGTGGTTCGTGGAGGTGTTTGTGCATCTGACTTAGGCCTCAACTTAACACGAGATATCGGCAGTAGAGGATGAGTGCAACATTTGTCCTGGTTAACGCAGTTGTTACAGAAACCCCATTCACCGTCATTGCACTCTCTGCATTTCCAGAAGCATTCATCAGAAAACTGCTCACACATATCACAAAACATGCCTATCTGTACTCGTCTGGAAAGCGGCAGAGGAGCAGGCCGCGGGCTTTGAGACGATGGCGACAGCTGTTCTCTTTCCTCTGACAGCCGCAAGTACCTGCGCCAGGTGAGCTTATGAGGCGGCTCTTGTTCGCTCAACGGCTTGTTCAAAGATGCCATCTTCTTCTCAAAGAAGTATTGCGCTGCGTGACCGAAACCGAACCAGTGTAGACACCCGCGGCCGAGACGATAGCAGCGGACACAGAGGCAGTAATTGCCAGGCTTGCAAAGCTTACAGACTTTGTGCAGTTCGTACTGTATATTGCTCTTCCCGCATCGTTCACATGATATTGAGGGCTCAGGGGGCATCTGAGGCTGAGCAGGAGGTAGTGTAGATGGTAGAGTAACAGGGTTTGATACCCGCCTGGTTGGCCCTGGTGGTGGAGAAACAGTTGCTGGTGTATTAGCAGTACCTGTAGTAGTGGCCGGAGTACTTGGCTGTGACTGTGAAGCTTGAGGCCTATTTGAGGTACGGAGTGCAGGAATTCCACCAACGGCGGACGGCGACTGCGTAGCGGGAGCAGCAGGCTCAGAGGCAGTGTTTCCTCTGTTTAGATTGACTGCGGCAGGGCTAGGCCGACGCTGTCTCTCTCCAGGAGACGAAGGACGTCTTGGACGGCTGACCTGAAGTGGTGGAATTGTCTGATGCCGTAGCGAGGTCGGCGGAAGGGAGCTATTTGAGGCTCGTCTGCGGGACGGCCCCGTCCCAGTAGCTCCAGGGCCAGGAACACTTCCGGCGCCAGTCCTGGTGCTAGAACCTGTAGTAGAGCCACTGCCAGTTGTGGAGACCGCGGGTTGGGCCAGTGCCTCGGAAGAGAGTGAGAAGCCTGTGGGTGGAGTTGGTGATGTGCGCCGTCGTCGAGTGCCTGTGCCTTGATCAGAGGCGCTTCGGCGATGGTTCGCACCACGATTGGCGGTAGCAGGCTCGAGAAGACGGGGCCGAGAAGTCGGCGGCGCCCGTCTAGTAGGCTCTCGAGCCCGAGGCGTAGATCCTGAAGCACTGAGTGACCGCTCCTGCTGCTGCTGCTGTGGTTGTTGCTGTCTATCCTGTGATACCGGCCTTTGTTGGGCTGGAGACTCGCTTTCTCGTTGCCTTATGCTGCGAGGCGGAGAAGGGACTCGATGTCGCCGTCTAAAGGCCTGCGCAATACGCTCTGTCAACTCGTCTTCTTGCGTGGGCGTTAGGCTATGTAAGTCTATGCCGTCCAGCAGCCCTTCTTCTGCGATTTGACGCAATATCTCGTCCTCTATGCCCGACTCGCCCGTTGAGCCGATAAGAGATCGTAAGCTAGACTGGTGCTCAACTCTCCTTGAATCTGGACTCATGTCTCGAGGGTTGCGCATGGCTGGTGAAGCATTCATTCGCCTTTCCGCCCGCCGTCTCCGCCTGGCATCTTCCACCCGCTGTTCCCTCGCCTGCGCACCCGGACTGCGCTCCGATCTTCCTCTTGAGTGTGGTGCCAACGGGCTACGTTGGCGACGCCTGCTGCTGCCACCGCTGCCCTGAACCTCCCGCAGACTCATGTCTCTGACCTCGGCTAGAATCCTCTCGTCCTCATCATCACTTGCAGACCGCACAACTGGCCCGACTTCAGGCAGCACAGAATCCCCATGTTTGTATTCCGACGCAATTTCCTCCTTCTCCTCGGCCGATTTGGCTTGATCCGGGTTCGACTGTAGGAAGAGGTCGAGTAAGGTGGCCACTTTCGCATCGTGCCTTGTATCTCGGACAGACGCCCGACATGACGGACATGTAAATTGCGGCCTGCCACCATCTACCGGATTCGACGCTTGCCATGAGAACCAGCTTTTCAAACACGATCCGCAAAATGTATGTAGACAATCGAGTAAGGTCAGTGGCTGGTAGAGGATCTCGGTGCATATCTATCTCACGGTCAGCAAAGCCGCAATACTAGAGCAAAAGTAAAGCGCAAAATACCACTTACCGAGCAAGTCAGCTCTTTTCCCAAGTCTACCATCGCAGAACCGTTCGCCTTGGGTGTTTCCATCGTCCCAGAGAGCAGTTCAGATGTGGTATATGTAGTTATGTAAACAAGCGGACCGCAGTCCCAGTCCCCGTATGTGCGTCTACCGCCAGTCAAAGTCAAGCATGGCTTCTCACTCGAGATGCCAGCTACTATAGAAGAAGAGAAGCGAAAGTCTTGGAAGTATCGAGCGCCCTCGCTAGCACTGGCATATCATGGTGTTGTCGTAGCTTCTTGTGGGCTGTTTGGTGGCTGATGTTGAAGAATCTCGAGTCCAGATGTTTCTTCACCTGAGACAGAAAAAAAAAATGTCACACCCCACACTCATAACTAATAATAATATATATGACACTCAAGGCACAAGACAAGACAAGCGACTTCGTGACCTTTTTGCTTGTTTTCTTCGTCTTCGCTTGACTTGAGACATTCTGCATGCGGGTCTGACGGTTCAACCGGTAGTTATAACGCTCGATGGCCGTTGTCTGCCGGGGCGGTGTGGTCGATCGCTGATGATGCTATGGTGAGGATCAGCATGAAGACGTCCACATCTTCAAGAGATGGACATGGCTGACTTTTGTAGGCAGGATAACGATGGCAGATACTAGTTACAGCCTGTCAAATAGCGGCTCCGGCTTGTTGACGTGCCTGCGGTTGGATATTCAATCGGGTCTACAAAAGGCTATGCAAAATGACCACAGCTCTTGCAAGAATGAAGGATATACCCCATGAGCCCAGAAAGAAATATTCATGATATGCTCAAAAGAATCAGGATGATTATAGAAGAGCCAAGGTAGCTTGGTGTATAATGCTTCCATGGCACTTGAATATCGTGTCCAGCTCATGCTGCATAATCGGGAATCCGTGGAGATTCCCTTACCGCTACGCAGCAAGATTCATTTAGATACACCACGGCCTTGTAAAGGGTGGAACTAGAGCTACTTTTATTACTTTATCTATAAAAGTACCTATTCACTGGAAGCTTAGGTTAGGCGTTGATATTACACCTTCACGTCTAGCAGTTATTATGGATGACCAATGTGCAAAGATAGATCACTCGATAGCCATACACTGAAGGCCGACATATATCTACCAGACGTGTCTTCTTGTTTCTAAGGAGACGAAAAGGACCGCGAAGCTGCTCATGACGCCAATGCGCAATGCGACCGTTAACGGCCCAAGAAGCCCATCGTCGCGTAGGGTGGTATTTGGCGACTGAGTTCCTGGCGGAGGCTGTTGGGGCTGAGGAGTATTCTATCCCCCATGTGCAAGGCCGTGATACGGCGGGTTATCGGCTCCTCCATGGGGAAAAGGCGTTGATTGTTGCATTAATGCGTGGAGGCGAGCCTATGGCTCTGGTGTCAGCGAAGCCTTTCCTTTTACCACATTCCTCCACACTCGGTATCCCAACGATGTCACGGCAGATTATCTGCGCGGCCGAAACGCCGTTTTTCTTGTTGATTCGGTGGTAAATAGCAGTGGTAGCGTGGCACAATTCGTCCGGTATGTTCTCAGCTTGGGCAGCGCAATTAATATTGTGATAGTTGCTGGCGTTGTCCACGGCTCCAACAAGATCCAGCTCGCCGCTGTCCGTCGCCTCGGGAGAATTGGCATCGTCGCCTCACGCCGTCCTACCGTCAAGAGCGTCTGCACCACCGCCAGCCTGTAGCCCCCAGGGCCCTTCCGCGGCCTTAAGCGCGTCTAGTAGCAGCATATCTCTATCCACGTCCCTAGGAAGTAAAAACGCGACTACTTCGGTATCCTCCTATACCTCGACTCTTCTATAGCCATTTATTCTAATATATTATAGCGCTCGAGAGGATGTTTCTGGCGTATATACACACCTCGCCAACCTTTACAATAGTTAGCGTCTTTATTACCTAGCTCTTCTAATTTAACCACGCCGGAATCTGAAATCTACGGTTCATCACGCGTAAATTTCTGACTGGACAGTTTTTTGGATTCACTTTTTTCCTATGGTACATGCTGACTAAGTAGTTATGACTACATTATGTAGTAACTATAATACATGACAGATATCCACGACGAGCACAACCATGTAAAGCCCAAGGAGGACGACCCTGGCCATGCGCCCAGTCACGACTCTGGTCACGGCGGACGTACTTCGCAATAAGAAGTGCTGCAGCTTCTTCTATCATTAGTCCAAGCTTAAGAAACCGCCTGTCATTCTTTTGACATCATCTTGGATAACTTCAATAGGGGTAACGAATGCAACATCGAATTGTCCTGCTCGACAATCAATCGCAAACATCATTCCGACAAGTTCACCGCGCACATTGGTCACAAACGAGCCGGAGTCTCCAGGGGCGGAGAAATTCGCTGTATAAGACAAGATTTCAATCTCAAATGTGGTTTCGCCTGATGGCCACTGCACTTCCCTATGCATATGATTGACCTCCCCTGTAGTATACCCAGTAGAACGACCGCGTTTTGTTACCCAATCCCCCAAACGAGGCTGAGCAAACTGCGTTACTTTAGAATCGGCATTTTGAGTGTAGGCCTCATTGTATGGAAGTTCGAAAGGAGGTTGAATAGCATCGCCTGGGGTTGGCTTATTTGCGGTAAAAGTCTTCGGGCTTGAAATCAGCGCCCAATCTAGCCTGGTATCAGCTGTTCGCCGGTGACCGGAAGCAAATATGACATTCCCAATGCTGGGACTTTGAAGTCGAGATGAGAGTACCTGGTAAGTCTGATCGTTGCTAATATCTCCTGGATAATTTTGATATATCCGTTCAAGTCGCCGCATGGTATGTTGAGAGTCATAAGCTGCCGGGTATTCGACTTCGACCTGCCCACGCGGATCATAACGAACAACGCCGTTCATATCTGTATATATGGAAGTTGCATTGTCTGTAGACCTTATAACATGATAACAAGTCAGAGCACAAGGGATCGCCTGCTTCTCTTGAGGCAAATTCAACAGGACCCATCCACCAAGGGAGCCAGCTTGCTTGCTATTCCCTTTAACTCCAATGGATGAGCCATTCTGAGGATATCCAGGCAGCCCGCTTAGGTATATTGGCAATCCGTTTGGCTGAGAGAGATGAACTTGTCCCGGAAGAAATTCGACGTGAATGCGAGAGGGTACTTTCTCTAAAACTTGGATAATCTCCGCCTCCGCCGTTTTAAAATCGCAGGACGTTCCAGGATAGCAGAACACCACAATGGTAGGTTTCCAAAGGGTCTCATCCAAGTTCGATCCTAGAGGAGCGCGCAAATGGTATGCAATCGATGACATACCCGCCATCCGAGTATGGACAATCTTGGAAACACTTGGCCTGATAGACCTCATATCGTGGAGCAGAAGCGGATCATTGGGTAGAACACGAGAAACGTCGGAATACATGCGGTGTTTGTTATGAATTTCCACCTGCGTCTGGCCGGCAAACTCAAGAGGGAGTGCCTGCTTGAAAATCGAGAGTACGTATCTTGACGCCGCTTGCCAGTTGGCGGTGTTTTCATCATTCGATTCGATCAAAATGGTGTGTCTTGGGCTGTCACAGTCATTTTCGCGCCAATCGTCGAGGCGTGACAGAGAGAAGGGCACATTATACTCCGCAAGTATTCGAGCTATCTCTGGTTTCACTTTTGCATCGAAGATTCGCTGCAAATCCGGAGGGCTATTGCGGATGATAACAGGGTATAGCATCGGGGTGCCAAAGGCAACAACCCGAAATCTATCTTTTTGCGATGCCCATTCTTCTATCGTAAGACTTTTGTCATCAGAGGTAGCTATCATTCAGAATGATATATTAGCCACTGCTAGATTAAGAGCGGACGCGAACTTACAGCTCATATAGCCGGAATCTTCAGACAAGTTAGCTCTCCTGACTCCCACCATCTTGCTGATACGCGAGCTGTAGAGGCTGTAAGTCAGTCGGTTGTATCTGATGTATGTGAAATGGCTGAATGATGGTCTTATGTGTTAGAAGGCAGGTTTCTTACTCATAACTCTTATGAAAGGAATCTTATATAGTTAATTCAGGACAGAAAAGGAACTTGCTGGTTTTGGGTGTTGTTGTGTTGCGTTGTTAAGTTGGTGTGTTCCAAAGAGGGGAAATGAGTCAAGCCACCAAGGGAAACATGGCTCTTTTATGTTGTTTCATTGCTGAGCTGGTCAGTTTGACATCATTGACTTGGTAACTCACGTAACTAAGTATTCGATGAGGACTGAAATCAATATAACATCATTGACTTGATAACTAACGTGACTAAGTACTCGATGCTAAACTATAAATTTCAACTCTATTATAATATAGAGATATTATTAAAAAAATTATCTAATATATAACTAGGTCAAGCGCGAGACGCGTGCGCGATAGGACAAAGAGAAGCAGTGCGGCTGGCGGCTGGCGGCTGGCGAAATGCTTCCAGAGGTCAGGAATAGGTGGGGTCATTTGACGAGAACGTTATTTCATGGCGAAGGAGCTTCTACACCCGCCACTCGTCGTGTTCGTCGACGTCCACTGGAGGAGGCTTAGAAGACGCCAGGCAGCAGCTGTACGCGGAAGAGCAACGGAGTCTGACGAGAAAGCAAAACGAGATTATAGTATAGAGCGCTCGAAAATTAGCTGATACAGTTGGTTATTGTTAGAGACTTGCAAAGAGGACCAGGATGAGCGTGTACGTGTACATTTGGTAACTATACTGAACGTTGCTAAGATACAGAGGGTGAGGGGTGCAGGTCACAGAAGTAGACGGGTCCCCAGGAGTAAGGAAATCAGGAAGGACATATATCCCTCCTAAAGGATGGCTTTAAGGTAGAATTAACCACTGTAGGTAAGGGTATCGATATCAGTCATGCTGTCGACGCGTTTGGGCGTGCAATGGTGTCAGCCAGGCGATAAGTTGTAGCAATGGGGGATACATGACAGAATTGAGAACGACTTGCTATGCTTTGAGTCAGGTATTTGTTTTAAGATAACCAGCTGACTGAGTGCAGTTGAAACGACAATAGAAAGTAAAAGTTTAAAGTCCAGGAGAATGAGGGAGAAGAAGGAAAGAAATAGTCATCTTGAATGTCCTTCTTTCCGACCTCCACGAAACGCCAGCTCTCGCCAAGCAGTTCGTTGGCCAAGGAACTCCGCCTGGCCGACACCCCCAGCAGCAGCATGGATCAGGACTTTCCCTCCAGCCTCTACACGCGCAGCCTCGAATAAAGAGTAATACGCCGATCCCTTGTGCGTGCTTGATGATGCCAGCATACTCGAAGCCCATCTGAGGCTCCTCCAGCTGCCCCATGGCTACCATTAGACCGGTCCGATAGATTTTGACTATACAAACATAGTATATTTAAATATATTACTATTTTTAACTATATTAACTATCTGGATATTTTATATAGTTATATATTTAATAAATACTTGAAAAAAAAAACCTTAATTTAAATATAAATTTTAAATAATAAATATTATAAAAAAATAATTATATAAGGATTCTAGAATCCACTGTGTATGAATTGGGAATGAACAGGGGGCAGCAGTCAGCTTGAGTTGAATTAATTCAAAGCTACGAGCACGGTTCGATAATTTGAAGAGCAGAACTAGTTCCTAGGCCCTCGCACCAGATGCTCTACCACACGGATGAACACCTCCTTTTTCACCCCATCTTCCACCGCAGGCAACACATGTTTCTTATCATAAAGCCTCTCCCCCGCGTCAAGTTCATGAAGGTATAACCTAGCCTGCGTATCGATATCACCAGTTACGCCCAAGTCGAACCGTTTAGCTTCGTCCAGGTGACAAGTAAGATGAGCCAGCATGAGGCGATTTGCCTGAGCGTTGGCGTCGTTACGGCGTATAAAACATTCTGACATCTCAGTATATTTCATGCCCTCTGTTTCGACTCGAATTGGGAGTTTGCTGGTGTTATCACCAACAGGTGTGGTCCGGACTTGCTCGATGATGGTGTATATTTTTGTAGGTATACGTTCGAGCTTGACCCTTTTCTTGCGTTTCACTGGTTCTTCGTGGATTTCTCGTTCAACTCGCACTGTTACTGTGCGGCCGGATCCAAACTCTACTGTTTGTTCAGTGAAGCCTTCTTCAAATGTTGCGCGGAATTCCATGCGCATGCGTTCCTTTAAGTTGCTGTAGCAGGATGCTATTTGGTCTCGCATTTTGTCCTCTGCGCGCAGCCTATTCAGGTGTGAGGATATATAGACTGGCCTTGGGTTTGGATCTGCTGGGTCAATTTCCGTGCGGTAGACGTGGTAAGCCCAGACAGGTTCCGGTATATCATCTTCCTGAGCGTCCTCGGAATCTTCTTCCTCTTCCTCTTCATCACTATCATCATCATCGACTTCTTCTTCAGTGTTGTCACTATCGTTGGACTCATCTTCACGATTATCAGCGTTAAACAGGTAATTAAGGCTGGTGGGAGGCCTAAAAAGCTGCTCGCTGCTGCTTCGTTGGTTGGATGGGACTGGGTGGATAATGGGGCGGGATCGTTGTGCGTATTGGTGCATAGAAAGACGCCCGGTTTGGCGGCCAGCAATTGAGGTCGAGGAACGAGGCTGCAGTTCCCAGGGCTTCCTAGCCTGTGTGTTTTTAGCGCGGAACATGCTGGTATTCGAGGCCAAATCTGTCTAGAGGGTGAAAGCGAGGGTGGGTCGGTGTAGAAAAGAAGATAAGTAAAGGAGTGAATGATGGTAGTTTGAACTGCAAAGTAGTGCGGGTAACGGGTCAAAGTAAGCCAAGTAGTGAACAGAAGTAGAAGGCCAGTGGCAGAATGTGAACGATAAACGAAGGAAGCTATTCAAGTATCTCACGTAAAGACCAGAGATATCGTAGAAAGTGATACCAAATTCAGAATAAATCATCAAATTTGGTCAAACAGGTATATTGCGGAGAGAGTGAACTGAATATAAAAGGTAGATGTGAGGCTTGTTGCATCCATCTATTTATATATCCAAGGGGTTGCAACGGTATCCAAAGCAAAGAGTACATACTACTACTACTATATGTATCCTTAGCTCTAAGATAAAGAGATAGGGGAAGAATAGTCCGGGGTCTCTTTCTGGCTAAGGATGGATATTATCCTTAGAGGCAGGCATATACGTTTTGGTAGATATATAGGCTATTTTAAATAATTTAGTAGTAAAAATATTTACTAAATATATAGTATTTATTGAGCTAGTAAACCCTGCCTATAGCAGGGTCTTAGTCAGGCCCGATTAACTATAAGGGATACGGATACCCACGATAACGACTCTTATTCAATTTGACCAGAGAAAAGGGGAAGACATAAACAAGCAACAAGCAAGATGACAACGTCTACCGACGCCCCAGCGTTTACCGCTGACCTTCCGACCCTCCTCTCCATTGCCGCCGCCCTCTCCATCATGCCCCTATCCTACCTCCTAGGCACCACCCTCATCCCATCCAACCAACTCCGCAACCGCCTTCTCTTCTTCTGGCACGCCTACGATGCCGGAACCCATCTCCTAATCGAAGGATCATTCCTCTACCACTGCTTTTTCAGCTACAAGCAGCTTGCGCCTGGAGAAACCATCCCAGGAGTCTATGGACCACCATACTTCCTCAACAGGCCTGATAGAGCTTACGGTGCCGCTTACGGTGTGGGAGCCAGTGCTAGAATGTGGCAGGAGTACGGCAAGGCGGATGCGCGCTGGCTCGGCGCTGACCTGTGCGTCGTCTGCCTGGAGATATTGACGGTGTTTATCGGCGGGCCGTTGGCGGTGTATATCTGCTACTTGATTACCAGATCTTCGTCGACGAGCAGCACAACTGCGTCCAAGGCGAAGTACTCTAGCTGCATGTGGTTTTCATGCATTATCTTGGCCGTGGGAGAGCTGTATGGTGGGTTCATGACCTTCGGACCGGAGTGGTTCTCGGGAAGCGTTGGTTTGGAGACGAGTGACCCGGTCTATCTGTGGCTATACCTTGTCTTCTTCAACGTCCTTTGGGTAATTGTTCCACTCTGGGTGCTTTTTGTTGCCTATGGAGAGATCAAGGCTGCTTTTGCGACTGCTGCTGTTGCGAATGGACAATATGCTAAGAAGCTTAACTGAATGTTTTTTATGACTTGAAGAATATTGGCTTTGCCTTTTTTCCAATTAATCCCAGACACTCAGATGCTGTTAGAACTTGTTGGGTTATTCCACTTTAGCTAGACTCGCACACATTTCCCGAGTATCCGCATTAGGCCTTTTTGTCCCTTGTGGTCCAACCGTTACCTTGTCCTGCATCATCTGTTGCAGAATATCTTCATCCCAGTCAAAATCACGCAGAGTTCTAGCAGCTGGCTTTGGAAACTCCCAGGCATGGTTCACCATCCACACACAGTGCTGCAGCAATTTTTTGGCAGGAGTTATATATCGATTGTTTTTCAAGACCCAGATACCACGCATTTCCCATCCCTCGCACGGACACCCTTCATGAAGTTGATCCTCTCGACCTGAAACGGAGCGGTTGGCGATTCGAGCAAACCACAGCTCATTGGTTATTTGGATCTCTGCGCCAAATTGACCAAGGGTGCCCATCTTCCACGACAAGTAGCACATTTGTTAAAATCCATAGAAGATTCTCCTCAGTTACCGAGCCATTTTGATAGAAGCCACCAATGGCGGCGCTCGTCGACGCGTTATTAAGGCGGACATTTCTATAGACAGCACAATCTCATGGCATCTTGTCCCATCGCTATAAGACCGCGGCTGTCATCTCTGTCCTTGCAGTGACGCACAATGGAGCTCGAGCGAGCGGCTTCTGAATAAGACCCCGACTGGGATGGCGATCAACTCTGTAATCGTGGGTGCTTTGCTGCTCGAGGCGGTATTTGTGGCGCTGGGACGGCAGGTTCACCAGCCGCGGGTTCAGTACTTGGGGCAGTAAGGGCCATCCGATTTACTGCAGCTTGACTTTTTGGACGAAGCTGCAGTCCCACCGGCATGGCGTTGCAGCCGTTGCTTGGTGATGCTCTGAGCGTCCACTAGAGGAACTACCAAAAGAGTGAGGAAAGTGGCCAGCAGGTTGAAGCTGTCCACCATCTTTGATATTGATCACAGCTAGATGGACATTTGTTTAGAGGTAGGTGGCCTTGGTACTGAGTAGTTAGAGGTATATATAGGGAGAGTAGTTGTTAAAGAAGAGAAAAAGGATTACAGGTTTTATTGGATTCTACTGCCTTTATAGAGTAGCCATCTGGGCAGTTGTTAATTAACTACTTACATTCACTGGCAAAGTATTGACTATCTGGTTCTTTTGTTCACTGCAAATATTGAATGAATACCTAGACTGGGCCTACCCCGTAATACCTGAGCGGTCGTAAGTAAAGATATGATAGCGTCGACTAGTTAGAGGCCTGTCGAAGTGATATCCTCATGCCTTTCTTTCTTCGACATAACATAGTTAATTATAGTCAGCATATGTGTTGGTCACTGCTTTATCAGCCGTTTCAATTAACTTCCGAAGCGTTTGCGAGACTCGCCTGGCTGTCCATATAGTTGGATATCGAGCGGTTATAGTTAACTCGAGATGCATCCTCGCTGTCAGGTTCATGCAAGCTGCACCCAGTCCGCTGGTTCCCTTGCCGCTGTCGACTCGCTATCCCCCTGTACTTCGTAACTCTGCTCTGGCTCTTTCTCAGGGGCTCCGAGGCATCTTCCCCCCCAGCCACAACAACGGCCGCTGTAGTTGGTTATAGAGATGCTTAACTGTCGGCTGTGCCACCGCGAGAGTTCGAGATGGAGCAGCAAGGGACGAAAGACGAGGTCAAGGGACGAGGCACTGCCACAGCCAGTGTTGGCAGTGGAAGCAAACACGAGGGACAAGCGGGTTGGCGTTCGTGATAAAAGGCGCCTCGAGGCTGGAGGATCTTGGGACGATCTTGGGTTGCCGCTCACGTATTTAGTCGATCAGTAGCTATTTAACTAGGCGGATCTCCAGCCAGCATCTCACGACCAGCTATATTGTCACATAATTTCACCTGCTGCTCAGCTATTCACCCCGTTGAGCCTCGTTGCTAGCTATAGACTGCTAGTCATACATATATTTCGGACCAGTTCTCGCCTCTGCTTCCGTCATGGCTGGATATCCCCCGCCAGGCCGTATGTTGCGCCCAACCAACCAACCCCCCCTAACAACTAGTGGTTATATGTACCATTACTGGTGAAGCCGATACTGACTGCGATACTGTCTAGAGTACCCCTATCCACCTCAGGGTGGTGCGCCGCCTCAGGGCTATCCTCCACAGGGCTATCCTGCCCACGGCCAACCGCCACCACAAGGACAGTATCCCCCGCAAGGCCAGCACCCTCCTCCAGGAGGCGCGCAGGCCCAATACTACGCACCGCAGGGACAGCATCCTCCTCCTCCTCATCAAGGCCAGTATCCTCCCCAGGGACAGTATGGCGCTCCTCCACCCGGTGGTGCCCCGCCTTACGGGTATCCGCCCCAGGGACAGTATCCTCCTGCGCAAGGATACCCGCCTCAGGGCTATCCTCCACAAGGCTATCCTCCCCAGGGATACCCTCCACAGGGCTATCCCCAACAGCCCGGATACGGTGCACCACCTAGTGGACCACCAGCACTACCCTCTCCAGGCTACACGCCAGGCCAGATGGCACAGGGAGACGCCAGTAGAGAAGCCGATACCCTGCGCAAGGCCATGAAGGGCTTTGGAACCGACGAGCTCACTCTGATAGAAGTCCTCGCAAAGCCAGATCCGCTCCAGATGGCTCTCATCTCACATACCTTCAACTCCCGCCACAAGCGCAACCTTGAGAAGGACATCGAAAAGGAGTGCGGAGGCAAGTTCAGAGATGTGATGATGGCTCTCGTCCGAGGACCTCTGATGCAAGACGTCCATGCCATCAACAAAGCCATCAAGGGCATGGGCACCAACGAGAAACTGCTCAACGATGTCCTTCTCTCCCGCACCAACGCAGACATCAACGCCATCAAGACAGCGTACAAATCCACCTTTGGCCGCACCCTCGAGTCAGACGTACGCGGAGATCTATCCATGCAGACAGAACAGTTCTTCAACCTGGTACTGGCCGCTACTAGGTGCGAAGAAAGCACGCCTCCTAACCAATACCAGCACGACCAAGATATCGCGCAGCTCTGGGGAGCCATGGGCGGCAACACAGGCGTACCCAAGACCACTGTCTGGCAGATCCTCACCCAGCGATCCAACAACCAGATCCGTGCTCTTTGCGATGACTTCCCCAAGAAGCACAATACCGGGCTCAGCGTGCAGATTACAAGCCATTTCTCGGGCCATATTCGTGACGCGCTGATGTTTATGATTGGCAAGGCAGTCAGGCCTGTCATGCATGATGTCATGGCGCTGGAAGATACCATGTCCGGCATGGGTACCAACGACTGCCTTCTGATCGAGAGACTGGTGCGTATTCACTGGAACAGACACCACATGGAGCAAGTCAAGCAGGAATATCAGACGAAGTACGGTAGGCCGTTGAGGACGCGGGTTGCCGGTGAGACAAGGGGAGATTACGAGAAGGCCCTCCTTACTATGCTCCAGTAGTTAGTTATTTAACTAGCTAACTCAGAAAATGGGCTGGATGTTTGACTTATGTTACTGACTATCCGCTGTTAATCATGTTTAATATGTTTGATTTTTCTCCCTGTCGTGAATTTGCTATGAATGTTATGGGAAGATAGTAGTCTTGTTAGAAAAAGGGTTGTTTCGCTCTAACGGGTGTATGTAATGGGTGACGGATGAGGTAGAAGAAATATTGTATAGCTAGTATTATGTAGAAACGAACTATAGTGATGCTACCAGCAATGTCATGATGGATACGGGAAGAGATCATAGAGATATCAACCCATAACTAGCAAATGGAAACAGATAAGACGGGACAAAGACAAGGGCACGCCCGAGTCAGTACCATCGAGACATAAGGTCATCACTTCATCAGCATAAACAAAAAGGCGAAAGGTCAAAAAAAGAAAAGAAGCCCTCGCTGAAGGCACAACGAAACCCGCCTCTGGCCGGAAAAGAACACAAAAAATAGACTCCCCTTCGCCTCCTCCTCTTTACTTGTCATGGTCTAGAAACTTCCCAACATGGTCTCTCACGCTGAAGCCGTTGAAGAGCCAATCATTCCCATGTCTGCCAACCTGCGTCATAGTGCTGCTTCGGCGCTTATGATTGGAACCGCTGCTCTTGCGAGAATGGCGCTTCTTCTTCTGACATTCATCCGTCGCTGAGTCGGGAGTGTTTAACTCCGGGCTCATTATTTGTGTGGGCGAAGTAACTTGTTGGCCAGCATGCGCAATATGATGATCTGTGCTCGTATCAATTGGAGCTGGAGCAGGAGACTTTGCTCGAGACTGGGAGCGAGATCGGGAATGAGAGAATGAGCTGAAGAAATGGCCTCGGGACGGAGAGGTGGGTGGTTCCAGGTGAGAGGTTGCTGTTGGCGGGGATGTTCTCCCACCCAAGCTGGCGCCTCTGCTGTGACGGTGGAAGAAGTGTGGCAAAGACGAAGAGTTAAGCGGAGCCTTTGATGAATCGCTGCTCCCCGAGCAGGTTGTGGCAGTAGAAAGGCTCGGGACGGAGGAAGCGGTCGACTCGGTTGTATGAGCCGCTGGGAATTGTGGGCGATCGGACATTATTGCGGTGACTTGCTCTTGTCCAGAGAGTAACTTATGTATCGAAGTAAATTGTTTTGATGTCCAGCGACTTGAGCCGTGCAAGTCAATTGCAGAACCCAGCCGATAAGTTGAATTTGATGTCTGGCGGATAAAAAAACCCGGGTTGGAGTCAAGTCAACCAGAAAGAGAGAACTCTTGCGTCTAGCAATGCAACGATAAAAGAGCGAAATGTAACAACGCCCTGCGTCAGAATAGATGTTTCAGATAACCAGCTAACTGAAGAGTCGGTAACTTGTCGGTGAATAAACAGTGAATAAACAGGAAACAATCGAGGGGGGCGATCCAGTTGTATTTATGCCCCCCCAGCTGAAGCGAGGATGCACCGGGACGAGACGAGCCCATCGATGACTCCCTGCGAATGGCCTGCTAGACGAACGCTTGAGACATCCACCAAACGGTCATTGGCCGTGACGTATGTAGCTGCTGTGAACAACTCCCAACCCCCATCGACCAGGGGTGATCACCGACTTGTGGAGAAGACGGCCACCTAACTAATAATAGCTGCAATGAATCTGGGCTTCCCTTTCTGTTCATGCCCACGGCTCCGGCACCCTTCACCATCACCGGAGAAGAGATACGGCAGCAACAAAACGCAAGTCGACAAGTCGGTTACTCTGTAAGGCTCTCAGGCCGCGGCCGGGCGTCTCTTGAGCCGCATGTTCAAGCATAATTAGTTGTCACCTGGCTCGGCGTGCGCAAGAATATGCTAGCAAACAAGCCGTTTACTCCACGCTGGCAAGGAATCGGCATGCAGGTTTGACTTCCTCTAACAACTGAGCGGTCTCGCGGCAACCGAGTCAGGCCAATATGCCACATCGTCAACACTTGCGCGTGACGTTTGGTCCGACAGCTTGGCTGGTTATCTCGAACGTCTCGAGAAGAAAGCGCTGAAAAGGAAACCTGGCATCTCCTCGGCACGCTCAGCTTCAGCCCTACCGGGTCCTTTGCGAGGTACAAGGTACGATGATCCATTGTTATGCTTCCCCGGGGAGAGCAATATGACGCAGCGTTTGAATCCTTCAAAGTATCGAGAGCGCAAGATGGCTTCTAACTCCTCGGAAGCGGCATCTTGTTCTTTCTTCGCTGTTTTCTAAGAGAATTATCAACTTCCGTATCGTCCGCTTCCGGATTCTTCTTCCTGCTAACTCACCTCGATTCCCGCAGTCCAAGCAGGGAGTAGGAAGCCGAGTTTAGTACCTGGTAATTACTAGGAAGCTGATGACTAAGACAGAACTAATGCGGGAGTAATTCATCAGTGAATGTTTTATTTCGAGCAATCGGCTGCGGCCCCTGTTAGAGGCGAATTATCCATTGCTTCGTGCTTAATCTCGCAGGGCCTCTCATAGCCATTGTCATACTCCTTTCCCATCCTGAGAACTGAGCGCATTGATTCTTGTAGCAACGATCCAGTAAGACATATTTTTTTCGTATTTTTGTAGTTAGTTAAGTAACTAACTAGTTATAAAAGAAAAACAAAAGAGATAAAATAAAAACGAGAAAAACATTCAAAAAGAGCATGTCCTCTCTCTCCCCTTCTCTCCACCCGTGATGTTACCCTCTACCCTCCACTCGGCCTGTATTGCCCCATTCCCTGGACTGGAAGTTGGGCGTAAGACGCTAGGCCGAAGCAGTCTTTATAGTAGGTGTTAACGCTTAGCGCTACCCGGCCGTTTATAAACCTTCGTGTCGGGGGCACAGGTCAATGGCAAGACAAAGCCATTCCATACCATGGTAGGTTCCGCTGGAGGCTCTGGAGCCTTGGGCTGCTTGGGACGTGGGTAAGGGTCGTACTGAACCGATGATTTGCAGGTTGCGGAACCGCAGTCGTGCCACTTCCAGGCGTATTTCGATCTATCCGCGCGCTCGCGCTGGGCGAATTTACACATCTAAGAAAACAAAGAGGATTAGAAGTGTGTATCTATATAAAGTATAGTAATAAGGATGTTTACCTTGGCAACAGTTCGAGTCCAAAGTCCAAGTGGAGTATTTGATACTGTGTGTTTCTGTATTTCTGTGAGTTGGATTTATATCAAGATGGAGATTTTATCTAAGCTATATATACCCATAAGCGCCAGCGATTTACTATACCGAGCTAGCTACGTCTACACCCGGGGGCTGTAAACGGAGCTTTGGTGGCATATGCAGCCATAACACCACAAGAATATCTATTGGTATGGGAGCCTTACCAGTTTCGAGAATGCCGCAAGGCTGGCGCTTGCTAGAGTCGATTCGTGGTATTGGTTGCAGTTCAGTCATCTGAATGTAGAAGTATCTATGTATAGAGAGGAGGCATGACAAATATCGAGCAAGGTGTCGCAAGGCTAGCGCTTGGGTTTGGGGTCAAAGTCGCGTATTAGCTTCCACGACATCGCCCATAAGGACAGATCCTCTAGGAGAGTCTTATCTCTAGGCCGCAGTCGAGGGAACAGACAGTCAACCGCAAGCAGAGGTTACCCAGAGTGACTGAATATTGGCGCTTCTGATTCAGACCTTGGTGAATTCCATCCATGATAGAGGGATAGACGGACGGATTAGGATATCCTGAAACTGGAAAAGGGGCACAACTTTCAGGGCTGAGGGTATGGTCGAAACAGTCGACTTCAATGCATGTGGAAAGAAAATCAATGCATGCAAGTGTGTGTGTGTGTGTGTGTGTGTGCGTGTGATAAATTCCTCCTACGCCGTATGGATCCAACTCATTGGGCAAAAGAAGCTATCTCCCCCGCCAGCTGAGCAAATGCCCCTGCGGAATACAGCAGGGTGATATTGCAAAACGTCCTCGAACCATTCCAGTGCGACTTGATTGGCCAAAACACTTGCACCAATGGGACAATGCTCTCCTGCGCCGTCAATGGTGCTGAAGTGATGGTATGTAGCAAGCTTGCTACCGATCTTATCAGTTAGTGCCTTCCCCTGGCTAGGGAAGAATTGGTCATCCTGTGCATCTGCCACAAAAATGGGTATTATCAGGCTCTGCGTAAAGCCGTGTAGTCATAGTGTACGCTTGAGCTCCTGAGAGCTATTCGAAGGGAAATTTAGTGTTGAACAACTAGTTATAGGCCTGCTAAATACCCTAGCGATTAGACAACGACGTCAAGGGGTCCGCCAGGGCCTTTTCTAGTATAGAATTGAGGAGTTTTGCGTTAGTTACCGAATTTAAAGACTGCCTTGAGCTTGGGGGAAAGGGCTCTAGCACTTATATATAATAATGTTAAATCCTCACTAGAGCGCACTAGAGAGATAGTCGTGGCTGGGCAACAGAGACATGGTTTTCGCTGTGGATCGAGGTGCTCTGTGATCCCTGTCGCATCCTCGTATTCAGGTCCTTAGGTCATTCTGAACGTTGTCCAAGAACAACGCTCCGTGGAGCCGCACAGCAACCGGGCATATTCGGAGTCGCGAACCAGCGTCAACTGCCGGCACTCCGTGTCCATGAGTTCGTTCTCTTCATTATCGTCGAAAGATGTTGTTGAAGTCGTCGTCGTCGTCGAGAATCGATGTCTATACTGATGACTAAACCCATTTACTTCATACAGCGACTGCACTTCTCAACCAGCACTGGATATCAGCATACAGAAAACAATTTCAAGGCCTGTATTAGGTATATCTGGTATCTGCAATGTGTGTTGAACGCATCGCGATACGGCTATACTACTTAACTACCGACATGGGGATATCACATTGCACAAATTGGCCCAACTTCTCTATCCGCCCAGGACGCTGTTGATCCTGTTCATCCACAGTGAGCACAGCCGCTCTTGCATCCCTTTTTGCAGTGCTCTAGACGCCTGGCACTGGTTGGCGTGACACAGTCGTACAGACCCTGGAGGTCAGGAACATTTCCCCATCCTATTGCTCGAGTTAGGGCAATACAAGAACAATCACAAAGGAGGAGGATTCGTTACCGAGGCCATCAGCAAGATACCACCCACAATAGTTGTAACCAACGTTGCAGACTTGAGCAGGGACTAGGCTGTTGCCGTTGCTGGGAGTTGCTTCTTCATTAAGCGCTGCGCCGTTTGCAAGGCTAACGAGAGCGATGGTAATCAGGGAGGCGAAATGCATGATGGCAGACTCGAGAGGGTAGAGTTCAGTGCTTTCACAAGCTTGGAGTGTGATTGTTCGAAATTGGTCAATAGTAGGTAACTAGGAGCTGTCGAGGTCGTTGTGGTTGATGGAAATAACCCTTTTGACAGGAATATGAGCCCCTTTTTATACCCGTAGAAGCCATATCATAGAGGACGGGAAAACTGACCCTTCCGGGCTATGAGCGGGTGTATAACTCTAAGCTCTATAGACTGTGACCTGTGATTCTCGTTGTGATCAGAATCCAAATACGAGTTTCTGTCATCTAGCCATCCATAGCAATGCTATGTATCCTGTCTAGAACAAGGCATCTCGTTTCATAGATACTGGGGGTATAATTCCATGAAAGGGGACTGATACTTCCGCTCATCGCTATATGAGGCGAAATTCAGACGGATACTCAGGTATAGAGACATTTGGCTGATATAAAGGATATCTGCATATGAAAGTTCAAGGTTGGTATCAAGAAAACATGAGTATAAAACGAGCAACTAGGTCTATTCGGAAATATATATATTGTGGCTTCGGAGGATTTATCTAGAACTGTAGCTTCACGGGTATATAGATCACAGTTTATGGGCACTCCCAGTCGCCGTTTAATATATTGTCCGCCTCCAATCTCGAAGAACGAAAGCCGATAGGCGAAGCGGCAAGCGCCCTATTGGACTTTGCTAGATGTAGGTGACATTTATGTAGCATGGCTGGTCCGAATATCAACTTTTTACGGGTATTGGAGCTGACAGGCTTCAAGTGTACACTTTTCTGTTTGCTTGGAGCTGATTCAGGGGCAGCCTGACCGGATAACCCGGAATAAACATAGGAGGTTATGATAGTTGACCTCCCCAGGCTCGGGTTATTATCCCTGTTGAGAGCAATCCGTTAGATGCAGGCCAGGATGTGACTGCAGGGGCGTGTTTGGAGATACCCATCACGCGAGTGGTGTCGTAGGTAGAAATGAACGAGTCAGTGGTGGCACAAAGCACTTCCCACCAGATCAGAATTTCAGAGGGAATATCCCAGTTCTTCATGGTAAATAATCAACTGTAAAATAATGATAGAGAATATAAAATTTAGAAACATAAAAAATGCAAAAAGAAATACGCTCCCTAGCGGGGAATCGAACCCCGGGCACGAGTGTGAGAGACTCGGATGTTACCTCTACACCACTAAGGATTGTTGATGGGTAATCTGCGGCTTTGGTTACTTAAGACCCCTAAAGGCATCATGTGACCATCTTGGAGCCAAGAACTTCGCGATATCAAAGTCAGTTTGATATACAATAACAGGTTAATAATATAGATCATGGAGTTATCCAGCTAGCCGGAGCTATTGTTTAACATGCTAGGTCTGCATAGCGCGGATAGATATGCTCGCCAACTACCTGGTCCATAGACACCGAGGGGTCGTTGGTAGCCAATGTTACATTCCTGGAGAAACTGACATCGAGAAGTACCGCTACATCTCTGGCCGTTGGTTTGGACTCAGACAAGATACGAAACATTGGCGGCATGGCGGGCTATGACGTTCAGCGTATAGAAAGCTGGATACGACACATGCCAAGTTGTGCCCTGCACTGCGGATATGGACTCTGGTGTCAGCTGGAGAAATGTGGTGCACTTTGGCCTTGGTTTACTTGGCTCTCCACCATCCATGGACCTGAGCGTTAACTGCTCAAGGACTGACTCAAGCTACCAAGAAGCATATGATAATTCGTATTGTCTTCTTAGTTGCAGGTATCCGATTGAGACATGGCCGTGAAGACGGTATGATAATCATGCCCAGAAAACGTCGAGGTGCTGCACTTCGATTGATACCCAACTGTTATTCTGCGACCTGCAGGAATGGAATGCTTTAAAGCAACTTCTGGGGTGCCTGACAAAGGCGTTGGCCAAAATGTCATCTCGAAAAAGGAAAAGTATCCGGCCAAAAACCTCATTTTTCTCTAGGGAGATTCTCCCCCATACCATAGTAGCAACTACCTACCTTATAAACTTGCTCGAACCAGTTTATCAGATTTGGTAGGTACCGCAAGAAGCGCTATGGAGGGCGTCTTTTGCGAAATGGAGAGAGCTCAAAGGAGGCTAAAGCTTGAAAATGCATCCCTAAGAAAGAACTACTGGATGCTCAGTTGCTACTCCCGCAACAGAAGCTGGAACCTCGATGGTGACCGTACATCACAATAGCAAAGCCTGATTCTGACAAGAAGCTGTTGGTTATGTTGATATCTCACTTCTTCAATGTGTGGTCTCTCTATCATTTAACTCATACCATTACATTGCTGTTTGAATCTGTACTTCAATCCTTACTTTTCGGCTCAACCTTTGCTTCCGCTCCGTTTATGCATGGATAAAAAACATCTGCTGGCTCTTGTCATAACGAGCTTTTCCTGTTGGCTATTCATTGTGATACTGATCTACGCTACCTGGAAGGCTGCAGACTGGTTTGGTCAAGAACCGGCGGACATCGAAACGGCTCAAGTGGAATCTACCCGCCCGCTCCCTATCTCCAGAACCAAACACGTTCGTTTCGCAGCCACCGTCGAATTCATCTAGGCCAGACTGAAGCTGTACCGCGCGTTCGTTACTTTTGATCTTGAAATTGGTGGTATCGCTGTGGTCGATGTTGCGTTACAGTCGATAATCCATGGCTCCCGTATATAACGGCTTTCTTCAACATCGGGAAGTTATTCAACCACCTCACCACCCTAAAGGACCAGGTAGAGCCGTTCCCGTGAACGAACGCATCGATTTGAGAACCTTTCTCCTACTTTTTATCGGAACGGTATCCATTTTTATACTCGGCGTTTTTTACTGGAAGCTAGGAACATTTCTACGCTCGTTCACACGCTCAAGGGTGACTGGAGGAGGGCGGAGTGCAGCTTCTCATCACGTTAGAGCCTGGTATGGATGGATTCCTACCATGGAATACAGCTATCATAAGGAACGATGGAAGGAGGAGTTTCGTTGGGTAAAGAAGTTTATGTTTTGGAGATCTTCTCATGCGGATTATAGTTGGATATGGTGGGATCCGGATGGGGAGAAATCAACGCAACGAGCTGAGGATGAGGGTCGGTTACGGCGTATCCCTCTGCGATTGATGAGATACGCCATAACCGGGCTGAGAACCAGCTCCCCGCCACCAATCAACCCTGAGATTGGTAGTCCGCGATTGAACCGCATATCTACCCATCAAATACACCGCAAACCTAGAGCTATGAAGTTTGAAGATCTCAATATTCCACGGTGTGGCGATGTGCGGCTTTCACCCTCATTGAGGAAACGATCCAAGTCCTTTGATAATAGTGAGCATGGAGTGGGAAATGCAGCACGGTCTCGTCATACAGCTCGCAAAACGCATTCAGAAGGCTATCATGATGGCTCACCCCGTATACGATTTCACTGTCCAATCACTCAGCCGCTACATACCGCAAGAAGATATAACCAAAGTAGCATCTTAAGTTTGGGGAATTCGATGGATGAGATGCCGGCTGAAAAAACACTTTCTTGGAAATATAGAGCGTGGGGAGCAAGGATGCAGTGTCAAACCTTTGGTGACACCCCAGGAACCCTTAAGGGCTATGCTGGCCGGCCAGGCACCGCAATGTCGTTTGCCATCAAAAGCATGATGTCATCAGGGTCTGGTAGCACTTCAGATATATACCAATCTCATCATAGTGATACTGGAACTCAGCCAGCTCCTCGATTGCCAAACCACCCCTCACGGGAAAGGAGACAGACACCCAGACCGCGATTCAGACCTGGGGAAGGCACCCTTCGAATCCGAAAATGTCGCGGAATACGCCGCCGGCCTCCTCTCAAGAACTGCCTAAGCCGCCCTGAAGTGCGTCTAGTTGATGACTTGGATAGAAAGCTAGAGTGGTTATCAAGTGAAATGGATCCAGGCCGAAAGTCGTTTGCGTTTCTCCTCCTTCACAATCATTGGCTCAACAGGGCTACTTGGGTTGTAATGGATCCCTCATCGAGACTTCCTGTGCAGAAGAAAAGAATACGGGGTGACCCAAGGGTAAATAAAATGGCATTTGGCAGCAAAAGCAATGCTGCTATACCAGACAATACACCAGTACCAAGAGCCAGAGCAGTTACGCCACGAATAGACTCCTGGAGAGTAGCAGTTAATCGCGCAAGGGCGTCCTCTGGAGCTACAGAGATTCCAAGGGCTGAGTTGTTTGAAGGCTCAGCCGAAGACGCTGCTGATAACAATGTTGACCCGGCAAGCTGGATTCTCAGAAAACCTCCACAGGGGCATGGAATGTCAAAAAAGCAGAAACAAGCCTATTTTGAAGGTCCCGGCGGCTGGTCTGAGAAGCTAGAATACTGGGAGAATGTCCCCCGGTTGTATAGAGCTCGTAGGGTAGTTCTTCAGGGGAAAGCCAACCGTCGATGTGTTGTTAGAACTGGAAAGGGTTTATATCACGGTGCTGGGCGAGTTGCTCGTGAAGCAAGGAAACTTAGTGCCCAGCAATACCACAGGATCAGACAGTTCGAGAGGTCTGAAAAGTCAGGCCGGGGAGTTATAGCCTTACATCATTCTTTAAGAAGCACTCTTTCGAGGTCTGCGGTCAATCTGCAGATAGCCGACGGCCCAACGCTGCAGCCCCAGAGTACTACTGATCCGGTGTCGATGCATGAGCGAGACGAAGGTTGAACCAAACCAGAGCATTCATGGACATCATCATTACCGTTGGGAACTAGTTTAATCGGTTAATCTTTCGTTCTTGCATACAGAGAAAAGGAGTTGCTGGCTTTTTATATCCTTGAAAACGGGACAAGTCCTTCTGTATTCAACATGTCCGTAGGATTATACAGTCACCAATAATCAAAAACAATCCAGTAATAGTACACACGTATATTCAGTGTATGTCTAACCGCATAAGGACAACCAAAAGGGAAAAAACTCCGTACATGCCCACATATTGGAGGAAGGTATTTATACATAGCGCAGAACAAGCATGCGCGTCGAATAGAGATGATATATCGATTGAAAAAAGAACAGAGTCGCAGCTTTAGAAACCAGGAGGATTGATTCTCTGGCTAACACGAGTCCATTTGGGCAGTTCTAGAAGGAGAACCCATCAGTTAGTATATGTTCATCCCACACAGCACGGCAAAATAGCCACCCCAAGGGACCTTAAACCGCTTAACCAGTTACGGGTGAAAACATACTATGTATTCCCTTGCGGTACTTCTTCTCCTTCCGGTCGAAAATCGTATACTTGTCTCGCGGCAGCATTTCCTCTTCCCTGGGCATCTCGCGGTACCATCGCTCAACAGGCTTCGCAGCTCCTAGCCCATTTCTTTCCAGCGCAGCGTAAACCGTATCAACGACGCTATCGACTGCTCTTAAACGCTTCCGTTGTCTAGCTTTCTGCGGGCTGGACAGGCGCCAGGGAATTTTCCTGTTGGAAGAACCGAGTTAGATATTACCCGTCTTATGGCCGTTGGAAGTGCATAATCATGCTAACACGGAGAGATTGGGCGTACCATAATAGGCCACTAAGCAGAGGAGAAGTTGGTTTGAACATATTGAACGGAATTGACGCGAATCGGGCGTTGAAAGGCGGTCGTTCAATGTCCTTCTTGCGAGTTTTCACGATTAAAGATTCGAAGCTGCGACTTTTTTCGTCTGGGGAGATGGTTGGTCCGTGCACGCAACATCTTCAACTTTGACAAGTCGAACAACTTCTAACGTCTCGGATGCGAAGTTCACCCCACTGGATTCTTGTTATATTGTATCATACTGTTTCTTTCCTATGTCTTGTCTATATAGAGCATTGCCAATTGGATCTATGTCGCTCCTTAGAATTCCATGAATTAATATACTGGACTCATTCCCGGCTTGTCTCGTCGAGTTGACCTCCTACCAATATCCCAATGCAGCTTCAAGATGGGACGCTGGAGCAGCCGTCCTCCGTTTGGAGGTTTCTATCATCTGCAACTACGCTAAGCATTGCGGCGCTATGCCGTGGGTTTCTATACTCGCTTAATACTACGGAAGTCAATGGCCTAGAGAGATTCCTGAAGCTACTCGAGTCGCGGCAAGATGACAGCTCCAGGGCCCGCGGATTGATAACTGGTTAGTTACTCTATGTGCTTGCCCCGGAGAAGAGATTTCGCATATTTGCTAACCTATGAGGCTCGTTTCTGCAGTTTCAAATCACATTAGTGTGTATGTAACCTGATGTCGTCCCTTTCTCGCATGCGCATCCATGAACACTGGGCTGAATCTCTTCGGACGGGTGCTATAGTATGGACGATCCATTGATGTGGGGAGTGATACCATTGCGCAGCCATTGGGAGTTCCAGCCATGCAACCGGAGATGGGCTCTTGGTAGCCATGATATTTGTTTTAAAAATAGGTATTTTCTAGAAGCTACCGAGGCTATATGGCAGTTAGGTTAACTCACGTATGCAGATTTATGTCGGCGTTCTTTACATATGGGCAGGTTCTCCCAGCACATAGACTTTTTCATTCTCCCCGAGGTGGCCTCTTTCAACCTACTGTCACCCAAGCTATCCGATTATTATCTAAAGGCCCTTTCCCTGTGGATCCTCACAGTGCTTCTATGGGCAAACAACGATGGAGCATAAGCAATACCTGTGTTGACCCTTTTTCAGAGGTACCTACTGCGTTTACTACGAATGGAGAGGATGCTTATCTAGCACCATCTGCATACGCATGCAACTCCTATTCTTGGATACACATCTTCCCAGAAGGGATGATACATCAGTCTGCACATAAAACTATGCGCTACTTCAAATGGGGCATATCACGTTTGATATTAGAGCCAGCCGAATGCCCGGATATTGTCCCTATGTGGATTGAAGGCACAGACGGCGTTATGCATGAAGACCGTGGATTTCCCCGTTTTATACCTCGCATAAACAAGAATGTCAGTGTTACGTTTGGCGAAAAGGTAGACACGGAGGCTATATTTGGAGAGCTGAGAAGCAAGTGGCAGAAGCTCAAGCGGGAGTCGGAGCAAGGCAGCACTGAGCCTCTCGCGGTGGGAATCTTGAATGAGAAACTTATGTACGGAGATGAGGCTACCGAACTACGACTAGAGTGTACAAGAAAGGTCCGCGACCTTGTTCTTGAAGTCCGGCGTTCAAGAGGCTTCCCGGATGAGGATCCAAAGGCTAGCATGGCGGAAACATGGCTAAGAGAGGGACCCAAGAGAGAAGGGAGGATGGATGACGGCTCTCTGGTTAGAGACATCTAAATTTCTTCCCGCATTCTGTTAATATCATCTGCACTGTATATTTATATTACTTTGGCTTGGGCCAACGGTTTGAGGCTGAAGTCGCCAAGTCCTTTTCAGCCGCCACTTAAAAATAGATGTTATACGAGAAGAGTCAAGATAACGATTTAAGCAGCACCATGAAGGAGTATAAAGTACAGCTTCAGCCTGTTCTGGTCTGGTTTGGCCAAATCATAACTTCTCTCACTCATTCTCTATGCCCAAGAAACACAAATCCCCATCCATAAAACCCACGCCTGCCGCTCACCCTTCTCTCCAGTCGACGAGGTCTTCCAGCCATGGTCACACAACAACAGGTCAATCATCGGTCAATGACATCCTCCAGCAGATGCGAAATGCGTCCGCCAACGCCGCGGGCTCACGACAAACGAGACTAGCGCCTAGGACAGTTCATCCATCTCTCAGAAATATCCTAGAACTCCCTGAGACGCCTCCTCCCCGGCCTCGACCAGCCACATCCCGCCAGGCAGTTGGACAGCGAAGAGTCCGCCGAACGCCAGGCCCACCTCCTCCTCTCAGCTGGATAACTCCGAATACGGGAACAAATGCTGGCCTAGATTCCCCCAGCGGGGGATCTTTGGGAAACCGTGGCGTCAAGTTTGGCCGTCGACTCGATCGTCTCCCCGGCACAAGGATTCCACCCAAGGACAGCCTACTGCACACCACACTCCGGTTTATGGCCAGAAGTTGGGATTGGCATCTTTTATATGATGGAGCTTTTCTGTCAACTTTACCAGTATCTATCAGACAACTTTTGTTGACGTATATAGCCGTCTATACGGATCATTTGTCCATGGAGGTCAGTATGAAAGGCTTGGAACCTCTATTCCTAGCCCAGGAATCCGGCCCGGAAGACATCGCAGAAGTGACGCGGCTAGACCTTGGGTTTTCTATTGGATACTGGCTCAATTTAAAACAACTCTCGAAGATTGTCAAGGGCAATATACCAAAGGATAAAGAGTGCATCCCTGTTCCTACATCGTGGGAGGAAGAGGCCGATGGAGAGACACAAAATCTTACTCCCCAGAGTCCAAGTCAGCCCGAATTGCCTGGCTTTAGCAACATCAGATTTCTCTCTTTAGCATCACCAACTCTGGAAGCTGCAAGCTGGGTTTCTCTTCTGAAACTACTCTCTCATATCCCATCGTTAACCCATCTCTCTCTTGCTTACTGGCCTACTCCAACCTTGAAGCCCAATGCTCTCACAGCCAGCGTGAGCCATCCAAAGCACCGTTCACTCTCTTTTCAGTATGGAGCCTCAGATACATATACCTCCTATGAGAATAATTGGACCGAGGCATCCATTGTTCTAGCAAAGCTGTCAAGAACAACGTATGGCCTTAAATGGCTTGATCTTGAGGGCTGTACTGAGTGGATCCCCGCGTTGTGCTGGAATGGAATTGATATCTATGGCCAGTCCCACAGTGCGTCAGGTCCAGAATGGAACGGTTCTTGGAGAGGAATAGAATGGATAGGACTTGGCCCTGGCTGGGTCCCTGAGGCTCCCGCCCTACATAATATATCCGTTACGGAAGATGATGAAGACATTGTGGCAAAGCAACAAGACAGATTCCGCAAAGAACAGGAATCCTTTAAAACCACGCTCGAGAGGGTCAAGGATGTTGGGAAGAGCATTCAAACTGCAAGAATAGAAGGGCGTGGGAAATGGATACATTATTCTGATGGATCAGAGAGACGAGGCTGAAGATTAAAATGTAAAAAATTCCAGCCGCTTGCATCCATACACAGGGATAAGCACATTGTTAATAACGATATCTAAGCTCTGCTATTCAACACTGGGTATTATCATATGAATGGAGCGGTTCACTATGTATTTTATTTTGACTTAAACGATTTCAATGGGTCAACTTTTCGTCCGGCACCGCCCTTCTTCGCAATTCTCCCTCGGGCCCTGTTCTTTTGTCTGGCCTGTCGAATCCTGTTCTCCTTCTTTTTGTGTAGCCCGACGAAACCAATGTCTTCACTCGTTAATGAACTCTTCCCCTTGGTCGGCATTAGATATTCTGGTACACTCTTCAATTGGCTCTGTACTCTTACAGACCCAAGCTCTTGATCGTGGCGTAACTCGCGTAGCTCTTGGGGATTCTCCTCGAAATGTCTCTTGAGCTTCTCACTCTTGACAAGCTCCTGCCTGATCTCTTTTGCTCGGGCTTCTTGGATGGCTATTCGGGTTACTGCTCGCAGGGCATCTGTCATTCGGTATCTAAACACCTCGATTTGCTTCTTGTCAAAATGGTAGGGCTTCACTTCTCGGCCCATTTTAGCTTGGCGCTTTTCTATTTTAGCAAGGACAGATTCATCGTTCTTCGCAGGTGGGAAAATCGTTGGTTTGTGTTTCCCATATAATTCAGATGGCACAACAAATGAAAGGGCCATGCCAGTTTTTCCAGCGCGCCCAGTTCGACCGATTCGGTGGGTATATGATTTAGCGGTCGTTGGAAGGTCAAAATTGAGAACGCATGCAACATCCTGGAAATCTATTCCTCGAGAAATACCATAATCTTTCTCCTTTCCTGACTTTTTTCGTTTCTTGTTTTTGTTTGATGGTGCTGGCTTCTCTTCCACTTCCTCGGGGTCACTAAGGTCCTTGCTTTCTTCCGCAACAGCATCAGTAACAGTCGCATCCTCGCTACCGACCGGTTCCTTTTTGGATTCAACTTTTCCTATGACCTCTTGGTCATCAGCGGCAATAATAATGTCGTAAACACCCTTATTGAATTCCTGGACAGCATGTATCCTAGAATTGGCTGGCAATTCTGAGTTGAGAATACAGCTCTTGATGCCAAATTGTTCCAGGAATAATTTGAGACGGTAACAGCGATCCACATCGCCGACGAATATAATGCACTTGCCTTTCACTAGCTGTAGTTTAAATATCACGTACGTAAGTAGGAATTTTTCGTCCTCCGCGCACCTAGTAAATCGTTTGTTAGTTAATTCAAAATATAGTATAACAAAAAATAGGAACATACTTGACTGCAAACTGGCTTATGCCGGCACCTTCGTCCTCTGCCTCTTCAAGCTTCAAGATAGCCGGACTTCTACAGAAAAGGCCTTTCAGAGTGTCGACTTCAGATGTGAGTGTAGCGCTCATCAAGAAAGTCTGAACACCGCGCGGAATTGCCTTGGCCAGGCTCTGCATGTCCTGTTCATATCCGTATGAGAGAACCAAATCGGCTTCATCAATAACCACTTGTGAAATATCGTCCAAAACCAGCGCGGAGTTGTTAACATTGACAACCGCTCGTGCAGGCGTAGAAATAACAATATCCGGTAGGTCTGCAAGTAGGGCACGCTGGACAGCATCGGAGACCTTCTGTGTGAGATTCCCAGACCGTATACCCTTGGAACAGAATTCTGAAAACGCAGTTACAGTCTTGTGCACTTGCTGGGCTAGCTCTCTCGTTGGCACTAGGATCAAAGTTGATATAGATTTGTGCGCGGGGTGGGCCTAGTGATTGGAATTAGCATAAAATATATACCAAGGTCTCCCAATACACGTACTGCTTTCTTCTGCAATATTTTTTGTAAGATCGGAATCAGATACGCCGCTGTTTTTCCTGATCCAGTTTTGGCTCTTGCTACAATCGATAAACAATTAGTTGGCTGCATAGTCTACGAATATATGCTGCAACAGCGCCATACCAAGTATATCCTTCCCATTGAGCGCCAGAGGAATAGCTTCGGCCTGGACTAATGTCGGCTTCGAGAATTTCTGTGATGTCAAGGCCTGCAGTAGTCGGGGATCAAGTCCAAAGTCTTCAAAATTCCTAGCGGGTTTTTTGGTTTCCAGCTTTTCCGCCAACTTAGGGACATCGTTTTCGTCTAGTTTGCGCTTCATGGTTGAAAATTAGGTGTTAGATAGCAAGCAGGACAGTCTTGTATGTCTTCCTATCTAAACCACAAGCAAAAGCAACTTTGCGACTTTTTTTTATTTTCGAAATCAAAGACAAAAAAATTGCTTATATAAGCTTTTAAGCTTTTTCGGTGAATCATTATTCCAAACTTTCAGTTTCTCCGAAACTCAGTACCTATCGGACAATCACCACCTGAGTTATTTGTTGGAATATTTCATTAGCTAATTACGACTCGCACTCATTACTCAAGGATTCCTTGGGGCATTAGACCTTTTTGTCCCTTGTGGTCCAACACTATTCAACGGATGAATAATATGTCACCATAACATCCAAGGAACAAGGCTCATAAAGGATTCGTCACTGTCCTCATCAATCCCCTCTCTGCCTTCCACTTTCTCTCGCTCCTCTCTAGCCTCTATTTTAGCCTTTTCGGCAATTGCAATATTCCCCATTTTCTCCTCTACCTTTGCCAAAAACCAGAGAGATCGTGCAAGATGTGCTTGCATCTCAGGCACTCCTCTACTCATGTCGGTCACGCTGCGTAACATTTTTGCAGCCAGAGTATCCTCATCCTCAGCTTCTAGCATACGGGCAACGATAAATGTTGAGTCCGCCACTCGTGGCCCTTTGTCTCCGTAGAGGCCCTGTCGGATCCCTATCGTCCGTGATGCAAGTTGCTGAGCTTCCTGCTTCAAACCTTGAGCGTACTTGATTCTCGCCAGAAGCATAATGTCTCCACTATGTTTCGGGTACTTGGACTGAGCCACCTGCTCCTCCGTTAAATTTTGCAGTTTCCAGCAGTGATGCAAGGCTTTAAGGGAATCCTCTGGCTGGTCTCCTCGAAGATATGTCAATGCATATATAGCTTGGGTCCTACCCATAAGTAGCGGGTTATTCTCATTATGAATATCCTCTGCTTTCTGCAGGTACTGGAGAGCCTCATCAACATTTCCCTGTTCAGTATAGCTACAGGCAATGGAGTCATAAACATCCGCAACCTGGGGTGAGCGATTTCCGTGAAGCTGCTCTCTGATATTCAGTGCCTGGAGATATGCAGACAAAGCAGCCTTTGGCCTTGCCATGTCCAACGCAATATGGCCTAGGATTCTGTATGCTTGTGCATAGGTTGGCGTTGATGGCCTAATATCGAGCTCCAAGCCAAAATCAAGAAACTGAGTTCCGGTTATTGGTTGTTCCTTCTCCCACAGGTACCTTGTGAACCAGAGGAAGTCAGTAGTTTCCTTATATGAGATAAAAGGTTCTACTTACGTTCCAGCTCGAAAGACTAGCTCCGCGAATAATTCATGGTTGATTATCCGGAATGGATGCCCCTGTGTCAATCGGATAAGCCAACTGACGTGTGGGAGGATTGTGCTACAAGTCTCCCAGGAAGCCCAACCGTGGCCTTGTTGATGAGACCTTTGATTCCATGTATTAGGAAAACTGCGTGATAATATGTTTATAACATGATTAAAATAGCGTGAGCTTTCCTCTTCAGATAGTCTTGAAAAGACTGTAAACTGGATAAGACGATGGATCGATATAGCTTTCTGGGCCGACAAGCGGCTCACTAGGGCTGCCTTTGAGAGGTCACCCACAACACCTCCAAAACTACAAATTGTCAGCATTTGATCTCATATAAGGATCAGCACTTACTCAAAACTATCGTATAAAAATTCCAATTCTGGATCTGTTATTCCAGCTCTTCGATCTGAAATTATCGATTCAAGAATGAAGTCAGGGTCAAAAAAAGATAATAAATTTAGTAAAGTTTTGGATTCATTGGATAGTTCCTGGAAAGAAACCTCCCATACTGTGTTCAAAGTATGTTCATATTCAGCCGGTGCTGGGGTCCTTGCATATATTTTCTTTGCTGACTTTTGATAAATTGAAAACAGCTCTTCATAGGAATAGCCCCGGTCTTCCATAAACTCTCCTACTTGTGCCATGGCAAGAGGTAGACCTCCAAGAAGTCGAAGTAATCCTGTTGCAGCGGCCGATTCCGTTTCATTTTTAGGCTGCTGGCCTGTCAAAGAATAGAATACATCCACTTGTTTTTCAGCATCGAAACACGGAAGGTTTATTACTTCAGTGGCTCGTTTTGACGCAACCTTGTGTGATCGACAGGTAATAATAATAGAGCCCTGAACATTGCGGGGCCAGATTTGATCAAGCAGCTTGTTTTCCTCCACATTGTCAAATATAAGAAGAAAGCTTTTCCCAGATGTATTGAGCCAGTCGTGTACAATTTGAATAGACCGGTAATCGTCTTCATTACCCTCTGTTTGTGGTAATCCAACCTTTGCAGAAAATTGTGATAAGGCTTGTGTCATTTTTATTTTAGTTTCACCTGGTATCCAAACAACAACGTCATATAAGTCCGTAGCTGTGTTGGCATAATGCAACGCCAGTTGTGTTTTTCCAACACCACCAGTTCCGCATATTGCGATGATCTTTAAGGTCCCAGAATTTTTATTAGGATCAAGCCTTTCTTTCATAGTTTCCACTTCCGCAGATCTACCAAAAAATTTGACGTTCAGGCCGTAGGGTATCATGAAACATGGAAGATTCAGTTCGGTTGAGCGCTGTCGAGATAGATGCAAGTTTTCAATTGCCTTCACTGTATCAGCAGTATTTTTCCCTCTAGACAGACGAACCATATCAGCGGTTTCGTCAACCTTTCTCGAGTAAAATCGAATATTTGAAATATGCTTAGACACCTCTGAGCTAAATGTCATCCATGTCTCCCGGCTCTTGTCTGGGTTAGGGTTATTCCGAAAGTGTAATATGGAATCCGCACAGAACAATATTATCTCGGTATAGGTCGTGTGCAAGGCCTCCTCGAGTTCAGAAGTCAAGGGAAGTTCTTGCTCGTAACGACGGAATCTGGGCAATGCCCTTCCTAGCTCTTCAAACATGTCCAAGAGTTCCGAAGGCACAGGTTCAGCAAACTAGTTGCAGTTTTAGTATGTGGCTAATCATACAGGAAAAAACCTATATAAAGTACCTTTAATATCAGTCGAATCGAGCCCCATATCACAGCTGCGAGGCGGCTGTTCATCCCCGCGGCTAGGGTGATAATTGCGGCGAAGTCATTGAGACTAACAAGAATTGGCCTAAGTCTACTCAACAGGTCCATCCAGCTCTTGGAGGATGTGGCTTCCTTAGAAGGTTGGATTTGATTAAGCAGCTCCTCAGGATTACGAACGTCCCAAGGGTGTGGATTGATCTCATGCTCACGAACCCCGCGGTCCTTCAGCTTCTCGTAGTACTTATCGATGGCATCTTGCCATATTGCACTAACATACTGGTCTTTTGGAGCGCTGCTCTTCAGTGGTGAAGACATCATTTTTTGCTAGTCAGTTACTTTTTGATATGAAACAGTCATCATCGCCCTCTGAATCGCGGTAAATGGGGTTGGGAAAAACCGAGGCCTCCCAGGCTGGTGGGAGGCGGACGATGAATATCTATTATCCGAGCGACTATTCTCCCTGCCAAGAAGCGGGCCGTGCATAGTTATATTTAGAATACGTTCTGAGCGGATAGCTAACTAGGTCAAATCAGGTTAGACAACTCCGGTTCAGGGGAAGGTTGATCCAAAGTTGCCAACCTTAATTAGTTAGCGATCAAATGCACTTAAGCGCCCAGCGCATAACAAAAGTATCGTCCCATTCTACATCAGATGGCTACTGGGATTCTCAATATAAAAGGATGATTTTCCCGAATGTCGAATACTCATAAGTCTGTCTTACTCCAACCGTCCGAACAAGGCAGAGGCCGTTTTTGATTTCCTCCCCCGTCAACTGCAACTCCAACTTCTTCCTCCCTGTCTCTTGCCATCCATCTAGTTAGTTATCAGTTAAATATCCTCTCAACTAATTACTCGGGAATATTTTTAACGCCTTGCTACCGCTAGTTGCCGCTCACCAAGCAAATACCAAGGGCCAACAATACCATGAAGATCTCTATCGGGCATCGGAGAAAAGAACTTAGGGTGAAAATAAAATTGAAAGAGCCGAGCTTTGTCGAGTATACTCTTGATATGAGCTGGTATGATTGCTGGCTTTCTCAACAGCTTTTAAATCTCCCCCGTTGCATAAAGGATCTTAAAGTTATGGGAGACTCTCCCATTGAAAAACCTCATCTCTATCAGCTATACAACGCAATCGAGGATTTCCTCCAGACAGATGAAGGGCTTTCTATCGACGAGATTACACAACATCTACGAAAATCAGAGATTCTTGAATACCCGGAAGCTTTACTGCCGGCTCAGAAGTTCCTCGTATTTGCGATTCTTGGGTGGCGGTCAATGTTGTACCAGGCATCTTTCAACACATGCTCAACGAAAGAATTTGCTATTCACCGAGAATCTGATCAGCCGCAGTCAGGGTTAGTCTTTGATACTTATAAAGTGTCGGCACACTTGTCGGATCGATCACTGTGGATACTACTAAAGGCATTTGGAAACATTCTACCCGCCCGATCTGTTACTGCCCCACAGCTTGCAAGTGAGAGCAGCAAGATCGCTTCCTCCTGGTTACCTTTATATCCATCAGAAACTAATGCATACCTCTTGACTGTGTTGCTGGGTGTTCGCATTCGATGGGTAGAGATGTTGGCTCTGCATCTTGATTATGACAAATCGACCAAAACGCTCTCTCTTTTTAACTACCCATCCTTCTGTTTACATACACTTTCATCGGGAGGGGTTATATATTCATTTGAGAGCCTTGAAAAGTACGGTGTGGACCCTCGAGCAAATAAAGAAGAGATATCACATTTCCTCCGGGAAGTTCTTCTATCCTATCGCCTGATTTTTGGTCAGTCCGCAAAATCTAGGAAACTATTTCGCCAATTATCTCGATCACAGGGGGTAGCTAAAGGCCATGTTGACTCCGTGCTTCCGTTATTATGTACCCGTAAGCAGCTACCTTTCATGCAGGGCCTGGAATTTCCAGTCGACAAGGCTGTCTATTTTGCAGCACAGGACTTTCCCATCCTACATGAAAGGATTGAAATTATTGCAAAAGAGCTCAGGGATAAAAAGCCTACCTCAGTTGCTGATCTTATACGTGACCGCAGGGACACACTACAGTTCTTGACATTCTGGCTCGTTTTGATCATTGGTGGAATTGGTACCTTGCTGAGTTTGATTCAGGTCATACTGCAGGCAGTACAGCTAATAAAAAGTTAGCTATCTCACAGGCGATTCCATATATGTACAGCAATGTGTTGCGACACAGTTAGAATGATAACGATAGAATCTTGGCTAGTTAACTGGTTATTATTACTTATATAGATAATTTGACATCATAGTAACTTATCACACCCACCTTCGGGTTGTTTCAGGGGCTAGTTAAAATTCTATCGAAGTGTAGTCTCCGCAAGCAGAAACCGTTCGGGAGACAACCGCTAAGTCTATTTAGCTATATAAATCAGCCACCAGGACCGTAGCAAAAAACGAAATCGTGTTTCGTTGAATATTTGCAGATTCTGGCTTTCGAATTATCCCCTACGCACTAATCAGCCAGTTAATAAATAAGCTAAAAATGCTCGAAAAATTATCCCCAGATCTTCTTCTGCTTGTTTTCTCGCAGGTAACTAGTTAACCATACCATGAATTCCCAGCGACTCGTTCAGTTAAAGAATCAAGATTGACAGCATCTTCCCACAGCTCCCTGAAAAAGAAGACTTAATTTCCGTGTCCCGAGTATCCAAGCGACTTTACTCAGTCGCATCTCTAGAGATTCATCGCTCAATTGTTCTCACGGCGAGCGACTTGGCCCTTGACCGTGTTGCGCTCGAAGGCGTCCTTAGCGCTCACCGACGAACTAGGGCTCTTCGCAGAACCAAAAACATCCGCATTTCAGCACCATTATATGATCGCTTTAAGAAGTGATGCCTTCATTACAACGAACCTAGTGCTTGCAGCGATGCTGAAGATGGGTTTAATGACGATGAACTTGACGTATCTGAGCAGCAGGACAAGAAAACTTGGATCGAAGGTGGTGATAAAACGACTTCATCGGATGACTTTAGACGACTGAAGGACAGAGTAATGTCGGTTCTGATACGATGCAAAGAGGGGCAATTTGACAGCTTCACGTTGGTTAACCCTTCATTCGAACCGAGTTCAAAAGCCTTACTAACGCCGATTAATTACAGGTGGCATCTCGGGACCTGTGTCCCTGAAGAAATCCTGGGCACCAAGGGATACCTACCCCTGAAGCAGAAACAGTTGAAGTCTCTTTGCCTGGTGACCGATGTGACGTGCAGACGGAATGAATATGACTTAACGCCATTCACAGGTCTCACAAGCCTGACATGGCGTGGCTTGAGGCCCGAGAAAGATTTTCAATCTCTTCGAGAATGCTTTAGGGTAACTTCTCACCAACTTATCAGTCTCGACCTTGATTTCTACTCTGAAACTGTTGACCCTTATCGTAACTTCGACATCTCGGACGATAATGGAAAAACATTGGAGAATCTTTTGACTCCATTGCTTGGAAGAGACAAATTATGCTTCGCAGAGCTCCGTGATCTTTCGTTGTGTTCTATCCCTTTATTATTCGAACCGAGCCATATGGTTCGTACATTTGGATTCAAATCTCTTCGATCTCTGAAGCTTCGATTTTGCCCTGGCTGGTTAGATCTTGTTAATCATATTGGATCTCTGGAGCAGCCCTTATACCTCGAAACACTAGAAATAGACTGCGTCGATTCGATATACGACGAGGTTCAGTTGATAGTTTCTAGCTGCATTGACAATGTCAAAGGCCTAAAGGAGTTTTTTCTATTTTCCAGGTCTGGTGATATGCTACCAATTTGGCGTTCAATACTAAAACATCATCTTATGCTCAAGAATTTTGTTCACCACGCACGAAGTATGGGACACCGCAGAGCAGACCCTCACGACCTGCCCGCTATTCATTTCGAGGATATCATGTGCTGGACGGATGACCGTCGAGTCAACAGGTCCAGTGTGAAATCTGCCCGTGACACAGAAGCCTTTAGAATCTGGGAGTATGACGACAGCCCGGAATGGGATATCCTTGATGAGGGTTTTTCTTCGGGATCTAGCGACGATGATGCCACTCCAGCACCTGATCAAGGCAATGGTACTGAGTCTAGGCTTACCGATACTGAGAATCAAGCCGGCTCTACTCTAGCCAGAGAGAAAAGTGCTGCGAAACCAATCCGTCCAGCCACTAACGGGGTATATAACGCTCTCTATCCAGGCGAAGTTTCCGACGAGCTTGGTCAATTCGCAGAATGGGTTTTGTGTTATTTAAATCGCTTCAGCTGATCGCATTTGGCGATTTCACATGCAATGGGCGCTACTCATCAATGAATGTGGTCCTATGTCCACGGGAAGGGCCCCGTTCACCAGGCGGTAAGAGCTATCGACATGTCACAACGGACGATATCTTTGCTCTGGACTTGCTCCGCGAGTATTCTTATGTCATGGCAGCCTGTTCCCTCGATCTACTCTGAAAGATCATATCGTATGTCTGGGTTATTCGATTCAGAATCAAAGGCAATTACGGTCATATAACTATAGATTGGTCAGGGAAAACGACTTTAATATTATTGCACTTAACTTAATTCGGATTATTAACTATCAGTTTGTCAAGCCAAACCTTTGTTATATATTCAAACAGTCGACAATTGCGCAGTTAGAGTTAATGGAATATTTCTGCCCTAGAGTATTATATTCCATCTGGTTCTTGTTAAAAATTCCATGTCCAGCCTCGTGCAGTTGTTGATCGTTGTCAGTCTCTAGTCATCCATATTTTGGTAGTTAGTTGCCGAGGAGACGGGCCGCTAAAATGCCAACAAGGATTGATGTCTACAAGTTGGCTAACATCAAAAACCACGTCATGGTCTGATTATTTAATGCATAATTGCCTATGCAACTGCCCCTACCATGCTCTCGAGAGTTCAGCGGATAAACCTGTTCATTGCTTTCGTCGCTCTTTGCTCCATCGCTTTGTTCCTTACCCATTTCGCCCCTTCTCCGGTATCCCACTTAGCCGCCAGCATGTCAGTCACTCATATTGTCCTTTTCCAGTTCAAAAAGGAGGTCTCACACGAGGCTGTGCGTAACGTGAGTATAAATCTCCTGGATAACCATTCTATGCACTGTTGTTAATAGTTAATTGCACTGTAGCTTTCCACCCGCATGCTAGGCCTAAAAGACAAATGTCTTCATCCGCTTTCCCAGAAGCCTTATATCCTCTCTTCATCTGGCGGGGTTGATATGTCAATCGAAGGCATCCAGGTAAGATGAAACTATATGATCCCGCATCCGATGCTTCCAATGTGCTTGTTGGCTAACTATATCTGTCAAGAATGGTATGACACACGCCTTTGTGGTCAATTTTGCAAGCAAAGAAGACCGAGACTATTATGTCCAGAAGGATCCGATTCATCAGGACTTTGTGAAGAGTGCTGGTGAAGTCGTTGAAAAGGCACAAGTCGTTGACTTTGTCAATGGAGAATTGTAAATGACAGTAATGAATACATAACCAAGACCAGAAAAGAATTACAGAGAGAACTTTTATGGCTTTGAAGTTCAAGAATTCCTCCCGAAAAGCTAAATACTATGGTTGAAACCTGAATAATTCCAATGAGCTAACTTCAATTTGGGTATAACTATATAAAGACGTATTTATAGGCGATAATATCGAGATTGTATGCTGTCAACTGTCAGCTCAGATGTTCATATCCTGGAACGTTTAAGCGAAGATAAACGCGACATGAATAAATTCAATGCAAATCAATATCAGCCACTGCACTGTTGAAGGACGTTATTTTTAAAACATGTTGAATATGGAGAAATGTGTCAATCGTTGTGTTTAATGTTGGTGGTTTTGATAATTCCAGCCAACATATAAAAATCCCAGTAAGTTTAAAAAAAGAAGGCCACATCCATGCTGCTCAGTAGATTTCATCATGTTGAATTGTTGAATGAGACAGCTTGAAAACGTTTTTACCCGTATCACCAGGGTACCAGTAATGAAAGAGGACAACGTATGTATATCCGAGAGAAAGCCAGTAGTTATAGCCCGGTGACAGGATTTGCCAATAGTATGAATGAATGGTTTCAGCGGTAGGAATCGGTAGGGTAACCGTTCAGAGGTTCATAATTGCCATACTCTTCGTTTTCAACGCATTGTCTCCAAGCTCGTCGGAATACTCGCATACATTCTTCGCTGACTTGGCCAATGGGCTTTACCTTGATGTTGTGATCCACAGTAAAGACCTTTCCAAAGTTTAGACAAGATTTAGGATGAAGTTGATCTCTTGGGGTATAAGGGTTTATCATGATAGGGGATATTCCAGGCACCCGGCCTGATCCATAATATTCCGGCTGGGTTCCCCTCACGTGTATCACCGAATGGGTCTTCAGGTCAATGCCTGGTTTCATTAGGCCCCTCTCTCCGTATGTATATATGGCCCTTTGCATAGCATTAGCTAGTAGTACGTTGGTTAGGTAATGAATGAATATAACTGCTTACAGGCACCACGAACAGCCTTGTTCATTTTTGACAACGACCATTCTACGAATGTTTGCATGAACTTCTTGACCATGCCCTGTTAAGTAGAAGTAGGGGCTGCCACGACCGTGAGGTGCAGAGGTATCACCGGCAGGCTCTGCCCAATAGACCGAAATAACCTATGTATATAATAGAGATACATTTAGCGCTCTGTAGGCTTAAAAGCAGGTCGGAATCATACCCGTACCCTACCGATGGAGTAGAACGGTGTCGTTTGAACCTTATAGTCTTTGGCTGTTCAGCTTGTACGAACTTATATTGCTGATATCACATCTACTTACCCCTGTTGAATCTTGCAATATCACTTTGGCGACGATCGTTCCAAGGCCCTAATATGTAACGTTGGTATTAATCTCGGCTCTAACATAAAATTGTGCTCATAAGTTGTTGACATACCAGTGAAAGTCTCCTGTAGGCCATAGGGGCTGTACCCATCCGATTGGTAACTAAGGTGCGAGGGCGCTGGGGCGCCATTGACGGCTACCGGGAGATAGGGTCAGCTCAGCGTAAGCTTTTAGTTCAACAAGGAGATACCTATGAGGGTATCGTATAGTAAAGAGAAATGGACAATATACCTTGAGCTCAGCTGATAGCTGGGGTTTTGATATTCCAGGTTTGAAAACCTCCTGTTTCTTTCCCTGGAGCTTTGCCCTGTCTCACGGTCATATTGCGATGGAGTTGGTGATGGGTATGAATGACTCGACTGTCGCGCAGGATCCCATATGGTCGATGGCTGTCTCTGGTTAGAATCTGGATAGGCTGGAAAGCCAGAAGAGCCTCCATGATATCCACTGTCTATGCTGTGGCGGATGGCACTCGAGTTATCTAGTATGCCCCTATAAATTTAATTGATGTAATCAGTGATCTGGGTACAAAAGATCGTATTCCACCAGTTGAAGATGTTCATCTACTCGGTATAATTATCAACATTGCCACTTTGACAACATGAGAAATAGATGCATGATAGCCGTATCAGGAAAAAACAGGCTTACTCGTCATAGTTAGAAGGGGATTGGACTAGACCATCCTCTGATATAGGCTCACTTCTACCGTAGGGCCGTGCTACCCAAAATGTCAGTAAAGAACAGTAGCTAAGAATAACTCCGCTTACAGTAATAGGGATCCGGCCCTCCCGGGTACTCAGCCAGAGGGCGTAGCATGTTATTCGGGCGATGAGACATTGATCCGTCTTCAGCTGCCGATGACACCCAGGGTCAGCACAGACAAAGCAGCTAGTAAAGAAAGTATAGTTGCCTAGTAAGCGCGGGACGATGCCTCAAGGCGTCGAAAATTGGGATATTGACTGCGCCTTTATATTGACTAAACAGATGCAGGTATTAAAGCCTCCACTCCATCAACCCCAGAGCCGCATCTGACAAAGGTAGTTACTGACTGCCCATAAGCTACGTATATGCGTCCCAAGCCGTCGCATGGCTGGCAAGTCGTGGCACGCTGAGGTGTGAGTATTGACGGAAGAGACATGGATCCAACGGATACCCCGATGCCTCCATGGCCATCCAGAGGCTGAAAGGGGCCTTGGCCGACAGGATACGAGGAGCGTTCTGCACAAGAAGATTAGGGGGATGTAGGATATCAGTTTCATGGAGGAGAAAACAAGAGAACAATCGTTGCTGTCATTCCTCGTCTGTGGTGTTAACCCAGCAGTAACGCTCAGGTGATTCCATTCCTTACAGCACTGAATCCTTGCTGATACCAGGATGGCATATATGTTCCATGCATGAGGCTTGCACGTTTAGCAGTGTGTCCCCTAGGTCCGCCTCCGTACTGGCTGGTAGGGGGTTGGCGTTGATATCAATATGGGTATTTTATAACCAGGGTGTATCGTGGCTGTTTTTACGATACCTTCTGCATGTCGATACACACGTATACGGCGCATTGTGATTCAGTGCGAGTCTGATAGGATTCTGTCCTTCGTTCGAGGGCTATCGTTGTGCAATGGGGCCAATATCTGCACTGATTTTAGGCCTTCCGTTTGCCGCGATCAACATTCCATGTCAAAGGACAGCGAGACTCACACCGAAAGGCCGTTCAAGCTAAAGTCGAGCATGATTCAAAAGGGCTCTGGCAGTCATGGCGTCGAACCAGTCTTCTTCTATCCTTATGGCTACTGTGGGCGAAGAAGTAGAAAAGGTGAGGATTCTCTGTGGTAGTTAGAGAAAAGACCAACAATTGCTTGAGTTAACGACTGCGCTTGAAGGTGGTAGGACATCATCAGCTCATCAGCGACTTCGTTCCCAGTTTCGATTCACACTATGATTTCACCTCCCTATCAAGTTCAAACACCAAGTATACGGATGTTGGTGACCCGTTGGACAAGTTATATGGGCGAGATATCTCGAGAAGCGAGCTCAGTGTGCTGGCGATGCCTACGCTCCACTTGAGCTCGCCTCCGACTACCGTGTCTTTTCCGGAGATTAAGGCGAAACTCACGCCGGGCACGTCTCAAGCTCCCGATCAATCGTCAATAGCAACTTCGGACTGGGAATTACTTAAATCAGAACTTCAACAGTTAGTCCGAGACCATGGGAAGGTTGCTTCATATCGATTCTCTACCCGACAACAGCGCGTAAAACTCCGGCAGAAGAGAGCTACGTCAACGAATTTGGGAATCAATCTGATAAGGGAATTAAATGCTTATTTCGCAAAGGAAGATGTTTCTTCGCCTCTCCTGGCTGTGTTTGAGCAGTTCCAAAGTTCTTGGGCTGAATATCTGGCTATAGAATGCGAATATGACAACCAGGAGGACGAGCTTGACGATCGAGAATTTCAACTCGAGGAAACACAGGAGAGGATAAAATATGCTGTTGAGCAGTATGATACGGACAAGGGAGCCATTGCTAAACTCGGCTGTAGGGGAGAGCAAGCCAGCTTTGGTCCGAACATTGTTTTCGAAGGCGGAGTGTACCATCCGTTAATGGCTGAATACCTTTCTCGCTGCGGCACCCTCGACCTCGTCAATGAAAGATTATGGGAACTTCGGGTAGAGCATACAAAGGCATTTGATGACTACCAAATGGGGCGGGGGCTGACTGAGGAACCGAACGAATATGCGATTGACCTGCTCACCAATTTCCAGAAATATGAAGAAGAATTACTTCGCGAGAAAGAGGCTTTAGGACGAGAGACCGAGCAACTCAAGGCCCAATGTGATGAACTGGGCCTTTCTGAAGAGCCTTCACTCATGGAGCCAGTAGAAGACCTTACGGAAAACACTGTATTGGATCACCTACAGTCCGTACCCCGGCTTAAACCCTGGGAAAAGGATACCCCCCAATTTTTTGAGTCCGCACTGGCCCAGGAACCCGTTGACACTGGAGACTTTATCAACAAGTGGATTTTTCATCAACTTTGCCAATCTTCCCTAGAAGTTCTCCACCTGAAAGAGAGTCTCAAGTCCGAAAACATGAAGGTTGAGAGTGACGAAGAACTTCTTGATCTGGCACTACGATACTGGAAATTCGATGCAGCTAACAAACCAGTTCGCCGGCCCATGTCAGAAATCTGCTATGATACCTTTGACGCAGACATGATGCCTACCGAAATGAAGGCTAAAATGGAGGACCTAGAGATCCCTAATCCAAATGTTATACGCAGCTTCGAGGCTGAATCTATTCACGATAGCCATAAAAAGGCTCCTATAATTGATGATACCCCTGCCAATAAGCACTCGAACACCCGCCCTGGGCTTTACCATAGCAAGTCTGAGTGTGACGTGCCTCTCGGCAATAAAGCCCAACGTAACTTCGGCCGAGGCCAAGCTTCTTCAGCAATTTTTCATTACGATCTACCGCTTCAGTACCGCTGATCCCTGTTTTATTATGATACTCTCCATCCCTTTGTGTCTTGTTTTCTCTTTTCTCTTATCTCTTTTAACTAGCATTCCCTGCAGCTTTGCTTTTTCTTTCTTTCTTTTCTTTTTGCGGGAACATACTGACCTCTCGCTCATGTGCACCGCATCGAGGAGCTTTTCTGGGCTGTTGCTATCAGCAAGGCATACTCATCATGGAGTCGTTTTACATTATAGACACTGGCTTTCTTATACCCTTTTGGTCTTTCCGTTTGTCACTGTTTTCCTCCTTTTTTAAGCATTTCTGGTGATACTATCATTTCGCTTACTTCTAGGTCTTGAATTTAATAATAGTACGATAATATTCCGTATGCAGCATCAGACACGAAGAAAGCCTCAATTATCTACTAGCCTGGAAGAAAGTTCAATCTCTCGGCAACTGGCTTATAGCAGCCTTCATCACTGCCTTGCAGCGCCTAGTGTGAAGCGATGGGCAACCAGTTGCTGACCAAATTCTGGCGCATCAAGATAAATAGTTCGCTCTCCTTAGAAAGTACACGTCACAGCATATGTTATCATGAGTGGCTTAAATGAAACAGTAGCAAAGTCGTCTTTGGCATCCTGGCCGTACCATAATGCACTCAACCGAACATCCCTTTGGATGGTGCAAGGTGATTGCTCAGATGACGAGTCCGGAGCAAACGGAACAGGCGCTTTCACGGAGAGACGAGAGAATAATTACTCAATACAGAGGAAGCACACGGTATTAACATAACATAACAATGTATTGTGCGTACGAGTACAAACGAACACTCTGGAGTGCCATTTGAAGAACCGAACCAGCTTGATTTCCAACAGGTTAACCTAGCCAATAATGAGTATATTGATATGAAACCACCACTGTAGCAGAGGAACCTTGTCTTTTTCGAGCAAGCAGCCTGATATTCCCTCCTCTGTATTTTGTTTGTGGAGCGAGCTTTTGTGTATTATATAGTATTAGAGCTCTTCCGATGGAAATGCCCTATGACCCCACTTCGGTCCCGAAGGACATGCAGCCACATGCATGGATTTGGGGCTTGATCAGGCTGATGATTATATCAGACTTAGTCACTATTCTGGTGTATTGGATTAATATTGAATCGTTTTTCGCGGAGTGATAGTGAGACCTTGGGGGGATTCGATGTGACCTTCTCCCACAGCAGACTCTTCAGCCTGGTAGCTATGCCAGTAGGCTACAGGAGGAAAATCTGACCGACAGCCTTAAAACTAAATCCCTGCCGGAAGACAAAGCGCTCGCACATGAGCATTATATATGTGTATATTATTCCTATGCCTAAGGCATCTATATACACAAAAACACCTGAGTGTTTTCATAGTTGGTTTAAGCTCATGGTCCACAAAAAACTTAAGCGGAAGCGGTGGGGCGACTTCATAGCGTTCCCGGCGGTTGGGTCCAGAACGGTAAAGACGGATGGGCATTATGGAAAACAAGATAGATTTAACTAACTACTACATAAAGGGGACATGGATTCATTCACTCTGCCTATACAAAACACCGGGGAGGACATATATAACATTAAACCATCAGATTTGTACCAACTCCATTTCCACCGAAGACAGCACAATGACAAAAAAATGAATGCAAACAACATGTTAACGTTACCTTACGCCACTAGACGTACTATCTCACGACCGACGACTATCATAGTCTTCTCCCTCGCTGTCGCTCAAGCTGTCTCGACGTCTGCCTCGGCCCGCACGGCGGTATCCTTTGCTTAGGGCGGGGAGAGGTTGGTGATAACTCAAGTTGCTAGTGCCTTTGTCCGAGCCATCAAGATGCTGGTATGAGTACTCAGACATGTTAAGTGGCTCAGTATAGCCACCGGGCATTGAAGTGTGCTTGCGAGAACTGGATTGACGGCTGTTGCTGGCACTCGATCTAGGCCCACGGGGACGTTGGGAGCGTCGAGCATGGCGAGAGCGACGTTCGGTGTCCGAAACCTCAGACCGGCCAGCTTCGGAACGAGTAGCTTCAGAGCGGCTAACTTCAGAGCGACTCGCTTCCGTATAACTTGCTTCAGTACGACTACCCGCGGTACGGCGATCGGTGTCGCGGGGACGGGCCGGAGGAGACGTCTCTCGAAGAGGCCGTTGCTCCTCTGTTACATGAGAGACAGTATCCTCTTCACCTGCAACGAAGGAGAAACCAGATACGTTCCGGCCTCTAGAGATATCCATCTCTTCATACTGATTAGTGTAACCGGCCTGGCTCTGTGTCCATTCGCTCTTCTCATCGTAGGTATAGGTATATCCGGCTTCGCTAGGCGCATCATGTGTATTTGTGTGTGTATTTGTAGGAGTAAAGTCGGAGCCATGATATGTTCCATCAGCTTCACGGTTCATACCACCAACTTGTGCAGCCTTCTCATGGCGGTAGGCTCGCATATCCTCGTCATGGCCACCTTCCCAGTCGGACTCCTTCTGTCGACGCAACAGTTTCTTCTTCATAGCATTGAACCCTCTTCTAGTTCTACCCGTTTTACCCGTTGCAACAGTTTCCGTTTCCATAGTAGTGGTGGCGTCATCATAATCTCGATATTCCCTGCCAACGATACTTCCTCCGCCAAGTGCAGTACTTTTCGTAGCGTTGGAAAGTGTTCGGCCGTCAGGGCCCTTTCGTCGTAATACTGTAGATTTATAATCATCCCAATCATTCTCTCGCCAAATGAATCCGCCATTCTTCGCCCAAAAGAAGAACCAGATTGCCGCGATAACAAGCGCTGCACCAAGCAGAGCAAAAAGTGCCAGAATGCCTTGCATATTGATGTTGTGCGGATCAATCGCTCCTTCACCGTAGGCTGGTAGTGGTGTTGTGGGTTCCTTATCTCTGGCGGCAAGGACCTTTGTCCCTTCCATATTTGTTTCAAGTGATCTTGTCGGGAGGTTTTTAGGGATAATGAAGTCCTTGAGATTTGATGGCGTTGTTCGTTTTATTGAGTTGAGGAACTCTGCAACGACTGAAGAAGATCCGTCGGATAAGATCCCTCCCTCCGTAGGGGCAACGACAGGAGCTGGAGCCATGATGGCCTGACTTTTATCCTAGCGGTCTCGGTGGCTACGCAAGTAATGCGTGTGGCCCCAAGATGGGGGGCTCTGCTCGCTCTTTGACAGGACGACTTTGATTGTAGCCAAGTGTCGTTCGAGTAAAGGTGATATGATTCTGATGGAATGTAAGAGGCAGCGAACAAAAAGAAGGCAGGGGGATGAATAACGGTCATCAAGAGAGAGGACTGTTGAGAAAGAATGAAAAGCAACAAGTCGTTGTGGCGGGAGAAGCTCGAAAGTCATGAGGCTGGGAAGTTTTTGTTTACTTTCTCTGTTGCCAGGAGCAACCTTTGATTATATCAGCAGAAATGACATCACGTGGAAAAATCAGCCAAGACTCAATGCGGGAGCTAAATCTTAATCGATTTAAAGCCACAAAAGGCAAAAAAAGACAACACAGCGAAGCAAAAGGATGGCGATGATAGTGGTTTTTGCATACAGACATATTGACCACGGTGGCTATAGGATGACGGGCTGTTGTCCAACCAGGTAGGCAAATTAGCGTCGTCCACGTGTTTTGGAAAGTGTAATACATGGACTATGTGCGAGAGTATATATTTGAATCAAGCTAACACGCAAGTAAAAAGGGAAACGTATGTCAAATGAGAAAAGAAAGGGGACAGCCGTTGTGTGCATATCCTGAAGCCCTGAGTTGTGTAGAGCAAAACCAACACCTAGCCAAAGTTGATAAGGCGAAGGGCGCACAGGCTGACTGAAAAGATGGAGCACTCTGTGTGACTAGAAATTGGTAATGTATCGAGGCGGTTGGTATCATAGAGAAAAAAAAACAAGGCGTTGCGATGGTCGAATTGTACATTTTACAGATCAATTCTGGTATGAACGGATGATTGGCATGAGGCTTCCGCATCGGGCCGCAAGGAAGAAACGCGGGGGCCAGGTCGAGAATGCGGAACGAGCCCCGTATCAGTGATGAACCAGATATCAACAAATTAAGTAGCGAGGTGGAAATATTGAAAGACGAAGCTGGGAGATAAAGGATTAAGCAAGGCGCTGCACTGCACTGCACCGTCCACTGGATGCAGTGTTGCTAATGGAACAACGAGAAAAAGAATAGACGTTGGGTATGAAAAAAATGGGAATAGTTAACTGCATAGAAAAAAAGGAATAGATCAAAAAAGAACCAATCATGCAACGTGTACTTATATAGTATGCAGAAAAAGTAAAATAAACAAATGGTAGATACAGAATCGAATCCAAGAGTGAGATGTAAGATGCATAACATGGGGACGGGTCATTGGGATCGTGGGGGTAAGGGGCATAGAAGGGTGGATAAATGCCTCAGGAATATTATCGTAACCACATCAGATCGTCGACAATCGTACAAGTCGTAAGCAGGAGCGCGTGTATAGTAGAGGTGAACAAGGGTAGTGGGCATAGCAGACGAAATAAATAGGTAATTGAAGGCGTATGCAAAGGGCTAAGGCAAAAAACATGGCGGCGAATAACACGTGAGGTATCTTGAATTGAACATAATGCATGCAAGAAATCAGGTCATTGAAAAAAGGCGTAATAAGAAGCAGAAGGAATAAGGCTAGGGGAAACGAAACGCAAAAGTTTGAAAAGCAAAAACAGTGATATAAAGGGAAAAAATGTAAATGAAGAAAAGGGAGAGGAACAAGACGGCTGACCCCTTCCAAGAAAAACCAAAACTAACTCTTTTTTATAGAACTTTTGTTGTATCCCGTCGACTTTTTTCTCTTTCCCTATCCGAGCATTCTTTTGTTCCAGGCAGAAAATAATTGAAAGAATAGCAAACGGCCTCCCAAAAGCAAATAGATAGGTAGATTGAACGAAGTCATGCGGACGGGGTAGATATCTCCCGAAATATTCGAATATATAATTAAGTCTCTCTCTTTTTTGTCGTTTTTCGTGTTCTCGTATTCGTCCATGGAAGCAAAGAGAATATGTTAAGTTAGTTACTCTAGTAAGCCTCGTCCACTGTATCCTGATCGGCTTGATCGTCGGCTATCACGTTCAGCACGGTGTTCGTCGCGTAGGCGCCTGATGTCATCGGCTTCTCTACGGCTGCTCGTGCTAGCGGTATCTGAGCGAGGTAAGAAATATCGATCCCGTTTTCGCCCACCGATGTTCAATTCAACTCCTCCCTCTTCGCCTGAGCGGAAGTTGATGGTCTTTCCATCGATGGCGTCGCTGGACAGACCGATTTTAACACCTCGGATGATCATGGTGATGCTATCATCGTCAACTCGGGAGCCAGTGGCGCTGCCATTCTTGGTGTGGATGTCACTGGTGTCGTCTTCCGAGTCACTGCTTTCAGATGAAGAATCATCTTCAATTGCATCATCATCGTCATCGTCACTCTCGGTTTCACTGTGCGGGATTGGGGGAGGCCGGCGAGAAGCGGCTTTGCGAAGCATCTCGCTTGTAAGTGGTACCGGAGCTGCTGGCACTAGGGGAGCTGCTGGCGCGGGTGGTGCTGGCGGTGCTGGAGGCGCTGGCGGTGCTGGCGGATGTTGTGAATATTGTGGACGTTGCTGTCTAAGTTGCGGCATAGGCTGATGCTGAGGCTGTTGTCTATGGACGCGAGACACAGGGTAAACTTGCATAACACGCTCCTCCTCCTCCTCCTCCTCCTCATCTTCTTCCTCCTCTTCCTCCTCTTCCTCCTCTTCCTCTTCCTCCTCGCTCTCAGTGTCAGTGTCAGTTTCACTTGGGCTTTCGATTTCAGGCTCTGGTTCAGGCTCAGGCTCGGGTTCAGGTCGACGCTGATGAATCGTCCGGGCCTTTGGGACACGTCGAGAAACATTCCGGACCATTTCAGTAGTAAGTGGTGGTGGTTTAGGAGCACGGGCGGCCTGGTATTCTTCCACTTCACGTTGCTTCTGCTCTAGCAGGTTCTCTTGTTCAATCCCATATGTCGATACACGGCGTGGACGACGAGGAGCTTCGACAGTGACTCTGGCAGGTCTGGCAGCATCGTAATACGTAGCAGTCCTCCGTGGTCTGGTGCTTGCAATCACCTGCGTGGCTCCCATCTCTGGAGAGGGCTCGCGAGCAATACTTCGGCTAGTCCGACGCTGAGATTGTGGTGGTTGATGGTGATACTGACTGGCCCTAGGTGGTGGGAGTGCTTCTTTCATAGTAGACATGTCGAACGACGGAGGTCGATGAACCACAGTGGTGGCTGTGGGTGTAGTAATAGCTTTCTTTGGGGTCGGCCGCTTAGTGATCGGAATTACTTGGACAGGAGGCTGTGTCTGAGCTGGCTTTGGTGCTGGCAGGCGAGGAGGCGGCATGCGGTAGTAATCTTCATCGTGATAACTGCGTGATTGGCGGCGAGCGCGTCGTTCCCGGGATGGTCGGCGCTCCAACTTTCGATCCAAGTTTGGCATATGACTCTGTGTGGGAGGGGTGTTTTCCACAACAGGAGGGCCATAGACTGAGCCTCGTCTTGGTCGTTCAGACGAAGGTCGGGACATAGATGCGGTGCGGGGGCGCTCGTATTGCATCAACTGAGAGGAGTTCTCGTAAGACGACCCCATGATTGGGGAAGGTTGAGTGTAAGATGATTCGAATGGAGAGCCCATGTAGGTGTTAGTATAGGCCGAGGCAGAGAGAGGTGGCCCGGCGTGGCTGTTAGCGTATGGAGCAGACGGGCCGCCCGCCATGTACATCATGTTCATATCAGGCACAATGCCTGGATGGAAGGTGACAGGGCGACTCTGTTGGTGGTAAGAAGACGAGTTTGATCTGCGAGGGTGAGTAATGGCTGGGGTGATGGACATGCCCATATCCATTGGCTGGTAGCGAGGAGTTTGAGGCGACGGTGGCACGTCGTACCCTGGAATTTGATTGAAGTACGATGAGGCGTCCATCATGTTCGGTATCATGCCCTGGTGATGGTATCCAAAGCGATCGCATTCAGCGCACACTCCAGGGGGATGCCTGCCTGCGGACATTGACTCTCGACGTCGGTTTTTCGGTGCATGTGTAAGAGAGGTCGGCCGATTCGCGCCTCGTGATGAAGGTGGTTTCATTCCCTCATGTTGCATGCCGTCCATACCCTTCTGCTCTTTCTCTTTTGCCTTGCGGCTATGTTGTTTTTCTCTATCCACCCCATCGCCCCGCGACCTCACACGAGGTATATCTCGTCCAGCCATGGCGTTGTTCAAAGAAAGAACGTACGAGCTGCTGGCACCGCTGGCACCGCTGGCAAGTGATTCTCCGCTACTCCCAATTGTCGCCCCAGTACGGCTCGAATAGCCAGAATCGCTGGCTCCGTCTGCGCCGATTATCACCGGGTGGAGGTCCGGCTTCGACCGTTTGGCGGAAATGTTTGCAACCCGTTTCGTGTCAGGAATGGCTACATTCGCATCTTCATCAAATTCTTCGCAGAAGGCGGCGTACGATTGCTGTGAGCTGACGAAAGACATGACGCGATTTAAGACGCGCGGGAAAAGATGGGTCGATATTTAGGTTCGGAAGAGAGCCGTGGATTCGACAACTTCTGACCCAAACAAATTCGCGGTGCCTGATTGTTTGTTGATATAGTGATATATATTAATCGTTGCTGATGATATCACCGTTATTTGTTGATGGTTTGGTCGGTGGTGTTTATGTCGTCGATAGTTCGGGGGGTTCGTGTCGGATTTTTTTCATTCGATGTCCACACCCCCTTTTTTACCAGTCTCTGGTAGTTGTGTTGCTCCCAGTGGAAAAAAGTGTGTTGTCTGGAAGCAAGTATCTGCGTTTCACCTGTATACGGTTGCTCTGAGCTCCAATTCAAGTATAGATTCCAGTGAGCAAAGCATGTGGTCCATCGAAGATTGTAAGAGATGAAGTTGAAGACAAGGACGACGTGGCTGTCTGTAGCGTGTGGGGGATCCGAGAACTATTATCTTAGTTGTCTTGACCAGTGCGGAAAGGGGTTAATGTTCCGGTTATATATTGGTAAGGGGTGGGTTCAACGGGGTAAAAAGTAAATAAATAGATAAAAGAAAAAAAAGTTATATATGTCCAGGCAGTTATATGCGACTGAAGTATATAATTTTTTTGTAACCGTTCTAGAAGATCGCAAGGGGTGGAACTGGGATAGTCGTCCCGGAAACCGATGTCACGGAGAGAAAAAAAAATTGGCTGGGTTTGCTGCTCGGTAATCTGGCAGCCTTCTGTCTGGTCTGTACTCTCCGTAACCTTGATGGTTGTAGCCGTGAGTACGCCGCGTTGCGGATGGCGGGGTTGTTGTTGGATGGCTGTGAAGAGATGAAGGGTCTGAAACCAGGGCTGTTTCTGAGCCGGGGCTGTCGACGATCGAGTAGATGCACTCCTGGCGAGAAGCAGCTGCAGGAAGCAGTCAAGAAAGGCGAGATTAGAGGGACGAGAGAGACCGGAAAGGCTGCTGGACGAGGTGGTGGAGGGCGCAAGTCTGGTACGGTTGACCGGCTCAGCTGAGTAGATCGAGGGACAACGACGGCGAGGAAAACTGGGATACGAGACACGGAAGGTTTCCTTTTGAGCAGAACGGACAGTCAAGAGTTGGACCGACGGTTGCACACGCTGTACGGGGTAGATAGAGGCTTTCGTCTGTCGTCGTCTTCGTCTTTTTTTGCTTGCTTGCTGCTGCTGCTGGTGGGCGGTTTTGTGGGCGAGCGAGCGATGTGACCCTTCGGGACGACGATCAGCGTGTATATGGCCGAAGATAACGGAGCCAGACGGCAGAGCTGACTGCTAAGAATATATCACCAGCAAAGACAAACGAGCAAGATGAAACTCGTCGTGGTTTGAGGGTGTCAGTTTGTGTGTAAAGTTGGGTTGACGTTGAGGTTGTCGAAGTGTTGATGTTTGTGGGAAGAAAAAGATGTCGAGGTTTTTTTTGTCTCTCTCGCTCTCACTCTTTGCCTTGGGCTTTTTTTTTCTTCTTCTTCACCCGCAGGCCAAACGAGTCATCCTGAGAGAGTCTTTTCGACCCTCTGCTTTCTTTTTTCTTCGCCGGTGGAGTCGACGGCTGTTTTCTTCGCTGGAGACAGTCCCGATTGCACGGCCGGCTTCATCACTGCCAGGTGGTGGTGGTCGACGTCTAGAGTCGAGAGACGGCCATGTCTACGCCAGGAAGAGACACAGGAGACGGAGACGAGAGACGAGAAAGACGCAGAAGACAGACAGAGAGGAAGTTTTCTTTTCCCCCAGCTACGATCGAAGGTACGAGAGGCAGTGAAAAAGTTTCTACGTGCATATCCGTATACATATGGTACTAATATGTAAGTAATTAATACAGCTAGGATGAGCACCAGCAGGAGGGATGAAGGCAGACAAGAAGAGGCAGAAGAGGAAGGGGAAAAAAGGAAACACAGCTCTTACGTTAAAGGGGACGCCTATGGAACCATGTTGAAGAAAGGCTGAGTTCCTCGTTGTTACATCTGACGTTGAGTTGGCTCTTGGATTGGGATACAGACTGAGAATCAGGGAGAGCAGAGAGGCAGAATATATGGGATAGCCACGCTGGAACAGAGAACTAGTTAGGGAAGACTCTGCTAGTTACAGACTCTGACACACAGGGCGAGCGAGATCTGCCAGGGTGTTTGCCTCTTGTCCCCTGCCCTGCATCTCTCGCTCTCCCTCTCTCTGGCCCCTTGCAAAAAAGCCGAGACGATGGACGATGGGCGAGGGGCAAATATCGACAAGCCGTTTTACTTCGGAATGATGACATCGTGTGAAGGAACGAAGAGCTAACTTATCTTTTGCTGGTGGGTCGAGTTTAAGCCGATGTTTAGCTGGAGTCTGGAAAACTTCCCTTGATCCACCGTCTACCATAAAAAAGCTGATGGTTTGCGCGTTAACTATAGGTTACAGGCTGATACTAAACATAACTTCTCTATTTCTGGCAACGGGGAGCGTCAACAAAGACAGCACTGCCGGCCGAACACACGAGAATAGCCCTCAACGCTTCTCATCCAAGCTGACGAAGACTGAGAGACCCTCACGCCGACGTCTCAGCCCATCCTGCCCCCCACGAATGAACGTGGCCCGGAGAGCCTGAACATTCAAAAGCCAAGTTATAAATATCAATCAGTGCGTAACGAAATACACAGGCTGTACCGGGCCCTAACCATTTTTTTCAAAGAAGCAAAAAATAGTCCCTTCTCCAGTCCCTTGGCCAGGCGAAGGAGAGTAAAAAAAGAAAAGGAAGAAATTTTTTTTTACTCCATGATCCGATGCTGCCACGATTGGGCTGCAAGATTTAGGCTTTCACACACTCGCACCCAAAGAGCCATTGGGCAGCAAAAAAAAGGACACCCTGGGGCGTTCCCGAGAACGACGCCGTGTGAAGTTTTTGCCTGCCTTCAATTGTCTGGACGTGTGTCCATGAGTCATCGGCCAGGCAGAGCCTTCTTCCTTGCTGGACTACGTACATACACACATGCATAGTTTACAAGGCGGCAAGCGTTCTATCTGACGGAATACAGTATCAAACCGGTAGACTTGCGGCAATCGCAGAGTTGATGAGATAAGCGTCCCGCTGAATCCTGGGTGCATAGGAGCAGCCGGCTATGAATGAAAAGCGCACTAGGCAAGGAATACGATCCAGACACCAACGTCATAATTGAAGATGTTGGGGTGGGATGGAGGGTTGGAGAGGATGGGGAAGGGGGGGAATGATAGGGCACTATCTTCCAGCTACCATCTCCCCATCTATACTCTGATATTGATAATAGTAACTATCGTTTATGCTTGTTGTTTGGCTGGAGTTGACTTTACGCTTTTTTAATGCGCGGCTTATCTTTTTTTCTTTTTGATCACATGAAGAGTCGTTGGGAGTAAACAAAGGGTGGATGTATGAGAGATACGACCGACATCAACCAGATGGATGAGAGGAGACGATGGGATGAAAGAAAGATCCGATCTCACATCCTAACAGCAAAACAATGTTAGCCTTGAGTAATGATCAACGAGATCCGATATCGAGATGGAGGGTTAGAAGGAGGTATTAAGACAAGGAAGAGGACTCACCGCTTGACAGGGTTCAAACCCAGAAGTCTCATGCCGTTATGGAGGACTTGACGGGCAGACTCATAAAGCGCCATTCTAGCCATCTTCACCTCGGGTTCGCTGCCCACGACCTTCAAGACATCATAGCCCGAGCTCAGCGTGTGCGTCATTCGGAACAGATATGTCAGAATCGTACAGGGCTCCAGCGTCTTGGAGGCGTTGAATACTACGTCCGGCCACTGCGCGAGCAGGCGGATCAGGTCGATGGCATGCGACTCTGTAAGTAAGCTCAGGTCTGCACCGCCTAGCTCTTCCGGTTTGATCTCGGCCTTTCTGGTCACAGAGCAGACACGCGCGTGTGCGTATTGCAGGTATGGCCCTGTGTCACCCTCGAACGAGGTCATGTTCTCTAGGTTGAACTCATACCCGTTGATCCTGTTCCAAGCCATACATTGTTAGTTTACCCCCCATGTTGCTGTTGGCTCTTTTCTTCGGTTGGACTTCTCCCCCAGATGGCAAAAAGGACGAGGAAAAAGAAAAGAAGGGGGTACGATATAAAATTGTCCGATGAGGACCATATACTATCCACGTGTGGAAGAAGATGCCGAACGTACCGTTTACCGCTCATATCCTGCACCATCACCGACGTTATTCCAAGCACATCGGCTGTTGCCACTGGATCTTCGATCTGCTCGTACTTGGTTTGGTTCTTTTGCATGACCTCATGCATTTTTTCTCCAACATCCTTTAGAATATCGTTCAGGAACTTAACCGTTCCCTTTCGTGTGCTCATCCCTCTAACCATGCCGAAGCTGATATGCTCACATCGGCTTGCCAGGTCTTTCTTTCCAACTAACTCAGTCGTCTTGAACAGCTGGGCAAGGTGAAGCTCCTGCTGAGCCGCCACTACATAGATCATCTTGTCGAACTTGTATTCATCGTCTCGCTCAACGATGGCAGCAATGTCTCGTGTGAGATAGAGAGGCGTTCCATCCTTTCGGATCACGATGGCCTTTCCAAGTTTCTTTGCGCTGTGCTTTGCAAAGTCGATGATGACAGCGCCTTCAGAGCTTTCCGACACACCCGCGCTCTCCATAGCCTTGTAGGAATTCTTTATACTTTCGTCCTTGACTTGGGACTCTCCAGAGTAGACATCAAAGTCGATGTTCAGCCGGGCGTACGTCTGCTTGTATTTTTCAATACTAAGATCTCGGAATCGCCGCCAGAGGTCAAGTGCTTTCTGATCTCCGTCCTCCATGCTCTTGAAGTATCGGCGGGCCTTTTCATCATAGCTTGCATCGACAAGTGGCTCAAGTTGCTTTTCCAGCTCAGTAACATCTTCGTTCTTCTCCTTCTTGGCCTTGATCTGTTCCTTGAGCTCTTTTATCGGACCTTCCTGCGCACTTACGTCTTGGTTGATCTTCACATACACCTCAAACAGATGGTTGATGGGGTCCTTGAGCAGCTCTTCCTCGCGGCCGTACTTCTCGTATCCGTTGGCAAGCAGACCGTACTGCTTCCCCCAGTCTCCAAGGTAGTTAATCTTGAGGACTTCCCAACCAAGAACTGTGTATAGGTTCGCAATAAATCCACCAATGATGGTACTTCGAAGATGTCCGGCGTGGAAGGGCTTCGCGATATTTGGAGACGAGAATTCTACCACCACTTTCTTCTTTCCTTTGCTGGCATCTCTTTGATCCCGTAGACCGACATTCGGGTTGCTTCCATAGGCGTCTTTGTTCGCCAAAATCGATCGGATCACGTTTTCGGTCATGGGTTTATGGCTGTAAAAGAACTGAAGATGCGCGCCAACAACGACCGGTGGCTCAACCAGGTCGGACTTGGGGAATTTGGCAGCGATATCCGCTGCGATCTCTTGTGGCTTCTTACCCTTAATCTGTAGAGCCGGTACCTACATCATAACAGATCCCCCATTAGCAAACGGTGACACAGCCAACTCCGTATAATCAAGCCGAACTTACAGGGAGAATCAAGTCACCCTTCTCCAGCATGTTCGTCCATAGTATCTTAGTGTAGACAAACGCCGGTTCCAGCCCTGAAGCTTCTGCGACCAACTCTGCGATGTGCGCGCGGTACTTGTCTACTGGGTTGAAAGCAGGATAGCAATTGGGATAACTCGACACCTCCGAGCTAACAGACTGAATCGACAGGCTCGAAAAAGAGGCAATAGCGTCTGAGGCCATGGTTAAGACTGGGCGAGGAGCCGTTATCAACGGTAGATTCGTCCTGCGCCGCTCAATGTATGGTGGTGGGGTTCGACTTCGACCCAAGTTCCGTGGCAGCGGCCGACAGTAGCTGGAGAACGCGGATAAGCTGATTCGAGGCTTGAATATGCCAGAGTATACAATCGAAGAGCTTCGAAGGAGTTGCTGGTGCATCCAGAAAGCAGTTTCGCGCTGGACGTTGAAAGATCGAGAGGATCAAAAAACTTCTTGGGTGAGTCAAAAAAATTAAGGCGCGGATGGAAGTTTTGCCCCACGTGAGTTTTATTGGTGCGGGAGAGACTGCGCGGACTAAGCGATTGACAGGCGACGGCGAGGGATGGATATAGATGTTGATGCAGACGACATGAACGAGAGACTTGATGCGATAGACGAGATGAATGTTTGAAGTTTGAGAGATACAGCTGGCTGGTTATCGGGCCTATCTATTCCTGTTTGAGCATGGTCTTATCGATATCAATAATGAGGCTTATACGGAGTAACTACCTAGGTGCAGTCTTGGTGACGGCTAAGATCTACTTCATTAAGGCATTCCAGAAAACATTAATAAAGTAGATCCTATGATACAAGAGAGAAGCTCTAGATGCTATTATGCAGTCGATATGTTGCTGGGTGCTGGTTACCACTGGAAATATCGACAATCGTGACGTAAGGGAAGAAGCCCCTATTTAACCGGGACGGATACCTTGCCTCCAAAAGAAAATCAAAAGAAAGCAGTACGGGGTACACCCAAGACTGATGAAAATGTATCGGTAAAGATAGCTTGTACTAGGCATAGCCCTCCCCGGCATTTATGCTGCTACCAGAGGCAGCCCAGTAGGTTTTGCTGTTTCGAAATTTGGCAAGCTGGATCTGGGTTCGGACTTTCTTGCGGGTATCTTCATCAAGGTATTCACGGCGCTTCGTGGCGGAGCCGTACAGCTGCTCCATCTGTACCTGCGTCATCAACGGCGTGCTTGAGAGCTTATCAGCGGGGGTACCAGGTGGCCGGGCCCAGGCGGCATAAGGCCCGTTGTATTTAGGGCCTTTTCCAGGCCCATATTTTTCATGTTTGACGATTTGGCCCGACTCAATCAGCTCATTGGCAGCCCTGACACCACTGTCTGATTCGTACGCTGGTTCATCTTTGGCGTGTTCGAATCGCATCGACTTGTCATCATCTGGAGGGGTCGAAGTGGAGAGGATATGGATGCTCCCGCTGTTGTCTCCGATAATCATCGTCGTCTTATCGGCAGACAAGGCTCCAGAAGTGATATCGTTACCAAAGCTAGCAAGATCTTTGACGAAAACATCCTCCGTGGCAGCCATGATGTTCCAGGTTTTGACACAGCCATCAGAAGACCCGGTATATAACATGCTTGATTGATCACCCCAGAGCCCAAACTGTACTCCGATGTCTAGGTCCCTAATCTGTGGGCCATGCTGAAGTTGATGGAGAATCTTGTTGGGATTTCGGAAATCCCATACATAGGTCGTCCCGTTCGTGCATCCGGCAGAGATATAGTTATCATTAAATGGGCAGAAGGTCACAATGTTAATATCACGCCCAGGGCAATCATAGCTGATGATGTCTCTCTTACCCCTTAACGGGTCATAGATATTCACCATTGACCGGACCTCAGAGCCTAGTCCTTTGGAACGACCATAGGCAGCTATCCCAGCGGCGAATAAACCTGATGGTAGATGCCACGATAGATCAAAAACGTTCTGGGAGTTAGGCATCACACCTAGTTGGGTAACGCTGGCTTCCTCCATTCGCCAAACTGCTAGATGACCGCCGATTGGCGGGTCGCGTGTATCACTGCTGTCGGGCAAAGACATGCCTGCTACCAGCAGGTCTTTCGTATACGAGTTAGGCCCCCAGGCTAACGATGTTGGTGTCATCAATTTATTGTGGCGGGGCGATATCTCCAATGGAGATGAAAGAGAAAGGCCGTGCTCTTGTTCAACCTGCCACAGCAGAAAGCTATTTTCACGATCTGATCCGGTAGCCAATCGACAGTTATCAACCTTAGAAAGCGCCATGACTAGTACTTTTCCAGGGTGACGGAGAGTTGTAATACATCTCGTGTCCTGATGGTTTGAGGTATCCCATAACTTGACAGTACGGTCATAGCTGGAACTAAACATCCGAGTCCCATCATTGGACCATGCCACTGCGCTGATGGAGGTGTAGAGTTGGGGGTCGCTTCCGCTGCTTTCTTCATTCGCTTGTGTTGGGTCAAATAACACTCGCGGCATCCGGTGATCAGGAAGTTCTTTAAGCCTGTTTGTTGTCAAATCTCCCACCACTAAATTATTTCTCCGGTTGTACATCATATTCTCTGGAGCGCAAGATGTTGCACATCCGGCCACGAAGCGAGTGCCATCAGGGGACCAGTCAAGAACCACAACATCTTTCGATGCGCCCTCCCATGACTTCCAATGCTCCCAGCTGTCATTTGCTGATTTGACTAAGGTTTGTTGTATGGACGATCGTGCCTTATACTGCTGATATCCAAGTTCACGGGCTCTAAGATGAGATGCAACACTGGTTGGATAATATCGCAGTAGATGCTGATCTGGTTTGGATGAATAAGCTCGAAGAGCTGACGGTGAGGTGGGCAGCCGGCCATTCTTTGCATCAGCGAGGAATGCACAAAACTCATTGGAGGTCCTCTGCCCCAAAATGCTGATTTCTTGAGCAGCTGCTCTCAATTTCTGTTCGTCAACTTGCCGCAGCAAGAATTTCAAGTGGGCATTGATATCATTGTTTGGGATAGGAGCGGAGACCAGAAACTTCTCTTTCAAGTATTGGCATATTACAACCAATTTCTTATCAGACTTAATCTGTTGTGCCAATTCACCGTTTCGGCAACCTAAAAGGAACTCTGCGATGTTCGAAGTATAACCTGAAAGAGCTAGGTATACATCCTTGAGGCGAGCTAACTTGCGAAGCAAACTCGCAATCTCACCACAATCAAACAATAATTGAGAATACTGGACAACGAGGTCTTGTATGCAACCCTCAGTCTGTGTTGTTTCCACGTTTGTCATGAAGCGGTAAAATACGTTCAATTCATCCATGCATAAGTCCGCATGAAGTAAGATACCTTTGCAACCAATATTGGTACCCCTCCTCGTTTTCAAGAGAGATTCGGGGTCCTCTCTCTCCTCCCAAGAGCGGTAAGAGGCAAGATTTGATGCAGATTCAACCAGGGGCTCTTTTACTACAATATGGGTAGCAGAGCGGTAACATACACGACCTGGCAGATTCTTGGGTTCAGACGTTAAGGTAGAAGAGGCAGATAGCTCGTCGGCTGGATGGTTCTGTTCGGTTTGGTCTCGCGGACTAGAAATCTCTAAGGTACTTGCATAGTAACTTCGAGGGCCCCTATTCCGCCTTGATGAACGCGATTCTGTGGATATCGGAGATTCAATCCGATCAGAAAGAAACGGCTTTTCTTTCTTTAATATTTTCTTTTTAGCGCGCCTCAGTCTCTTAGATGATTGGGAGGAAGGCCTATCAGTAGGTCGTCCAGCTGCTCCAGGTTGTTGAGGCGTTGCAAAATGTATCGGTATCTCTACCACAGGGCGAAGCGGAGATGACGCTCCCCATGAAACCGGGCGGTCTGATAATGGCTGTGCTAGACTACTTGGTCTAATGGTATTGTTGTCCCTCTCATTACTTCTCTCGGATGTGGTGGATGTGCCATTGGGTTCAGCTGGCCGTTTTGCAGGTATAACAGAGGAGCTCCGTGAGTTACTCTCCGTAGAAGTACAGTCACCCCGATCTTTGAAGGACAGAAAAGAGCCTAGAAGCGCGTTCGCTTTCTGGCTAACTCTTTCAATATCCGACTCACTTTCTGATAGTGAGATCGAGGCCGAACTGGCGCTTGTTGCAGTTACAGCGGCGGGGCTGCTGCGATTTTTCGAAGCCGTAGGGCGATCTTTTCTGGTATTAGGTCGGTTTCTCTTGCGACCTTCCGTCTTTCCATCTCGAAGGGGCATTTATCCCTAGCCTGTCTGTTACTCTGCCATACAACGACTTCACGGAGGCTGTAGGTTCAACCTCTTAAAGGAGTTAGCGGTGTTTTGAGCGCGTGTATATTTCAGCTGAGCACTTCTGACTAGACACTACTTAGCTTCGGTAACTCACCAGTATCACTCTAAGCACTCAGATAAGCCAGTTCTGAGTAGCAGGGGCTGTGGCTTGAGGTCCTTTTTTGGCGTTGGGTGGTTGAAGCGAGTTTGATATAAAGATTCGCGAACAGAAGAAGGCTTATCGTGCAGCGGTCTTGGCGGGAACCGATAAAGGAGCTTAGTTACTCCGTACTTGGTACCACAAGGTCAGATGGATCCTACAAAGAGAACATTGATCGCTTTGTTCTTTTGACTCGTTGAATGAAGGTCTTTTTATTGTTTACCAGGGTGAGTGACAACACTCGTGGTAGGACGGCTTAAGGCGATTATACAAGTGGGATAAAAGGGAAGATTCATGACATTGAACTTTGTAATATTTTATATTCAACACTACAAAAGCAGTGAATGACTCCAGCCATGATAGAGTGAATAGTTCAATTAAAATTAGATAAAGAGATACATACCCCTGCCGAAACATATATTCATGTACCCATTATGCATCGCTATCCAAGGACATGACTTTGAATACATATTTTCCGCCCTGAGCAACCCGTCTATGTTTTCATACCGCCCATGATATGTAAATGGGAGACATGCTTAGAAACAGAAGACTTGGTCCTCGAGTTTGCTGACAAGGTTGGCCTTCTTGTAGCCCAAGGACTCTGTGGCCTTCTTCATGGCGCTAACCATGGGAGGCGGGCCACAGATCATGATTTTAATATCGTCTGCTGGGGCAGGGAGATGGCCCTGGAAGAGTAGATTTAGTAATAGCTAAATGTTAAAACAAGTTTGATAGAGTACCAACCTTGATCATGCTTGGAGTAACAAAGCCAACACCGCCTTCCCACATTTCTGGAGGATTGTTCAGAACATAGTGAACACGGAAGGCCTTGTCGGTTTTTGCAAGTTCATCAAGCTCTTCCTTCAAAAGGATGTCCTCCACATTAACGTTTGCGAAAATAAGGTCAACCTGAGTGGTGTCATTTCCTCCGTTGCTTGGTCTGCCCTTGACAATAGCCTTGATAACCTGAAGCATCGGCGTGATACCGGTACCACCGGCAATCATACCAATATGTCGAGCCATGTTGGGAGTATAGACCATGGCACCCTTGGGTCCGCGGACCTTCATGGTGTCACCAATTTTCAGGGTGGTCATGTGCTTGGAGATGTTACCCTGGGGGTATGACTTGATGAGAAGGTCAAAGTATCCGGCATTGTCGTCAGAGGAGATAGGAGTGTAGGATCGGACAATCTCCTTGGTCTGACCCTCTACAAGAGCTGCAAGGGAGATGTGCTGGCCAATTGGTAGGCCGAGGATATCGGTTGGACGAGGGAGGGCAAATCGGTAGATGGCAACGTTGTGGGAGACAATGGTCTTCTCCTTGAGCACGAACTTCTGGAACTCATTAGGCTTCAGGACCTTCCGCTGTCCTACAAGTAGTAACTTTTTAGTATCATCACTCGAGAATAGAATGGATCTATCTCCAATGGAGCGGGTGTGGTGGGGGGTTAGTCATTACTGTTGTTAAAGATCTTGTAAGCTCCGAGAACCACGGCCAATGCCACTGCGTAAGCAACCCATTCGAGCTTCATGATTGCAGTTCCAAAAACCAACAGGCCTGCAGGAATGTAAACACCGTCAATGTATTGGCGAGAAGTCCATGCACTAGCCCACACAGTCAGTATTTCAATTGTCCAGAAACAACAGTGAAACAATTCGCCTAAACAAACGAGGAACGAACCTCATTCTTATACAGAATACCCCTGGGGCTAAGCAGACGGACCCGCAGCCAGAGTAACAACTATTGGGACTGAAGGAGCTGTTTCGGCAAGAATTGGAGAAATCCGGGAGTAAAAAACCGATCACGAGCAGATCCAAGTCCAGGGGGAAAAACAGTTGGGATGTTTTCTCGTGGCGTCACTGTTTGCTTATGTAAGACAATCCTCCGCGACGTCAACACAGAGTGATTATGTAAGATATTTGAGTTTGAAGGTTGCGCCGAATTCCCCCGGAGAGGTACTATTGGTCAAACGATCCCCACACATCAACATCAATTAAATAACATCCGCCCTTTGACATACATACGGCGAATATGTTATTATAGACGGGAGGATAACATATATAATAGTCGATATGGCGCCACAGTCTATAGACATGAAATCTGGGTTTCCCCTTAGTGAGAGTGATCGCCAGGTCCTGGCTCAGACCGACGAAGAGTTCGTTTACCATGATTGGCAGCAACTCAAGGACATTATAGGTTGAACAGCCCTCCAACCGACTCGCTTAATCTCTATATCACACCGTCGAAGCTTGTTTGTTCAGATAAAACAATATACAGCATCAACAAAATTGGGGTTATAACGCTAATTCCGGTTTTGAATTAGCAAGTAATACGCTAGAACTGCTCAAGCGAAAACCATCCGACTTACGCCGATACGCAACATGGAGCTCCAACATCAAAGAGCAATATGGCAATATAACGAACTTCCTATGTCGGGAACGTCTGCATTGTACAATAGACAAGGATCCGCAAACACTGTGCTAGCATCCGACCCCGTTTGCGGATTCAAGAGACTATAATATTCTCCGCAACGACTGGCCATACGGTCTAACCCCCGATATTACCCATCTGTGCGTATGGATTAAGAACAGGATAGATACTACTCCTGAAAACGGAGATGTAACCGAGGAATCGCGGACGTTGATCGATGACTTTGTGCACCGAACGTTTACTTCCAGGCTAAATGAGTTTAGCGATGCGGCTGATAGAGTCGTATGGTTTAAGAATTGGACGGCCCTGCAGAGTGTGAGATCTTTAGAGCATATCCATGTGCTTGTGAGGGATGTTCCTGACAAAATTATTGTGGAGTGGACCGGTGAGGAAGCCAGGGAACTCTCCCAAGCAAACTGAGCAATTTAATAGAAAAACTATAGAAATAACCTTACCTCTAGGAAGAATTATTGGAGTATCATGAACAAGGAAATACATTATTAATAACGTAAATCAAAACAGACACAAACACCGGCGCAAGTACAAAACCATCCCATCATTATAGAATAAATGTACTGATACTGTGGTAGTCAAAAGAAAAGAGAAATAAACAAATATAGCACAGGTATATGTATGTATACAAGCATGGCCTCGTTCAGGACTTCTGCTCGTCAACAAACTTCAAAGCCTCCTCTCGCGAGACGACATCGATGGTACTGGCCTTGCTTCGGAAGCTTACGCCGTAGCACTTTTCGGCAACGTGAAGCATCTCAGGTCGGAATGTTGTACAGATGAACTGGCCGTTGGTTTCTTCTGATATGGACTGAAGCATCTGGGCTACAGCCGTTCGGTATTGAGCGTCAAGGTTAGCGTCAATCTCGTCGAAGAGGTAAAACGGTGCGGGATCACAGGCCTGGATGGCAAAAACAAGAGCAAGCGCGCATAAACCTGTGGAATATTAGCATATCTACTACTTGGTTTAGGATGGGTATACGTACTCTTCTGACCACCACTGAGCTGTTGGATCCTCTGCTGATCGTCATGTTTGCTGTTAAAACTAACACTGATACCAACCCCGATGTAGTTCTCCACACTACGGCGAGCCTCCTCTTCATCCGAGTCCATATCCTCCTGCTGTCTAGTGGCAGCATCAGTTTTCCTCTGGATAATAAGTCGTCCTCGACCGGCTGGGGCTAGTTTCTCAAAAATTCTCGCAAACTCTCTAGAAACTTGCTTGAAGGTTCGTTCAATGGCCTCATCCTTTCTCTGATCCAAGATCATAATGAGCTCGTCAATGGACTTATGGGACGCATCAAGTTCCTCTCGACGTTTGGTGAGAGTCTCTCGCTGCTTAGTGAAGCTGTTGTACTGCTCGAAAGCCTTCTTATTCACATGTGAATATTTCTTGAGAGCTTCATTAGCCTTGTGTAGCTTCTTGACTATTGTGTTGGAATCCGTGTTTTTGAACTTCGTAAAGGCCTCGTCAGGAAGCACACCGAGGTCGCGAATGTTGGCACTGCATTCCAATGCTTGAGCAGTCAACGCTGCCTTTTTCTGCATGCTCTTTTCCATGCGGCGTTGGTGCTTTTCAATGGACTTTGCGAATTCTTCTAGCTCACGTTTTATATCCGCCCGACGCTGCTCAAGCTGCGAAGCTTCGGTGTTTTGTTGTTCTATGGAGTTCTCCAGTTTCTGAAGTTTCTGGCTGAGTTTCTCGAGCGCCTTCTGCTGCTTCTTGACCTCCCTCTCGCTCTCCTTCAGGTTTCCATGAGCGGTTTCTTCCCCAGCATCAAGGCCTTGGCCGGCTAGATGATCCAGCTGTGGGTAAAGATTTTCTCGCAACTCCACTTCCAAGATGGACTTTCTAGTTTCTAGCTCGCTGCGGCTGCTGGAGAGTGCCGCATGCTCTCGTCGAAGGTCCTGCACCATAGAGTTGAGACTCTCTAAGCGTGCTTCCTCAGCATTCGAAAGTGCCTTCTCAAAGGGCGTGGCAAGTTCCTCCTCGTGGGCCGTTATTTGGCTAGTGAGTGATTCCACGTTAACCTCAATATTCTTAAGAGCGCGTCTCTTCGCCTCGAGGGCGTCAGTTTTGTTGTGTAGTAGATCCCGCTTGCTCTTGATCTCCTGACGTAGTGGCCCATTGCTGGAATGTAGCTGCTGCCGCTTTTGCTCTGCTTTTTGAAGGTGTCCCACTGCCTGCGTAATCAATTGGTCCATCTTTTCCAATTCACGGCGGATCTCTCCTCCTCGAGCCTTCTTTGCATCATACTCATCTCGCCATTTGGCAACATTTTTTGTTGCATCAAGCCGAGACTTTCTCGAATCATGGAAACCACCAGTCAGAGCACCACGCTTGTCAGATCGATCACCTTCAGGGGTAATGGCATTGACGCCGTGGCTGCGAGCATACTGAGACGCAATCTGAAGATTTGGACAGATAATTGTCCGACCAAAAACTTGCTGGAAAGCTGGCTCATACCGAGGGTCATATTGCAGCTTCTCAATCATTGGAATTGTGTCGCTGGCACGAGGAATGTTGCTGGCCCTTGGCTTTAACCTGTTCAATGGCATGAAAGTGACTCTCCCTGACTTCTCCTTTTGCAAAATCTCTAGTACTTTGGTAGCTGTCTCATCAGTATCGACAACATAGTGGAAGAGACTCTGACCAGCAGTAACTTCAACAGCTGTACGATATCTGTCACTAACGTCAAAGAGCTCTGCAAGCGTTCCATAGACACCCTCAAGATTATATTGCCTTTTGATGCGTCGTACTGCTGCAAGGCCCCTGCTGGTGTTTTGATCCATCATGTGCGCAAGTGATCTCTCTGCTCTTTCCACCTCATGGGTGGCGTTGGTGAGAATCGAGTCAAGCTTAGCTTCTTCTCTCCAAAGCTCTCTACATTCAAATGTCAGATGAAACACATTAAGATGGGGATAACAAAAGGAAGCCTTACTTTCGCTGGTCAATTAGCCGATCCCGTTCATCCTTGGCTGTTTGAACCTCTTGATCAATAGATTGAAGGTTATCGCCCCAACCATCCGCCTCCTTTCGAAGCTTCTCAACCTCCGGCTCCAGAAGCGTGATGTCATTCTCAAGCTCTTGAATCTCCTTGGTGGTCTGTATTCGAACAGCCTTGACGGTCGAAACTTGCGCATGAGTATTCTGTATTTCGCCATGTAGCCACTTATCACGCTCGCCTTTATTCCTAAACCTAGAAATTCGTCCCTGCTTTGCATATAGGCGCTGTCTGCCAGTTTCGGCATCATTCAAATTGAATTTTGCCTGGTCTTCTCGTTCTTTCATTTCGTTGAACTGAGGGACTAGCGTGCTCAACTCCTCTTCACGTTCCTTAATGGCAGCATTCACTCGCTCAACATTCGCTTCACGCTCAGCTTTTGACCTCTGAGCAGCGCTCTGGCCTTCTGAGAGGGACTTTCGCTGTAATTCGGCTTGCGCAAGAGCTCGGGATGCATCCCGTCTATCGTCCTCCAGCTGGTCTTTTTCCAGCTTCAGAAGTTCCATTTGTTGCCTGAGCTCTGCCTTTTGGGTCTCAATTTGAGCAATATCGTTTTCACCCTGCATGAGTCTGTTTCTATTGGCGTCCGTGTCTTCAACCCCTGCTTGTCTTTGGTCATCAATACTTTCTAGAGCACTTGCAATCTCAGCCTGCTCCCGAGAATAGATAGTGTACTCAAGGCAACGCCTCTCCCTTTCCTTCTCTTGAAAGTTTCTAAGCTCGTCCTTTTCCTCTTCAAGCTCGCCAAGCCTCTCGTTGATATAATCGAGCAGTTCGTCAATCTTCGCTCTTTTATTGTTGGTCTCGTTCATTATCTTTAGAGACTCCGTACGGCGTGCTTCATAAACCTGAGTTCCCGCAACTTCTTTCAGAAGCACTAACCGTTCGGAGTCTTTCATGTTCGTTAGGGTTGTCACTCGGCCTTGTGGGACAATATAGTACGGGTTTGACCTCGAGAAGCCAGCAGACTCAAGTAAGTTCATGACGTCAGATTTGGTAGCATTCTTCCGGTCCAGAGTATATTCATCCTTCTTCAAGCCGATGGTACGGCGTAGTATGAGCTCATCTTTGCCTGTTGGGAAACGGTCGTCCGAATTGTCAAATATAATTTCAACATACGCCGACATCACCGCGGAACCTGAGCCTTCCTGTTTTTTATTAGTCGTCATACATCGAATTTAAGGGGCAAGCGATTTCATATCCATACGTGTAGCAGCGCCTGGCGCTCTTCTCTTCCCATATGTGTATAGGCATCACTAAGAACGAACCGAATGGCAGCAAAGAAGTTACTCTTGCCGGAGCCATTGCGACCAACAATCACATTGTGCTTTGGAGAAAAGGGTTCGATGACGGTTTGATCTTTATAGCTATTGCAAAATATGCCGTTAGCAAAGGTCTTGACTAGCTGATTAAATTGCTCCCCTCACTTACCTCTTAAAGCCTTGGATGATAATCTGCTTGATAAACATCTTCGCGGATCAAGTATTAAGACCAACCTGTCATTATTCGAGTGCGCACCGGGAAAAGAGATAAAAACACCACGTCTCGGCGTCCTAAAAGAAAGTGAACGTCTCTACCAAACATCGCTCGGTGAGAAATGCCAACGCGTCTAAATTGAGAAGCAAGCGCGTTTTCTTTGCTTATATAACAAGGTTTAGGGCTTTCGGGCGCGGCAAAATAATCAAGCGACCGATAAGGAAGATTATGTAACCCTTATCGCTAAAAAAATATAATGCAAATATCAAAATCTCAGGCAGCAAAAAGTTATCCTAGACGAAGATTCATGATTATAGACAAACCCTGGTATCAAAATTATTTGCCTACAAGAAAATCAGTTAAGAGTTTTGATTATGACGGGAGATACCAAACTGGAGGGAACTCCCAAAAAAAAACTGGAGGAAAAGATAGATCAGCCAGCCGCCGATATTGACTCTACACACCCCGCCAACGAGTACGATGTTGCTGAAGAGGAAGAGGATGATGAATACTATGATGATATCTTTGACGATGAGCTGGATGATGCTGATTTTGGTGCTTCGAACCCATCCGATTTCACAAAATCTTATAACAGGCAAAGAAAGCTAAACGAGGTTGCTGCTGATGCGAATGCCCCCCTCTCCTCATACCCAAAGAGCAACCCCCAAAAGCCGAGCGTCAATACATTCGCGAAGGTCGACGATCAGATATCGACCCTATCTCGACATGCCGGGAAGATTAGACTCGATGATGCCCAATCTGGCTTAAAGTCGAAGGGTGGAAGGGGGGCAGATAAGAGTGACAGAGCTACATCTGAACAAGTGTTGGACCCCCGCACTCGCATGATACTGCTTCAGATGATCAATAGGAATATCGTCTCAGAAGTGAACGGCTGTTTATCCACGGGAAAAGAAGCAAATGTTTACCATGCGATCTCCCAACCCGACGACGAAAGCCCAGATCTTCACCGAGCTATCAAGGTATACAAGACCAGCATCTTAGTCTTCAAGGACAGAGACAAGTATGTCACCGGCGAATACAGATTTAAGCAGGGGTATAATAAGTCCAATAACCGATCGATGGTGAAAGTGTGGGCAGAAAAGGAGATGCGAAACCTCAAACGCTTATACTCTGCTGGCATTCCTTGCCCTGAACCATTGTACCTTCGACTTCACGTTCTTGTGATGGGCTTCCTTGGAAACTCTAAAGGAATACCAGCTCCCCGGCTGAAAGATGTACAACTCCAGGATGAGGATCTGGATGCCCGGTGGAAATCTCTATATATGGAGCTAGCTTCTCATATGCGTACCCTGTACCAGGACTGCCGCCTTGTCCACGCCGATCTGAGCGAGTATAACATCCTATACCACAACCACAAACTCTACATCATTGATGTCAGTCAGAGCGTCGAACAAGACCACCCCAGGAGTTTAGAGTTCTTGCGTATGGACATTAAGAACGTTAGTGACTTCTTCCGCCGCAAGGGTGTCGATACACTCCCCGAACGGACATTATTCGAATTCATCACTTCGGTCGATGGCCCTCATGCTGTCTCTGGCGACCTGAGCCCAATGGTTGCAGTGCTTGAGAAGTTGTTTGTTGCCAGAGCTGAGCGCCAGGAGGAAAGCGGCGAGCACGCCGAAGGTGAAGGGAACGATGAACTAGACACTGCTGTTTTCCGACAACAATATATCCCTCAGACCCTAGAACAGGTTTACGATATAGAGCGAGACGTTGAGAAGCTCCGAACCGGGAAGGGTGATGAACTGGTTTATCGCGAGCTTCTAGCTTCGGGCGCAGACCCAACCAAATCGGCAGCTAAGAATGAGGATGAAGATATCGGAGAAGACTCTGATGTTTCTGGGGGTGTATCTTTGTCTGATAACGGTTCCCAGTCTGGTGATGCCGATGAGGTAGACCCATTCGCAAAGAAACCACCACGAGGCAAACGGTTCGAGGATAAAGACACTAAACGAGACCATAAAAAACAAGTCAAGGAAGAGAAGCGAGAGCAGCGGTCAAAGAAAATACCGAAACATGTCAAAAAGAGACTTGTCAATGCATCAAAACGCAAGTGAGCGTTAGGCCGTTCTCCTCTGCCTTAAGGATTCAGTTTTACTGTTCATTTCTCGTCCACATAGCATTGCTGCGTTGATAAAAAAGAGATAGTTTGTCCGACATGATGAATGAATTTACGCTTTTACAACAGTTATGTTGGTCCTCTTTTGCGAGAAATATTTGTCTATTTACTTGGAACACGCACATTTAGCCCAGGAAGGGGCATTTGCTTTTATTTTATTTAAGCTACACCTCATACTCCTTCGATATCTATCAACGAGTGGATGCATTCCTTCGATGCAGGGGTCCAAAATCACAAGCCATAATGCAGAAAAAATAATGTAACGGTTATTCGGCAACAAAAGCAGGCCTCATTCAGCCAGTATCATATGAAGACTTAAACGTTTACGCCCGGCGATCTTACCAGATCCATCTCATCCCTTTGGTTACCACTCTCACGATAAACACAAATGGTATCAAGCAGTGCTTTTCCGGAGCTTGTAGGCAGGAGGCATATTCAAGTACGCGGCCGTTTCTTCCTCTAAAACCCAGACATCAGCCCAAGTCTGAAGTAGCCATCGTTGGAACTGACGGCGGATGGCCTCGTCTTCTTCCTGGCTCTTGCATTCCTCAGCGGCCTTCCGAGCAGCAGCCAGAGATGCCGATGCACACTGCACAAGGATTTCGAAGCAAGTGACTAGCAGACGAATGGGCTCTTTTTCATGGCAAAACCGCCCATCTTCAGTGATGCGGTTTGTAAAAGAGAGTATTGTACCCAATGCCTTCACTTCCAGCCATTTCTTCTGCTGAATTGTATACGGTAAACCAGCGGCATAATCAGGTCTGTCCCTCAAGATCTGATTGATTCCAATTCTCACTTCCATCATGATATCCATCCCTCTGCAAACACGGTCTATGACCTGTGAGGGCCTCCAGTTGAGCGGCAGTGGACGCGACGGTGGTTTTATATCAACTGTGAATGCCACATTGCTCCCATTTTTCTCGTCGGCAGCTTCTGGCTCTGGTATGGTAATTCTTGAGGCTATAGTTCGAGCTTCTATAGCAGCATCCGGCACCAGTCCCATGAAGCCGCCCTTCTCTGGTATACCCTTTTTGGTATGAGAGCCGGTTGGGTTCTCCAAGCTTCCCTCTAAGCCCTGTTGTTCACTTGGTTCCTCAGCCATTGCTTGCATGGCTTCCGTGAGTGGATCACAATTGACACCGGCGGCCTTGTCGATTATTTGAGGGTTTATTCTTGCTTGAGCGCTGCTGAGCGCAGAATCCAAAGCCTGGGCACCGCCTTCCGTCGCAGCAGAAGCTACAGAATGAAATTTGCCTAGGACGTCTATGTCCCTTGGAGGCTGGCCAGTCGAATCATCATGATAATTGACCATGTCTGGTAGGGAGCTTGGAGATGACTCTTCGGAAAACAAAGTGTCTTGCAATCGGTCAGTCCTGGGGGCACTCAATCCCGGGAGGCGAATGCGACTTGGTAGATCGATTGGAGGCAGCTGAGGTAGTAGTGATTCCAACGAATCTGACAACGCCGTCAAGTCAGAATCCCTTGTACTATCGTCTGAAGTGCAAGTTATAAGTTCTTCTTCGCTTTCTGGCTCCCTTTTTCTGCGGAAGCATCTAAAGGGGTCACAGTTCATGCAGCATCCACCCATGGATATTGCCAGGCTATTCACCCTACAGTGGAAAGACGTTTGAAGTGGATTTGGGAATGAGTTGGTGCCACAAATACCCTTTGGTAGCTTTAATCCAAATATCCCAATGCCAACGGGACGCCAGTCTCCTAGAACTTAAAGAACTCAAGCAAAAACGACGCACGCTGCCTTAGGGATGGGACTTGTCCCGAGTGTGCCGTCCTGGGTTCGGCAAGCAAAGGAGCTTCAATGTAATGAGCGAGTAATCTGTACCTCCAAGAACGAGAGAAGAGCTGTCTAAGCATATATATGTATACCAAACAACAAGCGAAGGACGAAAGTATATAAACTGTGATATCTGATATAAACGACAGACACCAGCGAATAGTAGTGGAAGTGTAGAGATATGAAGGAAGAAAAGAACAACAACAAGCCGAAAGGGGAGAAAATGGAGCTGCTATTACTTTCTAGAAGCAGGAACAACTCGTGTGTTTATTTATCTTACTGTGTTATTGAGTCGTGTGGAAGTCACGGACAGGGATGAAGGCTACAACTTCTACGCATATGAGGAAGGGATGACGTTGACGGGTCAAGTGGATTCTACAATATAGAAATTTTGAATGAATGGTTGATGGATTTCATATAGAGATATTGATGGCCACAAATGAGACCAACTTCCTGCTTGCTTGTTAAGACTCATAAACGTACATAAAAGTCATAGTATACAGGTATACATATAAAAGAAAAGGATAAAAAATATATGCAAAGAAGATGGAAGATTATAAACACAAAAAAAAAAGAGCGTCCATAATATCATATAGGCTCCGCTCGGTTGATCGTCAGTTGATCGGGACTGTAGGATGCTGAGTTATCGCTGCAGTTAGAGGCTGGAGGAGCCTCCTTTATTTCTGCTTGGCCGAGGTGACTGTTCGAGGCCGTTGGTCGGGTACCCGTACCTTTCGAATAACGAAAAGCTTTGGGCCAAGTTTGCCATCTTTGTTGGGCTGGAGATGTGGAAACAAGGAGGTCTGTTTTGCGGCCTTCTGGATTTTGGTGGGCCGTGGCTTGGGCTGAGGAACCGCCCCGATAGTGGTAGCCGCCTTCTTTGGTTTGGCGGCAGGGGTGACTGGCTCGTATTTGCCAGTCTTCTCGTTGAAAATGGCTATCGCCTTGTTGAATGGAAGGCGGTAGTCCTTCTCCTTTGGCTTGAGTCCAGCACCCATTTTGGCTTGCTGGAACTTCAACGAGAAATTATGTTAGAATCACTAGGAATAGGCTTATGTGTGAAGATATGAAGCCAGCGTACCTTGGAGGAAGGTAATGTAATATTAATGTATTCGAATATATGTGACTTTGGTGTAGGTAGGAAGGTGGGCCGTCGAGTATGTCTGTATTATGTGGGAAGTTGTTAATGAGAGAGGAAAGAAAGAGGGAGAGGGAGGGAAAGGAGGACTTCATGGGATTTTATAGCGCAGGTAAGACTCATACCTATAAAACCATGGTACAGTAGAACTATATTCTGTGCTCATAGAAGTGCTGTCTTGCTATGACGTCTTTGACTAAAGCCATCTCCGTCATACCAAAGACGGACATGGTCAGCAGAAGGCTCAGGAGGTGTTAGCTCCAACTTTGATGCCTTCAACTAGATTGAAGCCCTTGGACTTGCTGGTACAACTGGAGTATTTGAGATGGCCGGCAAGCCTTGAAAAGCCAGTAATCAGCCAGCGTAGCCCCCATAAATGTCGTATATATGATATATATTTATATTTATGTAAATATACGCATCATTCCCTTATCATCTGTAACCCGCTAAACATGAGTGTTAGCTACTATTTTAATGCCTTTATGACAGCATGGAATGCGTAGGAACTCGTGACAGGCTCACTTTAGATCCATCTATGGTACAAAGGTTATCTGGGATAACTATGACATAATCGACTTCTCGAGCCAACCGTGACGCCATCCATCATTGTGGCAGGAACCTCTGAAGGCATACGCGCCAGCGAGGTGCAGCAAAGGAGTGCAGAGCTTTCTGGTTGTACCGTTGCTCTCCCAGCTATGGGGTTTGTATCGTAGTCGTTCTACCCAAAACAGTTATATAGGTAAAACCCGATCAACCTTAGAACTCATTAGCAAAGGACAAAAAACTATCAGAGTTTACAAAATGAAGCCCAGTCTTACCTATCTATTAGATTCAAATCTGACCTCATAGGTTTGTCCCTTCATACGCGATATATAGGTATATACTAAGATATGCGCCCTTCTGGGCTCTTTATATGGGGTATATATAGGTAAACTCAACCATAACCCGAAGTATGTTGGTAGCCATGCCATAATATATAGACATATATATGGTTAAATAATGATAGAGAAGCTATATCTAGTAATAGGATGTGGAATATATATACTGTGAGCATCAAACGTTTTTCATGCAGGACGGGAGGTTCGTTCAAGCTCATTGAAGACCCACCTGGCCTTCACGTGACAGGGACGGTCCTGTTAGGGCGAAGATTCACTTCAAGACAATGAGCTATGAGAAGGTCACTAGTTATCAAATAGAGTGAAGTATTTAAAGTAGAGATATTTAACTGATAATTTGTTACTATTTCACACTGCGGATTTGGAAGTATAGGCCATGTTACATAGAGTTACAATAACCAGAGTATTTAAGACAGAGCATTGCACTTGCTCTAGAAGATGCCAACTATTCTACGCTAGAGCCCCTGTACACGGCAGAGCATATGCTTGGCTGTTTAGATTATGGGTTTAGGATCTTCACCAAGAGTAATCTCTTGTCTGCATCGTCATTAAGTGGCTGGTGACATAAGGGAGTTATATTGGTTAACACCTCGTCTCGTAATCGTATAGCATCGTAGTGCACAAAACAGATAAACTGATATGGCTTCAAGGTATAGCCATGGAGGAGTATATTGCGTGGAAGATTGGCAGCCAATAAATTTTGAGGAGCCCTGAGGTAGGAGCCGTAGCGCGCGGCTGGCGTTGTATAGCCAGAAATAGATTCGAAACCAGCTCGAATTTTAGAAGACATATCAATAACAGCAGGTTCCAAGAGGTGGGTTGCGTATGCCGCTGTACGGATTAACTGCAAGCGTTGTCTCATCTTGACTCCGCTACTTCTCCAGAGCCAACCAGGGGACTATGGAGAATTCTCACGAGCATCCGATACCCCGATATGGGTCTTCCGCTGAGCAGGATGCTGCGCCGCACTTTTAAAATAGCCTAATATAGCAGGCTAGATATACAGACTTTATATAGCCGCTCGATTGCCGCTAAGGTTTCACTATCAGGAACATAACAGCATAGCCATTGGGTATCAAGGAGGGTATAAGTGTCGATCTACTGAGAAAAGGGGGCCATCCATTCATTATTATACCTGACGCTGGTCCATAGCTGCAGGGAGGATGCAACAGGTTTCAAAGGGAAGGCAAGCCATTTGCTAGCGTTATTTTTAGCTTGCAAATGCCCTCCAACATATTCCTAAAGGGGTAATTCTTGGATGTCACCGCGTCAAATCTCGTAAACTGGCCAGCCGCTAACGGTTGGTTCGCGCTGTCGGTAACTAACTAACGAGCAACGATCATACCGCCCGTCCAGCAGGAAGTGTATCCATCTCACGCTGCCTCCCATGTGTGCGGGTGGCAGCAGGTTAGCTCCACTTGGGGATAGGCTAAGTCAACCAAGGTGTCGCAGCTATTCCGTTCGAGGGTGTGAATGGCCAGGTCTCTGCCACGCTAAAGGCCAAATGTCGACTCCGGATACAAGGACCGGGGCATAGCCGCTGGGATCCTGCGGCGATGCTTGACAGGGGCAGCTGTTTTCTGATGTCTGGCTGGCCTGTAGAGGCATCTCACGACTTTCCACCTCGTCCCACGCGTGCCACGAACCGAGGTGATTTCCTGCAAGCTCGTCACCGTGTTAGTAAACTGACTGGCTAACTGGTCAGCTAGTGCCCATGGCTCGCATGTCTCTGTGCCATCAGCAGCCTTCTCTGCCTTCTTCCTCGCCTCTCACAGGCCATCCCAGCCTCCGCGATGCAAGTCAACAAGCAAAAATTTGAGAACGGCCTGGTCACGTGCACCAAGTATCTAAAAATAGGCTCAACGGCCAAGGCTTAGCGTTTCTTTTTCTGCTTTGGGCAGTTTTCAACGTCTCGTCGCATCTTCCATACAACTTGAGCATTTCGCTGGACATGAAGCGATATCAAACGGACTTGACTTGACACTGCAGAGGGTATGCAGAGGACGCGGAGTAGCGGGCAGCATTGAACATACATCGTCGACATGGCCAGCAGGAGTGCTGTAAGCGCCGGGGCCCATGTCACAAGGTGGCACGGCGTGTATCCACATGTCTGGGGACTCTTGTCGAATATCCCCGTCGTTGCATGCTAAGTATATATCGGGTGCATGATATATACGGTGAAGAGAAAGCAGTTGGGCCATTCAGGGCCCGCATACTAGCTTTATCCATGCATGGCTCCCCTGACTATCACATACCTTGGCCAGTCAGCTTGCATGAACTAGCCAAGAATGCTGCACCGCTCGCTCTCTTTGAGTTCGCTTTCTTCAGACCATCCGCCTGCTGATTCGCTGAGACGGGGCCACTGCAGGATCACTAAACCATGCCTGGTCCGGCTTGGATATCAATCAAGTGGGTAGAGGCCTATGGTCACAGCGCCTGCGGCCTCATCATATGCAGTAACCGCCTTGTCTCCTTGCCCCCCACTGATGCCGATGCATGCATGGACGGACTCCTCCGTACATAACCTTTCGTATTTAAACCAGCAATGGCGCCACTGGTATTGTATCTCCATTCACGAGATATCTGCAGAGTCCTCAAATCTATATACATAAAGATTTACCTTTCGATCCGTCATTCTCCAGAGGTTGCTTTTTTGTCCGTCTTAGTCCAGGGTCCTGAATGGTGTTCTGGGGCATTTAACCGAGCGGATTTCACACGTTCTTGCATCTGCGTGACACTCGGTGCATACATATGGCCACCCTGAACCCTTGAAAACAACCCGGTCAAGTCTTGCAACACCCTTGCCAAAGCGGCCACCCTCATATTTTGCGCAGATTTCGATCTCCCGGGAGATATGAAAACTCATACCATAACCTCTATACATCTACCACCGACATCGCCGTTTGCGACATATCTTGGGTGACCTTGGTTTAACGGGCTGACAGTAGTAGCGTAACTGTCGCGCATCTGCCGTACGCCTGTCATCGTGTCGTCAACGCCGCTGGACGGTGTCTGACGACTCCTACCATCTTCGAGCGTGGTGCTTCATTCCTGATATTTTCTTTTCACTTATTGATACCCTCCACGATGCCGGCCGTCGCTATAATACTAATTTGGCTTTGCGCCTTGACTCTGATGCCACTTTCAAAGGCATACAACATACCTATAGACCATATAACTCGACAGTCCTCCCGCCCGAGCAGGCTGACAACGCTTAGTTGGCAAGGCAAACTACCGCAACCTTCATCTGCCGCATTACAGAGGAGGACAACAATAGGCCCTCGACCGGGTCCTAAATACACTTTTGACGAAGGGTGGTTCAATATAACAACTACATCGACATGCGAAGACGCGTTGAGAGGGTTGAAATCGGTTTCCAACCCTTCCGGTATAGCCGCATGCTTCAACGTCGCATTTTTAAATGAGGAAACAAAGCATGTTCGGGGCCGATGTTAAAACTATATTACGTCTCCCAGGCCAACGGAGAGTTCAACAACACCAAGTGGGAAGACTTTGATATCAAACTGGGTTCACTACTTGTAGAATTTTCGGGAATGAAGCGAGTTTTCCAGAATTCAACTTCGAATTCCACCACAGACTCGCCTCGTCTGGTGAGGCAATGGCGGTATAGCGGCAAGGTAAACGAGCTTATCCCGCTCAAGAAGTTATCCCTGTAAGTTCGCTCTGAGTCAGAATTATATACAAATGTAAAGACTCTCCAACTAACGACATGGCATATAGTGCTGAACATCGCTATCTCCTCGCGCCAAATATATCAATCACAACAAACTCTCCCAGCCAACCTAATACTATCATCGAAACAAACCTAACTCCTGACACCATTTCATACACCACTGGCTATTTAGCCGACGACATCAACCCACCATACAACATGACGGACTCCGAAATCAAAGTCCAGCTAAAGAATATATTACTTGCTGCCTTGGAATTTGAAGTACCCGGTATGAGCTTGGGTATATTCCCCACAGGACTTATTGTCACCGGTATATGGGCCGGCTTATTCCTAGCCATAGTGGGCTACGGGACATTTGAGCGAAAGCAGTACCGCTCTTTTCATGAACGAAGGCTGCAATACGCCGCCTCTACAAGAGGTTACGGTAATCGGCCTACTGTATCTTAGATTTAATGACCTTATAGACAGAATAACGCTAAAAAAATTCTAAACTTTTAATTACGTACTTAACGGCTCACGCTCGGTGTTGTAGGATTTTCCATCCTCGGTTAAATAAGTTTGTTTGTTGTTGTGTAACTATTTATATATCACACGGCTTGATACAGTTCATTTCTACTAACAAATACAGGGCGGAAGTAGTTGGTTTGGTATTCGAAACTATTTGATTTCTTCTGTAACTAAACACTGAGTAAGTTGGTAATTGCTGAAGCGAAGAGCACAAAGCCGGCTTATTGGTAAAGAAGGGTAACCGCAACGAAGCCGTATACGTTCCGCCAATACTACAGTCGAACATGCGGAGGGTTTATTCCCTACCTGGCTGTCCCTATGGCGTTCCCTTCTGAATATATCGGTATATAAAGCCATCCGCCGTCGACAAGAATTAAACCAGTAACGGAAGCTGATTTTTGCCATGGAAAATATACCAGAAAAAGAAAGACAAACGATCCGTGGCAAGACGTATAAAAGGTTGACATGACATGGCATGAAATAAGTTCGCATGAATTTCGAGTTATAAATATAGAATGGTAGGATACGATCAAAGAAAAAGCTGCAGCGCTTTGATTTTGATTCCGACGCATTGACTAACTAGTGTTTGGTACCAAAGTACACACCCAGAGCGACGGCTGTACCAATAATAGCAGCAATAACAAGCCACCAACATACACAGTTGCTATCCGAACCTCCCCCAACCCATGACTTGGGATTGCCCTGGGTGACTCCCCAGTACTTCGATGTCGTTGCTGCACCCCATGTGAGCTGACCTAAAGGTCGGCCGTGGTTGTTTAATAGGCTAGTTGTTCTCCAAGCTTGACCATCGCCTGGAGGCCCGTTGGGGAATACTCCTGCCGGGATTGGACCATGACGGCGTCGAGCAGACGAACCCGGGGGCAAAGGGGCACTGTCGAGTATAGATGGACCTCAGTTGAAAGATGGGATAGGTAAACGGGGCGATATATGGCTGATACTGGGAAGCATCCCAGGGCCAGATCTGAATGAGGAATGTCTATCTCCAACCCCCCCTTGCGGGTCCGTGATTTCCGGAGCGTCTCCCCGGGTGGCGCGAGAGTGAAAACTTCGGTGTGCTCTCGGAGGCCGTACGGGGAGCATTTCAATGCCATCTCCACCACTAGTTTGGGCTTTGGGGCGAGAGGAGCGAGATGAAGGTCTTCCTATATCAGGTCTAGCCGACGTGTATGGCGGAGGATGGGAACTTGATCGTCGTGAAGAGCCTTCAGGGGCCGAACGACTAGAGCGTCTAGTCCGTCCGCTTGTAGCGCGAGAGAGAGGAGGCACTGCAGGATCATCATTTGAAGCCATGATTGGAAGATGTATATCTTCTTGTACTGTTTCACTGTATATTCGCTTTGGCTCGGTGGATAGCGAGTCTGTTTGCCTGGCAGATGGCCAAAAGGCAGGAGGCCCGAAAAATAGCCAATGACGTATAATCAAAACTGCCGTAATAGAATAAGTCGGTAATCAAGCAAGAGGTAGAAGGGGCAACAGTATCTCATCCGTAGGCCTAGCCTCGTACCACTGATCCCGATCCAACGGATATAAAAGCTCAATTATGTTGCCGTAGAGTATAGGGTGGAGGATTTAGAAACCCTGAAGTCACGACTGCCGGATAAGTTGTGATTCAGTCTAACAACACCGCAAGTAGATATAGATAGATATAGATATTCAACGTCGTATCCGCTATGAAAAGCCACGAGGCGGGGGGTTAAGAAGAACCGTAGCTGGCCATCAAAAAACCCGGGCTTTTATATCACAAACGTAATGGCGAAAAGTGAACACAAGGCCCAAGGTAGGAGGTCATCGGCCATGGCAGTGAAGCTCCCATATAGTTAACTCTGAAAAGACACATGGCTTCGGATAGATAGAAAGACGAAGAAGCGGTACATTGGTGATGAGAGTGACGAAGAGGGCCAATTTTGTGGAGTCGTATATCGATGGCAGCGTGAAATCACACAATATCCATCGTGAGCGGTACTGTCGCAGGAACAGTTATCAATATAAGTGAAAGACAATCTTGGGGAGGTCGTCATCTCGTCGCCATAACCTCAGGATATATGAGCAGACAACTGTGAATTGGTATGTCACTCCGATTAGGAAGGCAAGACAATGAACAACCTGGTTATGTAGAGAAGGCTTATATCATTGCTCTGAATATGCGATTGAGCTGGTATAATATGGATATAGGTATATATATATCTCGGCCTTTGCTGGCATGGATGGCTATGAGGTCCGGGGCCGTTGTTGGGGTTTATATAGACTGGTTTTCGCGATACTAATGTTGGCGTGGTGGTGAAGAGTGACTTCTAGAATGGCAACTAGATACTTGTTTGCGAGTCCTGTGGAGTAAGCTGTTTGTTAGCAATTGATTGATATTGATGGAATGGCAAATTGTAGGCTTACTAGATTGTGGTGTAATCCGTAGTCAGGAAAACGGTGGCCAATATCAATCCCTGACACCTTAACAAAATAATCCATATATAGGGTATATTCAATCGAAAAAATATGTATGAAACATCATGTATCATTATAATCATTCAAAGTATATCGACTGAAGGCCAGGAGACACTGTACACAAACTCCAGGAAACTCGGAAGAGACTGCGCCGGGTATATTCCGTACATTATTTAGACAGTACACAAACAGGCAGAAAGACACGCTTGCAAGACAGAAACCGAGGCAGAAAGGCCCTTCAAATATGTCAAAAGAAAACCCCCCGATGCAAATGCTGGGTATTAAACAAGATGCAAAAAAGAAATCACTCAACCATGTTTGTGAAAGGAAACTTCCGACAGACAAACAAAAAAAGGAAAAGCAACTGGGAAAACAAAATAGAAGAGGAGAATCAAACGCTTGGAATCAAGCTTTGAAGCTGTACATTCGGACTTCAGAGTCTTCGCTTCCGGTTGCCATGCGGCTATCACTAAGGGAGACGCAGGTAACTGGGCCCCTATGGCCGGTGAACGTTCTTTCGCAGGTCCCGGAACGGGGATCCCAGACCTTTGCCATATGGTCCTGCGCACCAGAGACAAGGCGAAGGGTATCAGCAGCCAGGCCCCAAACACCCTCAATATGGCCGAAGAAAGTTCGCAGGCAGCGACCAGTATGAACCTCCCAGAGACGCAGGGTAGAGTCAAGAGCTGCAGTAAGCATGAAGCGGGGTGGAGCCGGGCGGGTTTGGTCTTCGGTGAACAGGGCATCAAAAAGGGGAGACATGGGCTGTGTCGGGGGGGCGGAAGTATTGGGCTGTAGGTTGGGTTCATTGGTGCTGTCGTGGCTTGCTCGGTGATCGGGAGATTCTGAGCCTGACAGACGATCGCTCCTGTCGCTGGCACAGTCTGACGGGTGTTTAAATTCGAATTCTCTCGGGAGTGGGAGGACCTGTTGGACTTGGCCTACATGTCCTGCATAGGTGTGGATACATTTACCCGTGTCCAAGTCCCAGATACGAACGGTGAGATCATCAGAAGCAGAGAAAACAGTGCGGGAGGCAGTATCAAGCTTAACCGAGTTGACCCAGTCCGTGTGCCCGCGGAGGATCCGAGTAGATTTGTCCTGGAAGTTCCAGATCTTGATAGTGTTGTCCTTCGAGCCTGAGGCAAGAGTTGTGGAATCAAAGTGCAGGCAAAGGACACCACCTTGGTGGCCTGTGTATGTTGATATACACTCTCCCGACCGCCAGTTCCACACTTTGATGGTTCGATCAAGACTTCCGCTTATCAGCTTGGTGTCGTCGAACTGCAAGCAGCGGATAGTTGATTCGTGGCCCTGAAGCGTGCGTATCTCCTTTCCAGTCTCAATGTCCCAGATCTTGATAGTAGCGTCATACGAGCCTGTAGCAAGAATATTGTCGTCAAACTGTAGACACATGACACCGTTTGTATGTCCTCTGAATATAGTAGTCGTGCATCGGCCGTACTTCCAGTTCGTGCCGACTTTGAAACGATCCATATAGACTGCTTTCCATGGTCGATGCTGGTGCTGTGGCTGCGGCTGTGGACTAGAAACAACCTCCTTGCCAGCTGCCCGCAGCTGAACCTGACGCTTTGTATCCTTGAGCCTCTTCCTGTCGAGCATTGGGAGCCCCCATCCGCACTTTTCACACTTGCGGTCGATATGCTGCTCACACATGCGATGCCAGACAACGTCATCATCCGCAAGGGCCCGCCAGTTGCGGGACACCTGGGCGGCATTACACAATGACGCGGTATCCAGGTAAGACAGGATCTTGAAGGAGATTTCCAGCGGCAGGGCCGTGACAAAGTCTATGCGAATCAGGTCTCGGACGCTGGCTGAGAGGAAGGATAGCTGTGGGAAGCAGCACTGTGCCACGATTCCCTGCAGCATAAGGTTGCGGTGCTTTGAAGGTGCGGCGGAGAACAAAGACCAGAAATGTGCAATGCTTTGTTGGTCATTCTGTGACAGAGTGGAGAGATCCTATAGCCTCAGTCAGCACAACTAACAACGTCATAACTATAACTATGCGGTATCAAAATACACACCCTTTGCATCTGGTCAACCGTAGGCTCATCTGCCTGGCGTCGACACTTCAAGTCTGGACGGTGGCGGTAGCAGTATTTAGAATCCGCCTTGCGTCGCGGTAGGGATGGGTCTGCCGGTGCAAATCTGTTCCTTGACGCATGCTGATCCCTGATGTGTTTGGTCAGAAAAGGAGCAATGCTGCTCTCGGCAGCAGTCGAATTGAAGAGAGACTTGGGCTCCGAGACCATAGATTCAGGTGTACCTGCTGTACTGCAGCGTTCGCCTGGTGTCCCGGCAGCTTCTGGCTCTGTGAGCTCTGGTTCGAGAGAAGCCGAAAGCCGTCTGCGCTTGCGCGGAGACATTGTGACATCCCGGTCACAGGTCTCTCTCGTAGCCGATGGTTCCGCAGGTAGCGTGACGCTGTCCGCAGCCATTCCCGCTATCCTCAGCTCCTGTATTTCTGCTATCCTGACTGCCGTTGCTCTCGTTGCGCCGCCGGTTGCGTGTCCTGTCGCCGCTGGAGTCTGGTTACAGGGAGGAGGAGGAGGATTGATCGTTTTATATGGGATGGAATCGTGATATACCTTCGGGCCAAGGTTTGCCGAAACCCAGCAAGCGTGAAAGCTAGTATTCGGTATCTCGCAGTTGTTCGTGTGCCGCGTGAAGCTATGTAGATGCGCGGCCGGTATCACTGTCCGGGGCGTCCGTCGGTCCCTGTTTTATGTCTCTGCGTCTCCTCGCGTCGTCGCTGTCGTCATTTTTGTGTTCGTTTTCCTCATTTTTTTTGCGCTTTCAACGCTTTTTTTTTAGTTTTCTTCGCCTCTTTCGGGCGACGGTCACGTGTGAAAATAGATTATGTCATCAGATAATCAGTCTTGGCGTTTCCTTGTTTCACCGCCGAAGGTAGATCACGTGATATCCGTCATTCTGCCGCTTGATCACGTTATTTTTTTCTTTTTCTGGCTTTCGTCGACTTCAACTCATCGACATTTTGCGGCTTCGACGACGACAGCAGCAGCAGCAGCAGCAAATCAACGCTGCCAACGGCCTCGTTTTCGCCAGCTGTTTGTGACCTGCGACGCTACCCTGACCCTGCTAGCTCACGGCTGGCGAGTTGTCGTCCTTATCTCGCGGCATCGGGACACCAAATCACGGCAGGCTGGAGCACTATGACGCCCCCTGTCTTAAGAAGCTAGCTACTAGAGCCGTTGTCTAACAGCTATTATTCGCTTGGATTGGCGTATGCCGGGGACTCCTCTCCTGCATGTTTACTCTTGTCCTCGCTCCGGGACGGGCGTAGCACTTGGTTGTCTCGTCGTTGCTGTTGTTGTTGGCTGTTTAACCCGACTGTTTGTGTGATTATTTATTTACTTTATTTATTTGATATTTAATTTTGATATGCTGATATATCATAAACCTACGTGATACCCTTGGCGAAGAAGCAACGAAAAAAAATAACAATATGATGTCCTCAGCGGCAAGCTCTGCATCCTCGGTGCAGAGCGGGCGATCAGGAGGGATGGAGGCAAACCCGACTCATGGCCATGGCCATACCTATAGCCATGACCATAACCGTGCCCAGCCAGACCTGGATACGCTGGTGTCGCACCTTGCAGCCGCCAAGCGGTCCCTCTCCTCCATTCACCATGTCTGGAGGGCCAACGAGATCGTGACTGCTGCACGCGCGGCATTAGAGGAGAGTGTCATTGTCTCGGCCCGGACCGGCTTCCTACGTCGAGGCTTGGACGAACAGATCCGGCTCCTCTACAAGGTAAGGACCGAAGTAGAAAACGTAGCCCACCGTGGCCGGGCCGAGTTTGCTGCTGCCATCAAGGAGCTTGATACGGTCGACAGCAAACTACAGCAGACTCTCGACAGTCTAAGACAGACCACCCTTGAGCGGGGTTTCCGCTCGCTGGAGCAGCAGCAGGAAGAAGCAGAGAAAGGCGTATCCAAGACGCTACACGATTTCATCGATGAGCATGCCGTAGACGACATCCAGTCACTGCTCAAAGACGCCATAGACAACGTCAGCGCAGCCCAGTCAGAGCTCGACGTATCCAATCGAGCTTTTGACAATGATCTTCAGTCTATCCAGCAGGCCCTGGATAAGTACAAGCTCTCTATCAAACGGGGCTCTGTCTCCTCTCTCAGCCTGTCTGCTTCTTCTTCTGCATCCCGTGTCAAAATGCCGACCCCAACGGTGATACCGGAATTGCTTCACTCGCTCGAGTTGAACGCGCAGGAGATGGCAGACCTGCTGGAATCATTGGTGCGCCACTTTGATCTATGCGTTACCGCTGTCAAGCATACCGAGGGTGGTGGGGTACTTGCACGAAACATCACGGGAGACCTCCCCACCGACGTCGGTATCGGAATCCGGGCCGGTGGAAACCCACAACTAAACACCGACGATAGCAACAACAACAACAACAGCTACAACGATGATGCCGGCAATCCAAACCCACAACTAGAGCCTCTTACCGACTCAGACTACCGCGACATGATCGCCGTCATTGCCAAGGACGCAGGGGAGGCAGAAGATGTCGTGCTTGAGATCCAGGATCGCATAACTGAGATGGAATCTACTCTAGAAAGAGTACTTGAACAGCGAGACTCGCTCATCACCGCAAGCGTATTTACCACTGCTGTATTTCGCCGGCTGGACGAGTTCGAATCAACCCGTCTACCGGAATACGTAGCACAATCCCATAAATTCGAGCAAACATGGAACACAGAACATGAACGCATGGAGTCAGGTATGGCCGACCTGAACGACCTGCGAGGCTTGTACATGGGCTTCCTAGATGCATACGATGGCCTCATTCTCGAAGTTGCGAGACGGATGAGTGCTAAAAAGGCTGCTGAGGACATTCTAAAGGATGCTCGGGCAAGGTTAGATGCGTTGTATGAGGAAGATGTTCGAGCACGAGAGGCCTTCAGAATAGATCAGGGTGATTACCTTCCTTCAGATATCTGGCCGGGCCTAAGCATGCCGCCGAGTAGAGTTGTGTTTCGAAGGATTCGTGCAGATGATGACGCTGCCCAAGAAGACAAGGATGAAACGACACCGGATGTGAAGCCGGATGATGTTGAGCAGCAGCAGCAACAGGACCCTGAAGGCGATGTCCGGTCTTCGACTAAACAGAGCCGCGATGGAAAGGAGGATTTCGGCGAAAGTATCCCCAACCTGCCCAAGCACGTCATAGAGCAGGCGTTTGCCCGTCTTAACTCAAGGGGCACAAGCCTCCCTTCATAGCCGTTTCCCCATATCCTCACCATGTCACCATAATGCGCCATATTAATGTATCTATACCTCAAAATAATCAATCAACCTTGCTATACGAAGTAGCGACAATATCCAGTAACACACACACCAGGACTAATGGTGCGATTAAAGATAGGCATAAGGTGAATGTGTAAACAACCTCCAACACTCATCAGAGCTCTCTTTGATCCTCATACCCTTTCCCATCATGACTACCAGAACTTGCTCTCATGCCTTAGCCTGACCATCAACTTCAACCTTACAGCCACCCATCCAACTCCTTACATCGTCCTCTTGCGCGATAATAGCAAAGGGAGAGCATGGAGTACTCGTATAGGATGTATAGATTGCAAGCCCTGTCCAACCAGCCAGGAAAAGATGAAGCATCACGACCAGACTAGAGCGACAGAGAGATCCAATAGTACAGCCAGGGATAAGCAGGTAGGATGATTTGTCCGTGTAAGACAAATCTCTTTCCATTTTCATCATCTGGGTGCTGGAGGTTGTTTCTGCTATCGATATTTGTGATTGCAGGGTACGCTAGAGCCGGAGAACGTACGGAGAACACCCATACACGTACATACCAGACTTAAACTCCGTAAGGAGTAGCTAAGAAACTCTCCTCCATCGTTCCGGTTAACCGTTTTAGTCGATCCTGGGCAGGTTGTATACTCCGCATATTCCGCGGACGGCATGGCTATGCTTTTTGGGGTGGTATCAAAAATCATCCAGCTAGGCTGAACGAAAGAAGGAATAAGTGGTTTCCGGCGAATTCTAAGGCTCTAGATCCATGTCAGATATTCCCTTGATCGCCTATAGTCAATGGGACACACGGAATGATGTCGTGAAGATAGAAAATTCTCCTAACCCGTCCCCGTCCGTCTGGTAACTCCCCCGAATCAAGGCAGGGGAAGGTTGCCCGGTAAGCGCGGAGTGTTTAGTACATGGTTGCACGAGGTACACACCACTATTATCTCGCTGCTCGCTATCGAACCGCCTCTAGTCGCACGAGATTTCGAATTCCTCTAGCCCTAGAAGACGATCGATCGGGCTTCTCTGCCTCAAGCCGTTATTGCTTTCTCGTCAGCTCTTGATTGGTTTTTGTCACAGCCGGAGATCTTCCCTTTCTTTTCTTCGATCGATAATCAGCAGGACCGATGAAGATGCATATGCGGTGTACACACGGAGTACTGTGTACATGTCAAATTATGCATCTCCGCCGGCAAACTTCGATGTGGCCATAGAGTCTACATTTCCCGTTAGCCTGAGAAGAAATCATACATGTTATTTATTCTTTCTCAGTCCTTTTTCAATGCAGACAGGGATGGCTCAGTGCAGCAGGAGGCTTGGCCACGGCGTTTCCTGCACCTGTTTGGTCGATGACTCGCCTTGCTTCAATAGCTTGGAGACGATGGAACCTTCGATTACTCCCCCAGACTCGGCAAAGGGACCAACCGCCGGGGCAAGTCAAAATGGTTGATGACGATGTTCTTTTTTTCGTCGTTGTTATTTTGCACTTCGGCTAAGGGGCAAGTGGGTGGTGGCCGGGTTCGTGCCTAGCCAGCTAACTAGCTTGACTAGCAGAGCAAGGGGGCCTGTCTTGTCTCTCTATGCATATCCAGAGGCTGATATCTGATATTCTAGGTCGACATGTCGCCGTGCGGCCGAAGCGGACAGCCATCCACAGCCAGTCAGAGCAAATCGACATAGGATCTTCTCTTCCTCCCCGCCTCGCAAGGACCAGGTCAATCTCCCTGTCGAAAACACAAAAAAAGTCGATGTGTAATATTTTATATCAACAGCATCAAAACTCCTCCCTTCCGGTGTTTCATCTTCGACAGCTGGCAAACTAATCCCAACACAACCAGCTGTGATTCCAGAGCATCTCACAGCAGTCGGCTGACAGTTGACAGCAAGGTCGCACATAAAAAAAGAACTAGTTCGGATCTGCTGGCTTGATTGTACATTGCTGTGGCGGAATTAATATGGCCATCGATGTATTCCGTACCTGTTGTACCCCCGTGCTACGCCAGCGCCCAGGGGGGGACTTCACTAGAGCAGCCCGCAAAAGAAGCACCAGTGGCTGAAAAGCTCCCCGGGGAGAGCAAATCCCCCCTCCCCAAAAAAAAAAATTGCGCACTAGACCATCAGCGCCAGGAGACGGCTCGAAGGCGTTTGTGGACGGTGGCTCAGGGCGCTGAACGGGCTGTTAAGGTTGATGCATTCAACTAGCAGTGAGCCCGGGAGAGTGTTCATTTCCCAGGGTAATGGCAGTAGAGAGCAGGCTAAGTTCTCCCACCTCAGAGCTTAATACTGCTAGATCACCGTACCAAGAAGAGCAATGTATATATTATGCCAAATGGGGATCTGATGATGGACTGTGTGAGTGCCATATAGCTAAAGTGCCTCTACCAAGGACGGTTTCAAACCGAACTACCCCGTTCAATGGTTGGACATTCGTCGGAGTCCGGCTCAGGGTCTGCACAGTTCATGCCTAAAAAGTATTTATTTTTAATCTTTTTGCTCTTCTCGCCTGGAATTGACACATTCGCTATAACATTCCACATATATACCCTCCACTATTTATCTTCGGCGTCCCTTTGGGTGCTCTTTGGTGCGGCTAACAAAATTATCCAGCTGGCTCGGAAGTTTGCCCCTGGATTAATATACACTGCATCCCAGGGAACTTATATATTCTAATAATGCACAAACACAAAAGTGTTAGTAACGACTGGATAACTAAATAATCCTGGTAGTTTTCCGCATGCATATGCATATTTGGGGCTCGATAGCTCATCTTGCCTCTCTTATTTCATACTAGCAGCGGCGGGAAAAGCAGGGGTTTGTCTGCATCCAAACACCTCCGTCCATCCATTGGACTGAACATGAACCATGAACAGTTACCGATAGACCAATCCAGGAATAAGAAACAAATCAGTGAGGCTTCTGATGCGGGAAACTCCAGAAAAGATCTTCAGGATTTGACGCCCGCTAGTCCCGAATACGGGAAACGGGCGATAGTGAAGCCACAAAATACCCAGGGCAGCAGGAGTTATTCATACGGGTCTTACCACAGCTTGGAAAAGAAGAAAAAAACAAAAGGCAAAGAAGTCAAGAGAAGAAAAAGAAGAAAGGAAAATGAGCTAACTACTCCGTACAACTCCAGGAGGGTTCCATTTAGCTTGATAACAGTGGGTGACATTTCGTATAAATCCCCAGAAGACGGACCCTCCAAGATGGCTGGTCCTGAGTTGGTCCACAGGCTTCGAACAACAGCCCTCCTCTACCAGAGACACTTGCTTTGTCTTTCTACCTGTTGGATAAAAGTGTAGAGACGCCCCTCTCTTTGATCTCGACACCAACCTCACTTTAAAGGCCTTTGCGGGTACCTGTCACTACCATCAGCTAACCATGGATTTGACACCAGTCCTGGTTGAGACATGGACTCTTTATGCCATAGGGTCTTGCATGATTGGAACAAGAGTGTTTGTTCGAACAAGACTTGTTGGGATACAGGGTTACGGCCCTGATGACTACCTCGTCTGGTTTACTTGGGTGAGATGATTAGCCCATTTAATTTCCCGGATACACTGATGGCAATGGCTAACTGTTTGCATAGCTGGTATATACCTGCGTCACAATTATTGCGCATGTATTCTTAGTCCAGGCGGGGGGAAAACATACATCGGTGTTAACAGATGCTCAACGAGCGGCCTTAACAGCGAGTGAGCGGAAAGATTGGGAGTATGGCTCCAAGCTCTTCTCCTTCGGCTTCTTCAGCTACGCCACCATTGTCTGGAGTCTGAAGTTCAACATGCTTTTCTTCTACCGTCGGCTTGTCAGAGGTCTACACATTGAACGATTTGTCCTGCCTGCTTTCGGATTCGTCGGGGCAGCGGGTATTGCATCCGTCCTTACTTTCTGCTTGGCATGTGTCCCCTTCCACAAGTTGTGGCAGGTTTATCCAAACCCAGGAGGTTAGTGTTTCGATTTCGATATCATTGTATGGGGATAACGGAGACTGATACAATCCAAATGCAGGGCAATGCTATCCACAAAATCCTGTGACATTCTACACTGTCGCAGTTCTGAATGTCCTTACAGATATGTGCATTATTGCTATTCCTATCCCTGTAAGTCTTCCCACAAACCGACCATGCTGCATATTCATTTCTCTAACACGGGTCTTCATAGATGGTCATCCGAGTACAAGCTAGCATTATGCGAAAAATCGGTCTGATGATGCTCTTCAGTCTCGGCATGTTCTGTATGATTGCTGCCGTTGTTCGTGTTGTTCTTATTTTCAAGCTCAAGCGCCATGGTGACGGAGCTCTATGGTCCATTCGTGAAGATTTCGTCGCAGTCATTGTCGGCCAGGCACCCCTGGTATACCCGATCACCAAGCCCAGATTTTGGAAGAGCATCATCGGCGGTGACAAATATGAGGAAACCGACCACAGCCAACAATACAAAGACAGCAAGGCATCATCGAAGCGAAAGGTCAAGGACCCCTACATGATTACCCAGACCGAACTTACTATGGTTGACAAGTCCGAAAGTACTGAGGAGATCATAAAAGTGGACGAGGGAAAGATGGACGGCGGCATCCTCGTTCAGAGGACTTACAATGTTGATGTTGAAAGCTCCAGAACGGAGTCGGGTCACGAAGACAAGAAATACCCAGGCCAGGCGTTTTAAGGAATTGTTTACTTTTTATTACTTAACTACAATATACCTTTCAGGAGTGCTTTTTACGGAGCGTTTTACGGAGGTGGGTGGTGATTCGTTATTTCGTGGGAGCCTGGAGAATGTGTCCGGGCTTCTTTTATTTTATGTAGTTATATTTCAAAATCAATTTTACCTTCAGTTTACGAAGAACTTCTTTTCCTCTCGCACTGAATGACCACTGTTTTCTTCTGATGATTGCTTTGATGTTTTGGGTGCTCTGAATAGAGATATTAAGTTTGAGACTTGTCATGCTGGAGCTTGTTCTCCGAGGAACAACACGGCCCGCGAATGGGGCTGTCCCGTTTTAGTTTGTTGCTGACTCCCTACTCAGAGCCCCTGAGAGCCACTCAAGCCACCTGGACCCAGTGGACGGAACACCCACCGAACAAGCACCGAATCACGGATGTAACTCACTCTCCTTGACCTCGATCGAGCTCCGTCAGCCTGGCATATGAAAACCGCCAAAACGCTGCCCCAGAACCACGGATTGTGTGTGCTCCGCGTACCTTGTTTGTTGACTCTCGTGAAACCCCTTGCTGCGGCTGATCCTTGACTTATATAAGCATAACATATAGATATTTAAACTATGTGGAGAAAACTTTAAATAGCGCGGGCGGACCGAGGTTTATCCGTAAAGCTCCTTCCAAGGTTGGCAACCTTCTATTCTTGGCCTTCTTGACGTCGACCTCAAATTTCCACGATAACCAAGTACCCAGATACGTAACTACACGAAGCCGGCTACAGTTATGTCCCAGGATATCAGGGTGCTGGGCCAACATGGAGGAGACAAAGTGTTTGGGGTTTGCATCTGAAAATGTTCTCGTCTCAGCCAACCGTCTCGATTACGATGATCTGCTCTCCTTTATGCATCTCGATATCCACTGCGGGCTCTTCAGCTTGGGCATCCGTATCAGCCGTGGTCGGTAGCCATCAGGAGTGAGCCGTGCAGTGCACGAGTATATGCAGACTTCGGTGGTTAACCGTGTTGTTTCATGCGTTGTCTGCTTTGGTGTTACTGTGGTGTCGGGCAACACGAGAATCAACGAGAACATTTTGCTTGCAGCACACTCCCTGGCCAACTTAAACTCCGTTGACTGCCAATCGTCGCCCGGAGTACGAACCTGAAAACACGAGTTTCCTTTGCTTCGGAGCGACCCAAAACTCCATGTCCGGTTATCGCAATATTTAACGGACGTATACAGCCAGCGTGGCCTTGACTGGACCCCCTTACAGAGACTGAAACCTTGCAGCGCAATTAGAGGCTATCGGATTCTTTACAAGCCAAAGAATGTCGTTCATTATTTGTGAAGCTGTCGGGCATCAGGGATATCACGCCAAAGCGCAGTATTCAAAGCACCCATGGTCTTGATGTACTTCCTACAAACAAGCAATGAACTGCCTGCTCTCTGGTCAAAGCTACTGAGCGCTTTGACTTTCATATGACTCGGGAATACCTACTGGCTGTGGCAGCATGAGATTCAGCCCTTCCACCATCAATCTCAGCCTCATAATCCCGCTAAGATGAAACACACTTAGGCGTTCACTTGAGGAAGCCACAGATACCAATTGACTTGAGAGACAGCGAGCCATTCGCCACTACCGTCCACAGCAAAACACCATTACCCTTCCTAAATCGGAGATTGGTAAGCCTCCGAACCAGAATTGGACTGTCCCGGCGAACAGGGCGCCTGAGCCGCTTGAAATCCCCACTTAAAACTGGGAGTGTTGTGGGGAAGTTCAAAATATAGATCCGATTATCAAAACCACACGGCAGAGCTTGGATGACCAAGCGTTACTCGTAACCAATGCCAGCAATGTCCTAATCCAGCCACAGAACTGTATGTGAACGAATAGGTGACTACCAACAACTCTTTCCTACTGTTTGTTGGTTTGTGGTAGCACACTGTTGATTACTATTGTTCTACCCTATCGGAGTATTTTCGGAAGTTAAGTCAAACCCAATATATTCGACCGTAACTGACGTGCATCTAGATGACAGAACTGTTATCAGCGTAATGCCAAGTAAGAAGTTTGTGTTTTTCCGGCTACCTTGGTTTAAAAATGGGCCAGAGGTGCTGCCCAAACAGCAGAAGGGGCTATGTTCATATGTTCCGTTCATTATTCGCCAATTCCTTGGTTGTTGACAGTTCCCGCGTTTTTACGTAAAACCATTCAATAGCCGCCAATTCCACATACATATACATGGTGAAGATCTTAGTGCGGCTATTACTAGCTCATTCACTGGCGGATTATCACAAGGGTATGCTAAGAGCAATATCGGGCATCATCATTAATGTTATCTAGTAGAAAGGCATACAGAAATGCTAAAAACGAAAATTAACACATGTGAAGGCAAACAACCAAAACGACAGAAGTATCAGGATACCAGGATGCCCCTTAACTAGTTAAGGAGACCTTCTGGTTTGTGTAGCTTTGTCCCCGATTTGCAACCACCTCATGGTACATCCACTCGCCCACATCGGCACGCTGGATGGTGTATCCTACCGCCGGCTTATCGTCCGTTCCCACCCTGAGCGTCTTCCACCCCTTTCCAGTGGCGATATTATAATCTCCCGTCAACAGTGAAGGTCGAACCGACATGACACCGCTGAACACTCGAGAGGCAGGTGTGGGATCAGCAACAGCTTTAAATATAGCGTCTTCCATCTTAAGCTTATCCTTGTGGGGGACAGCAAGGAAGTAATGGTACAGCGGTCTAAAGGCCAAAGGAACATCCTCTGTCTTGCTGATCCCAGTGGTCGATACGACTGTGAAGAATGGTTGGGTCTTGGGCATTCCGTTCCCTTGAGCAGCAGACTGCACCTCCCGTACGGCCGAAATGATGTTGCTCGTTGCTTTTTCGCATACGTTTGGGTCGTTCAGGGTGACTGGCTGCAGGATCGAAGCTTGCAGCTTTGGAGTCGAGCCAATACCAGAGATGATGGTTGGTACCAGTGCTCCATCATTGCAGGCTGGAGCTACGGTTCGCTTGACTGCTTCGATATCGTTGACATCTCCTTGAATGACAGTGAGCTGGCTATCGATGACTGACTGCTCGATGCCTTGGACTTTAAGTTGCTCTGTCAGCTTTGACGGTGTTCTTGCTAGGGCAACGACGTTGTAGCCTCCCTTGAGCGTATGGGCGAGACATGAATTCGCGCAGCCGCCAGTTGAGCCGATAAAAGCGATAGGACCGGCCATTATGATGGGTAGAAGATAGTACCAAGCTTGAAATAGATAAAAGGATGGCTAAGATGGTAAGTATTTCTTATAATGTGGTATCCGGTAGTCATTCTTATGGCTTTTGACAGGAAGGCTGAAGCGTTATATAGAGTAGAAAACCATCCGTTCATCGTCGGATGAAGGATCATGTAGCTTTGCATACCAACCATTAGCCTGGGACAAAGCAGCCACTGACAGCATCATCTGTGGCAGTACACTCCGTCGGTAAGATAGTTGTCCTGAGACCGTCGTTGTATATAAGAGGCGGTGCATCTGGTTGACCATCAATAATTAGGCGAGCGGGTGAATATCAAGCCGAGCGGCTGACCGGCTGCCAGAAAATCGGACAAACTCGAAGGCTTAACCGTTCAGCCTCATCCTCACCTCCTTTATTATATACGGGGCCATCCGCTGCTTCGTGCGGAGGAGGAGTCAAAAATAATCAAATACTGCGTCATCGTGCATACAAAAGGCAGCACTGAGATGGCATTTATCCCAACAGAGTCGCCGTAAGACGTCAGCTCCTTCAGTGAGAATTTAGCAGCCTAATTTACCGCTGCTTGAGAACGATGACAACCATCCAAGTCTTTCATTTCCCACTTCTCTACTGAGCACTCGATGCACAAATATGACTATCTAACTAAGGGAAAGGGAGGACAGCAACGCCTCTCTCGCCATTCTTGCCGCGGGCCCTGATGCCGAAAATGACATTATCCTTGCTGAGATCTATCGTTGCCTCCTGAACCATCCCTACATCCATCTTATGAGTCCAGAATGGGGCATTTGTGCTTCGCCAAACGATTTCATACCCACCAACCAGCGCATTGCCACCTGCTGGGGGATCCCATGTGAATTTACTGTCGTTTGTAAGATCACTGGTATTGACACGGACATTTCGCGGCATACCAGGGGACATTGCAAGGTTCCAGAGGGCAGCCGCATTAACCTTTCCGACTCGTGAAATATAATCAAAATCGCAGAACTCAGGCAAATCTCCGTACTGAATATCCATGCCGGTTTTAGGATCCTTGTCAATCCGAATGTCCTGGTGCTGATGCGCAAAGTTCTCGTTTGGCTCCGTGAAACGCGCGGCTGGGTATCCGGCCTCTAGGAAGGGACGATGGTCACCGCCGCGTAGGTATCTGTCTAGTCTGTATATGACCGAGACTTCCATGTCCGTATGTTTGTTTTCCGCTGTTTCTTTGACGAAGCGTGCTAGTTGACGTGCAGGAGTATCGTTGTCGCCTCCGATCATAATGCGCCTCTCTCGCATTGCCTGGTCTTCAACGTTTAGAGGCGGTATTCCCTGGGCAAAGAGTCGGACGACGTGTGGTTCCCTGGTACCGTCATCAGCAGTTGATGAGCCGATGATATCGTTGGTGAACATTCCTTCGATGTTGGCCGAGCTATTGCGGTATGACTGAGCCAGAAAAGTGGCACCGTAAAGACCTTGTTCTTCTCCTGCGACAGCAGCAAAGACGATCGTTGCCTTTGGGCGAGGAAGGCCTCGCTGTGACATCACACGAGCAAGTTCAAGGGAGACAGCAACGCCAGAAGCACTATTGACACCATTAGCTTTTCCAACCTGTTCTGCTGGGCAGCATCTAGAGAAAAACAAGATGAATCCAACATACTCATCGTTTGCTCCAGGAGCAATGCCCTTATAATCGAGTGCATCACTGTTTCTAGAGTCATAGTGACCCGAAACAAGATAAACTCTCTCTGGGTCCCCCTCTCCCTTAAGTGTAGCCACCACATCACTGATTCGAACAGGGAAAGGTATACGGCGACCATCCGGCTGCTGGTCATATCCAACCACGGCCACAGTCAAGCGGCCATCACTTGCATTCGCATATCGCTGGAATTCTGACTCGATCCAGTCTCTTGCTGCCCCAATGCCGTATGTTGCGTTGGTCTGAGTAGAGAGTGTATGACGGGTGCCGAATGAAACCAGTTTTCTAATAGTAGCCTCGATTCTCTTAGGCGAAATCTGAGATAAGATTTTCTTGAGGTCCTTCGAGGGCTCCTGGGATCTATTCTCGCTTCCAAGCTTGACCTTTGGCCATGAAGCTGCTGGACAGGAGAAAAGAGACTCGTGAAATGGGTTCGTCACCTGGACAGTGTATACCGAGCTTTCTAACGGCAAAGCTAGAGCTAATGCATTAGCAGATGCCAGCAGCGCTAGCCCTGGCAGCAGGCCACCCATTGAAAGATGCATTTTGAATAGCTGCTCCTGTGATAATGCCGGTTAGCAGAACATCCTGTCGAAGACAATGTGAAGAGAGGGAGGGGCAGACCGGCCGTAATTTATCAACCGGTTCTACCTTACCTAGGACACAGGATAGCATAACCTCGCACCGCTTGAAGCCGAAGTCGCCGCCGGATTGCGATACAATAATGCAAGGAATATTCATTTTAGTCCAACTATAGAACCAGCCCAAGACTTCGGTTAACTTGCCGTTACCTCGTAGCGCATATTCCCCTGCAGCAATCATATATAGCTGTGAAGTCAAGGCGGCATTAATCAATGTTTCCTAGGCCAAGCACCATGGCCGCGGACAGCTTATACCCAATCAGGCAGGAGAAAGTGCTGTGTGCATGAGTAATACGACAAATAAGAGATTTGAAGCTGTCATGTTCCAAGTTCCAGGGGTTGATGGGAAGTTGAGAAAGTCTCGATGTCAATGTTTTGATAAAGAAAATCCGGGGTAAAAGTGGAGTGCCGAGGTTAAGTAGTTAACTAAGGGAGATGGAAGAGATAGAAGAGATGATGAAGTATTTATTCTTATTAGTATTTTCTTAATATAATCTAGCATGATAATATACTGATCGCAAAATTGGGCCCTTATTACCCAGCAGACAGTCTCTAAAACGAAAACGGGAGCGCCCAGGTGTACAGAAATAACAGACGAACCACTGGCACAGGTAATTTTCCTCCAGAGGAAAGAAAACGAATAGACAGGGAAAAGAAGAAAATATACTGTCACAGAATCCATTAAAAGAGGCTATGCCATAAATGAAGAAAAGGCAGCTGGGAATGGAGGGCTGAAAGAAGATGCAGGGGCTTCTATATATGCGATGCTGTGTTCTCATGAAATAAATAGACCGTCATATGTACGTTGTGCGTATGTTCAGAACGTTCGCTGTATCAGGCGATGCGGAATCAAGGTAATTTCTTGATGTGACCGTTGGAAAAGTCGGATTCGGCGAAGTCTGATAGACGGGTTATCCGATCGAAGCTTGGTATGCACAGGCCGTTTCCGAAGAAATAGAGCACCACCAGCCAGGTGACGACGAAGTTGGCGATATGGTGCAGTAGGTAGGCGTACGTAACGCCGTATATCGCGGCGTAGACTGCGAGGAAGAAAAATAGGCCGGAAGTGATATATTTGAAGCTACAAATAGCGTTAGATGTGTGTCAAAGGAGAGAAAGGAGCTAAGTGTAAGGATGCTTACTTTGATGTGACCCGGGGTATCATGGCTCCGGTGGTTAGGGTTTCGACGAGAAGAATGAAAGGCATTATTGATAACACATTATGATGGGAGGAAAAGGGTGTGAACCAGTGTACGGCGAGGTTGTGGCCCCAGACGATGAGGACAGGGATATTTATTGGAAGGATCCAAAGCATTAGAAGAAGGATTGAATGTGCAAAGTTGCTTAGGTTGGCATGATTGCCCGACCGCTTGGATTAAGTCAGTAATAGTCGGTTAATAGAAAGTTATCGATATATTTACTCACCGTTTCACGAGCATGAGAAGATGCTTGTACGCTAGTAATTAACTGAACTATACAGGCTACCACGTACGCAAACTGGTACGGAATGACAGTAGCTACTAGGAACAGGAGAATAACTGCGTTAACTATTCTGTGTCTTGCAGATAGATTCCATAGCAGCGGTGCAGCCCTATAGATGTTTAATTAGTAAATTTAACACGCCATGACCCAATGGAGGAGTTTACTTACTTTCCGTTCTCATGCTTAATATAGCCCTGTCGGGCGGCCACGGTCGAACGAAGAAGCCCAAGGAGATAAACAAGGATGGTGGCCACATAATGGACGACGACGCACGCGCCAACACTAATAATGCCGAAAAGTGGCACCAAAAACCAGAAAAATGTGTCCTGGGAACCTAGTAGAAGGTCGTTCTTCCCGTAGTCTATTGGCGTCTCCGTCGCGTTCGTCTGCCAACTTGATTGTACACCATGAGTTACCACGGACTTGGATGTCGCTAGAGTGGTGGCCAAAAGTGAGAAGCCAAGGAAAGTAAGAGGCAAAGAAGACCGAATACAAAGCTCTAAACTTTCCGAGAAGTTGATGAAAACACCTGGGTATAGTAGTTAGCAAGGGGGCTGGATGGCGGGTAGCGCTAAGAATTATTGAGGGCATCCTACCTGTTTGATCATAGACTCTAAATTGTTTGCGGAGTACCATTGCCACGATCACTAGAGGGAACGCAGCAAACACAGTTCGGTATCTCATTGCAAGCCTACCCAAACTCCCGAGAACGTCTACCTGCAGCGATATTTGAAGTGGCGCGCTGCAGCTTCTATCCGACCAAAGTTCAAATGACACGCCACTTCCAGCTGGATTGTCCCTGAGGTGCGGGGGCATGTAAGGCGCAACACCATGCAGATTAACGTCAACCGCTTTTACGTTGACGAAAAACTTGGATTCATAGGGATCAGATATGTACTGGCGAACGATTGGCGCGAACAGCTCTGATTCGGCGTTGCATCCCTGCCTATTGAGCTTAAGCTTGTAGGCGAGTAAGCTGGACTGCAAAGCTGGAACTTTGATATCCGTCACCATTGGCCTGTCGGCAGGCAGCAGGATGGTCAAGCCAGCGCTAAGAAGCCGACCAAGGCTAACTCTGGTAGGAATAACTGAGTCTGAGCTGTCAGAGAATTCCGCAATCAGGAAACCAGGAGTGGCTTTCTCGTGCTTATCGACGACAGCTACGAATTGGTATTCCGTAAGGTCCTCTAGGCGATATTGGAAGTACGAAAATGGTCGAGTGTCGTCGAAAGCGGCCTTTGAAGTCCGGGACGATGCTGGAATGTGTATCACATCCTCGTAGCTGCTTTTGCACACCAGCCGGGGTGAGGCGGCGTTGCCACCGGATAGATCGAGGTTTAGGGAAAGCAAGGTTGCAGATTGCCCGGCGCGAGAGGGAGGATCACTGCAAAACAAAATCTCAAGTTTCCCGGAACCTGAAGTTTCGACACGTTGGTCTGTTAGGAGAGTAAATTTCTTGCCAGGAACGCCTCCTCTTGGGGGAACAGGGATGAGATGAGCTTTAGGGCCTTCGTGGTGGCCGAGTCCGCGCAAGACCAGGCGTTCACCCTGTTTTAGCATTGCATTGGCGTTTTCCTCAAGGGTCAATAAAGTGGTTGGTTCTATAGATCCCGTTAGTACATATAGTGGCAGCGGGTGTAACATATTGATTTAAGATTACCTTTACTTGGCAGAAGTTTATCAGCATTTGGCTCGATTCCGGTGAGAAACCACTTTCTGAATATACTCATGCGCTCAGCCCGTTGTTTAGTTTGAGTAGCGCGTCTAACATCGATAACGTCGAAGATAGCCCGAACAACCGCTTTCCTGAAGGAATCACACCATGCGATTGAAAGGTGGTCTACTCCGGTCCAAACATTGGGGATTGTGCTAGTAAAAACGGTGAAACCATGGGTATCGGGGACCAATGATGATAAGCTTGTGTAGTCTGATGGTACAATGGTATCTCCTCCACCACCGGCAATTGATATGAGAGTGACATGCCACAGTGGGTTATTGTTGGCCCATCTCTCGGAATAGGCTTCGCGCCAGTAGGAGTTGATCTGTTTATAGGTGCTCATGAGATCGGAATCGAAGGATACCGGTGGCCGGGCATGCGGTGTGGACATGGTGATGATGGAATTCACAGAGTTGGCCTGGTAGTTAGCCATGGTCAAGACCGTCCTTGCTACGATTCCACCCATGGAATGGCCTATCAGTATGACGGATACGGGGTCTGGCAGGTCGGTATCTCTCCTGGCTCGGTTGGTGTCATGGTAGAGCGATAGTATGTAGGACAGGGCGTCGTTGATGTATTCCGCCTGGTCGAGAATGGTCTGGCCATGAAAAGCAGCCATATCTTCATTGAAATCGGCCATGAAGAAATCTAAGCTCCTAGTACCGACCTTAATCCGGTCTTGATCGTGTTGCAGTACGTTATGAAAGTATAAGGAAGCTTCGGAAGCAAGCGATCGTCCTTGTCGGTAGCTCCCTGCGTTTCCTGGGAGGAAGAGAACTGGAACTCCTTTGAGCTAGATAACAGAATTCTAAGTTAGCCTGGTTTCTACAGATTCTCCAATGCCATAGGAGTCGGATGGAAGGTAACGTACCCCGATATCTTCCTCGCTGTAGTCGTCTACACCTCGTTCTCGATACAAGTAGAGATTGTACTTGCTGGCAAAGCGAGTATGTTCTGTGTCAAATCCACCCAATTTGATGTACGTCGGCAGCATACTCGGTGTCTTGCATCCTTGAGGGTCGACCTGAAGTGTCAAGTATGACTGCACAATGCCAAAGACCAGGAGTAGGCCGAGAATGGTGACGATGATAGTCGACACCGGAAACCCACAGGCGGTCCGCGACCGAGGCCGCCGCAGCCGTTGTGACTCTACCGAGTTTTCCATCATATGAATATATATCTTCTGGTGCGCTCGTCCCGAAAAAGACGTTTCCTCAATCTGAGCTCTGAGCGGTGGTTGAAGCTGAAGTTGAAGCTCGATATAACGTCGCACAGCGGGCCTTCCAAGCTCCTCCGCCTTGTCTCGAGTCGAGCAATGCTACCTCCAAAAAAATCGCGTAGGCTAGCTCTTAGGCGTCAATTCCATTTCCATTCACACTGCTAACAGCAGTTATTAGAGGCTCATTGTGGCCTGGCAGCGGGAGGGAGGTCTTCGGTAACGAGGTAGCGGCTCGAGGGGCTGGAGTCGTGTTTTTCTTCCCACTCGCAAGCTGTATCACGGGTTCAAAGCTCGCTGGCGGGAGAAGCGGCAGCAGATGGAGAGCGCGCGACAGCCCTCCGGCACGAGTCTCTCTGCCTTCTCGTGAACTGCTCAGGGGACTGGGAGGCGCTCAAGAGGAAGACACGAAGCGAGACGCAGGCGAGTTTCTGGCGGCCAAAGAAAAAAAAAGTCGGAGGAGCCAAATTTTGATATGCTGAGTCAGCAAGCTCTGCTCGTAAAAGGCGACGACGACGAAGATGCAGCAACAGATGAAAAGAAGACGAAGATGAAGATGAAAGGCGAAGACGATGGTTATGATGAAACATGCGAGCTCAAGCTGCAGGGCGCTGAGCTTCCTCTCGAGCAGCGAGTCAGTCAGCGTGCGACCGTTGGCTCCGGCGACGATCCTGCTGTCATTTCGTTAAATTCACAGCCAGAACAACCCAGGTCGGAAGAATACTTGACAGGGCGACGGAGTTTTAGGCCAGACGATATAATTAGAGCTGTTTCTGCCTGCGGGCTCCTCTTGCTTTCTCTCCAGGATCCTCGATTACAGACTTTCGGCGGCCAGGATGAAGGGTTCGACAGAGATCTACCGCGAAGGTTTCGGACGGGCCTTTGCTAACGTTTCTGTGCCTAGTTTGTGGCTGGCCGAAGCCGACGGGGATACAATACGAGCTGTTGCTTATGTGCATGCGTAGTTTTGGCCAAAGAGACTGTATGAGAGAGCAGGCTTGCAAAGGAAGCCTCGGCGACGGCCATGACTACGATAGTTGGATATATGGAGAATATGGAGAATATGGAGTATCGACGTCAGATGTCGCATCGTGCCAACAGGTATAGCAGTGTGGGTACTGAGTAGTTGCGGGCGCAAGATCAAACTACATGTCAGTGGACGAGGGCTTCGCAGCTCATTCCTGGGCGACCCTGCGCGGTAGTTTGTTTTCAAATTAAGGAGGCTCCCTCCCATGCAAGCCTCCGGCAGGGCCGTCCCATCCTAAGAACCTCTTATCGCACCCGCGTCAAGCCAAATTTTACAGTAATATACTCCTAAACACCATTGTTTCGACCGTCTTACTAACGATTATTATAGGCGGATGCATCGATTGGACGGCTCCAGAGGGCATTTAATGTGGAAACGGGGCGATGAGTTACCTTGTTAGGTGGAGAACGGGCCACCACTAAAAAGACGCGCAATCCGGGTCAGCGTACGGACTGGGGTTAGCGATCTATACCCAACTCCCTTTATTGAACAGGTTTTTTTCTATGAGGTAAAAGGGGTCACTTGTTGATCATGGGGGCCCCTGAGACCCAGAGTACAGAATCAACCATGGCATTCACACATAAAAACAACGCTACGATGCACACCCATCTGCGCGTTTTACTCACTTTTCGGTGGAGGAGAAGAGGAGAGAGGGGAACGATAACCGCAAGCTGAGCATGTCGCGTGTACGCTTAGCCGCAATCCGCAACGGCCGCTTTAAAAATGGCGTCTGTCTATCATGCATCGCGGGGCTTCTTTTTTCCCTGGTCTTTTTGCTTTGGTTTGGGATGAATTCGGACAGAGATAATGTCCATCCGTTGCTCACACAGGTTATTCCAGCGGGCCATTGCACATGCCAAACATCAACAACGTTCAATTGCTCAGAGTCACTAGCGGCATTACGCTCTTCTCAGCCAACTACTCTAGGTTCATCAACAGATTGGAAGTTCGAATTCGATCGGGATAAAGCAAATGTGAACCTGAGTCCTTTGCAGTGTAAAGCTGCATTCCCAGGACTCTTTGAAGACCCGTACCGGGCAGCGGCCTTCTGGGAACCCCGGCTCGGCATACATACTGAGCAGTTAGATCGTATCGAACTCAAAAATGGCATGGCCCGGGCCATTATACATCATGGCGAGCTTTATATAGTTGCCGCAAGGGCAGCACAAGAAGATCACAGAAAGAAGATACTAGCAGTCCTAAGTTCCATGCATCATGCCTTGTCAGCAACAGCAGTGAATGGAACACTACCTAGCATTGAGTTTATATTCTCCATTGAAGACAGAGTCGACGACGTTTCTGGAGTAGGACATCCTCTTTGGGCATTGGCCAGGAAAGCGTCGGAACAGTCAATATGGTTGATACCTGATTTTGGGTTTTGGGCATGGGATAATGCAGCAAATGCCATTGGCCCCTATAACCAAGTTGTTGACCGGATACAACGACAAGAAGTTACCGTCCCATGGTCATCAAAGCTGGACAAGCTCGTCTGGAGGGGAAAGTTGAGCTTTGCGCCAAAATTAAGGCGGAATTTACTTGATATAGCCCGTGGTACAACCTGGGGTGACGTCAAGGAGATCGTATGGAGCGAAAAGCAGAACTTTATCAGTATGGATGACCATTGCAAGTACAAGTTCATCGCCCATGTTGAAGGTACGTCGCAAATCTCCAAATATTAACAAACCTTGAATCAAGTATAACTAATTTCACCATGTAGGCCGAGCATACTCCTCTTCTCTGAAATATCGACAGGCATGTCGCTCTGTCGTCGTTGCACATAAGCTCCAATTCATCCAACACCACCACTACCTTCTTCAATCGACAGGACCATACCAGAACTTCGTCGAGGTAGAGCGTGACTTCTCAGATCTGCCGGAAAAAATGGAACATCTACTAGCCAACGAAGACTTCGCCGAACGAATTGCAAATAATAACGTCAAAACATTCAGGGAACGCTATCTCACCAAGGCTGCGGAGGCATGCTATTGGCGAGAACTCTGGGCAAGTTGGGCGGGTGTATTTAATGCCGTTATAACTGATAACTTTGCGGATAGGGGATTACGATTCGAGTCTTTCTTGCTGCTTGAGAGCCAGAAGATGATGGCGTATTCGCATTCTAATGCCCATGATGTATAGATTTTTTGCCTTTGTTGTAAATATACCCGACTAATAGAGGTCACACCAGCTCATCATTCAAATGTGCTCAATGTCTTCTGCTTCAAATAAATTAAACCACAGAGTCGGCTCTCAAAGAAAAAAAAACAAACAAACAATAAAGATATACAAGTACCTTGACAGTAGAGCGGAGCCAGCTTCACTCGGATATATGAGATAGTCGATGCATTTCCTAACAGCAGAGCCATGTACTCCGTACTCCAGGACCTCACCAAATTCCCCGATCCGATATAGCGTGCCGAGCTGGGTAGGGCGTTTTCTAACTACTAGTAGTACGAATTACCTTTATTTGGAAGACAACATATCTTCGGGTTTATTGGATACCAAAAAATTTCAAAAAAAGAAGAATATACAATGTGAATCCGCAATGAGCTATACCAGTATGGACTCTCTACGGTTGTAATTCTAGGGAGCAAAGAAAGAAAGCTTGGAATTATCAAGGATGGCTATGGCCTTTCCAATGCTGTACTATAACTAACCAAGCTATAGATTGTCCCTTTTCTCCGCTAAGGCCTCCCATGCCTCATTTGAGTCAAATCCAAATAGAGATGGGCCGTCCGGCCCTCCACCATAGAGTGGCTGACATTTCCCATAAGCTACCTATGGGCTTCAATGGTGATTTGTGTTACAGTTTGTCCTTGAGCTGGACCGTTTAGTAAGGTTCCTGGGACGTGTAGGTGAAATTTGACATACCCTATGGAACTTTGTTGGCCGGTTCTATTGATGTTAACTAGTTCCGTGTCCTTAACAAGAGTCTGATCTATTAAATTAATACTGCTACCTGTGTCCAGGCAGACGTTGACTATATGGGCTAGGTCTATTATATATGCTAAGGCGGTCGAATATTGCCAGGGTCGGAAAGACTACCTATACCAGGGCGTATTAGCGTCCATATAGGTAGATATAATGACCGGCAAGGTGTCTTTTGCTAGAATCGCCAGCAACGCTTCGGCTAATAGGGTCGTGGCGTCTTTGGAATCCCTCTAACAGTCCGCTGACTTTATATATTTATGCAGAGTATTGGCGCTGGTAAACGGCTTACGACAAGTCTTACAAGTAGCTTACAACTGTCCGTGAACGGGACAGTTGTTATGCGGGTGAGAGTTGTCGTAGTCTCTCAACAGCATCTTCGCATCCATTAAGTCCTGGCGTCTATACCATAGGTCGTGTTCAGGGCCGTATCCTTTCCACCGGACAAGGTATTCCATGTATGGGGTTCTGTGACGTCCTATACGTCTGCACCGCCTGTCAAGTAAGGTTTGAATCTCGAAGTCACCAATACTGTCTTCATCATAGTCTCATGAGAGAGTGCTGTATACTCCTCAGCTTCTGGCCACTTTGGTATAGGCACCGTAAACTGTCGAAATTCTCTTTGGAGTTTATGCCATAAGCGTTCAACAGGGGGAAGTAGTTGTAGTCTTTTCTCATGGTCAATAATCCATATTTTCCTTTGAGAAATTGGAGTTTTTAAAAGCTGTAGAACCTCCTCATCGCCGAGACCAAGCTTTACTGCCTCCCAGGCCTTTCTTTCAGAGTACTGAAGTTCTTGAAGTAACAATAGAAAGAATATAATTCTTCTTCCCGTTTTCTGATAAGCTTTGGTACTCTTGTCTTTTTATTTTCAGAATTGCGCCTTCTGAAATGCCCTTTTACTATGAATTAATAATATCTCTTCAGGAGTAAGAGATACTTCCTCAGGGAATGTTTCAGTTGAGTAGTTAAGCCCCCCAGTACTTTTTAGTACTTTTTTTGCTGTTGCCATGTATTCCAGTAGGTTTCCAGTCTTTTAATCTCATCGGCTTGGTTCGAATGGTTCTCTTTTCTTTCTTTAATTATATATCGCATTTGCGTCCATCCTAGATCACCTAGCGCTAGTATTAGTAGACTACAATAAGTTGACAGAGGATGTAAGGGAGGAAGAAATGAAGAGAGAATGCTTACAGGTGGAGAAAAAGGTTGTACGGTAGAGTTCCGACCGGGTATATGGCAGTCGAGACGCGTTAAGGGAGAACAAGTACTCGTGGTAAACGGCGGTGGTGTTGGTGGAGGATGCCAATGGTCCGTACACAGCTGTCGAATAATCAAATCGATAAATGCGCGGTATGGTAGAAGGCAAGGGCTTTGTAAAGTGAGCAAAGCGGAGAGCACACAGTAATCCCGTCCCTCTTTCCTTAATGGGCGTTCTTGTCAGAACTGAGGTCTGGGGCCGACAGCTTTAATTCTTGCTCATAGGCAACATCGCCGCCATCATCATACGGAATCGAAGGGCCTCCAGAGGCTTATAAAACAGGTTAGTTAAACCATCTATAGAAAGAGAAGTTAAAAAGGTAGCCTACTATTATGGCCAAGCTCTTTAGCAAGTGCATCGTGTTCCTCCCTGCTCATATCATTAAAATGAGCTTGTATAGAGTCAAAATCGAGTTGTGCTAGAAACTTTGCGTCTCGCTTTGGCTGGGGTTTTAGGGATATGGTAGAATTCGTAGGAGGTTTAGTTGGCTGAGAGGACATCGTCGCAATCTTGACACTGGTAGCAGCCTTTGAGGGCGAAAGAGAGGTAGTGGTAGATATTGTCTAGTCGCAGTAAACGGGTTAGATAGTTGTTGGACCACAAGGGACAAAAAGGAATCCTTGGGTAAATGAGTGCGAGTCGTAGTAGCCAATGGATATTCCAACATTATGTCGTCCGTCGCTCTGTCTTAGTTAGTCATCATGTCGCCAGTTATTATGTCTACCATTACACTATGTACCTATCTTAGAACCTTAGACAGCTTTTTACCTGGATCAGGAAGAACAACCTTAGTTACAAAGAAAGATTGCGAAATTAGCCGGCCATGGACTTTTACAGATTTCCAAACGAGATATTCACTTTGATCATTGAACACCTAGTCCTCGAGGTCGGATTTACGAAGGCAGTACGGCTCAGATTAGTAGATAGTATGGCTTCGCTCTTTTATACCACAAAATATCTCTGTGAAAATGGGTGTGCTACTTCGTGACGCCAGATACAGGAAGGCTTTCTAACACGGCTATTGATTTAGGCCATTTCGACTCTGCTATTTTGTTTGCCATTTGCGATCGTCAGATTATCGATCTTTTTGATCCGATTATTGCCATGCTGAACCTCATCACTTCACCACTTCTAGGGAGAATTCTCTTAACAAAGTCACGCTCAAAGGCAGCAACTAGAATCGCTACTCTCCATGTGATTGCAACTGTCAATCAAGAGCTGGACAAGTTAATTGGATGCGCACAACAACACCGGCATGAGCAACATCTGATGATCAGTACGGCTGTTGCAGCGTACCTACGGGATGACTCCAAGAGACACACGGCACGTTATCTCAGTGAAGCTGAACAAGTGCATAGTCTCATGTGGGGAGAAACCAGGAATGAACATCTCTCAGTTGATGACAAGTTGACAGCCGCCACTATAGACAAAGCACATAATCTCTTCTGCGGAGCTATTGTGCTCGGGAATCTATCTTTGGTCAAATCCTTGGCCTCTTCGGTGGACATTAATACAGTGAATTACTATTTTGGCCAGCCATTAGGTCTCGCCGCTATCTGGGGGCATATTGATATTGTTCGATATCTTCTTGATCATGGTGCTGATCCACACTGGATTGCAGAACAATCCAAGTCGATTGCTATTTGCTCAATTGAAGCTGCATACCAGCTATTTGAGTATAAATGCCCAGGAGGAAGCGCCCTAGCCGCTGCGGCTCTCGGTGGAAACAATGAGATTGTGTCTCTACTTTTGGAGCCAGAGTTTCGACTCTCAACTCTTGACCGAGAGTACTGCAGAGCCATACTATACGCCGCTCGGATTGGCCGTCCAGACTTGATAAACCTACTCCTGCAGGTAGAGGGGGGGTCCATTCGCGATGATAACTATTTGCGTGAAGCTATGCTTTGGGAGGCAGTTTGCCACAACCGAGAAAAAACAGTGAAACTACTCCTAGATCATGGTGCCAATGCCAACGAAAATTCGTATGGTACTTACGGGCCTGGGTATCCGCTTCTAGTTGCTGCAAAACTAGGACATGTTCGGTTGGTGCGTATGCTCCTAAATAATGGAGCCCATATGTGTCCGGATAACCCAAGTAATGTGCCCATAGTTTATGCTGCTCAGCAAGGACATGTGGAAGTCATTAAGGTATTGGTTGATGAGTACGGCGAGAAACTCGAGCATGCCCTGACTCCGGCTGCATCTAGAGGACAGGTTCATCTAGTTAAATACCTTTTACACAGAGGAGTAAATGTACATCATTGTGAAGCCTATTCACTCGGGGTGGGCTTGCGAGCACTCATTTCGGCTATACAGTGTAGGAATCTGGCCATCATTTCCATGTTAGCTGATGCGGGCGTTCCACTCAATAATGACGCCCATATATATGACGACCCAATGTGGATGGCAAAGGCCCATTACACCCCATGGGTCTTTGAGCATTTGCTGGCTCTGGGTGCTGAGGACAGGGACTATCCAGGGGATCATAGAATTAAGTATCCGAGTGGTATGGTTTACTCACAACGCCAATGTGGAGTGCTTGACACCAACCCAATGACCTGGAGATGGCAGGGTAGGTATTAAGTGGTTGACTCTCTAGGTACCTGGGCTACCAACTTCGACATCATGGCGAGATACCATTTATTCCTAATCCGTCCATTTTGTCTATAGTCAGGCACAATAACAAAATTGTGTTAGATATATATGGCACAGCAATATGAGACACACTGTCTATAAAAGTAAAGACGCTGGTTGCTGATAAGATCATGTTTTCGAGATTTGTTGACGTCTCCAGGGCGTGAACCCGCGAGCTTGCGGCTCTGCGGACGACCCGCTTTTTCAGTCTGAGCTAAGCCGCTAGTAAGTTGAGCAAACTCTCTCCTTGTTCAGCTCTGTGAGAGTTGGTAAAATACTATTATCTAGTAATATGTGCATAATCTCCCCGTCTAGGTAAGTGAAGGGACTTCGGAAATAGCCTGATACGGTACCGCCAAAAGTAGCGGAAGTTGCATATGCTGAGTGGTGAAGCGAAAGCAGATAGTGAGGACCCGAATTCCCCTGTTCAACGCTATTAAAGTCTATAACGACTGATTGTCGATACTCAGGCAAGTGGCCCGATCTTCACTTCTTCACTGGCAGCCATTTCTTTCCATTTTGTAGCCTTTTCAAGTTCACGTTTGCTGCGTCGCTTCGACAATAGCAAGTCTTTAAACTGGCCTTTAGCACCGTGCTTGATTTTGGTGATCATGTCAGCGGCTTCACCCTTTGTAATTTTCTCGGATATTTCTTTCCCAAGCTGTTTCCTCAGGTATCCTATCTGTCCAGGACTTGCGCGCCTCTTTCTCCATGGCTGCCATGAAGCAATGTAAAGTGGCCCTCCAAATATGCGGGAAGCAAGGGTATCTGCAGCGTGAACTGCCTGGACAAAATCAACAGAGGACACCACCTTGCGAGGGCGGCTGAAAGGACTTTTCGACTTGCCTGCTGGGCTCAAGCTGATAACATGGTGGACTGAAAACAGTCCAGAATCATCTTTAGAGATTGTTAATCTCCCAGCAGGGGCGTTAAGAATATAGCGCTGCGGGCTAACTTGAACCCATGCGTTTTCGCTGATGCCACGGATACGGTCTTCACCAGTGGCATCCTGCACTAGGTCGTGGACAGAATCGTAGTCAGTGAAACCAACAACAATATCCTCTTCTGCTGGCGAATCAATCTTTTTTGCTCCCTGCCCTTGTGCTATGGGGTTTTCAGAGCTTTCTCTCTCCTCCTTGGCATCTTTAGCCGAAACTCCGTTTAAACCTTCATCAGGATGCAATCCGAGAAGGGTAGGCGTGGTTAGTACTCCACAATTCAAGGACGCAACCATATCAATGATATGGCAATTGGCTTTATCTGGATGCAGCCGAAGACCTCTCCCTATCATTTGGATCAGGAGATTCTTCGATCTTGTGGGTCTTGCAAGTAAGACACAGTCGATATTCGGTATATCAGTGCCTTCTGTAAAGAGTCCACAGTTAACCAGAACAGGAAACTCGTAATTTCTAAAAGCTTCCAGTTCTTTGGCTCGAACATCCTTCGGAGTCTGGCCTGTAATATACCTGGCATCAACTCCAAATTCTCGAAACTTGGCAGTTAGGTCTCGTACATGCGCGATATCAACACAAAAAACGAGGGTAGATTTTCGTTCACCAGCTTTCGAGCGCCATGAAGAAACAGTGATCTCATTCGCGGTTTCTGTATTGACAGCAAGGGAAAGTTGATGAGTTTGAAAATCCCCGTTTGGACCATCACTAACGCGTGAGAGATCCACGTGAGATTTCACCGTTGTGAAAAGTGCATCCGAGAGCCAGTTCTCCCCAATCATATCAACATAATCTTTATGGTATACGATATAATCAATGGCTGTGCCTAATTTCAGACCATCAAATCGCGAAAACGTCGCGGACACACCAACTAACGCTGGCGAGTCTGCTTTGGCCTCACTCAAGTTGAAATGGGCAAGAGCTTCACGGTAGCTAGGCGCAACAATATGGTGGGCCTCATCAACCAACACAAGCTTGAATCTTTCTGGGTTGTATTTCTCAATTCGGCCCTTTGAAAGGAGGCTGCGTATGGACGCAATGGTTATATCCGCCGTCCCGGTGGCGTGGCTGTTTGCCATTTCGATTTCTATAGTCTTGTTGGGGTAAGCACGCGTGCAATGCTTTGCAGCTTGCTCAACGAGCTCCTTCCGATGAACCAGGATAAGGGACTGGGTTTTGTTAGGATTAGGAGGGTTTACCCGGCCAATCAGCTGAGTAAAAATCACCTGTCAATGGCATTATATTAGTACCTGAAATGCTCATTATAACGGGGATCATACAGTCTTTCCACTTCCTGTAGCAAGAGATACCCCTAATCTCTTGTGACCTACGTCCAAATGAGAGAGGACAGATTGTATACATTCTTCCTGATAGTCCCTCAGACGGATTTCAAGGTTCAGTATTGGAGCTCCGTTGGACGTCCAAATTGACGCGGTTGAAGAGAAGAGACGAGCTCCAACCCGCGGAGCAGAGTATCCTTGGCAGTATAACTTCACTAAGCCCGTCCATCTTGAGCACCGAGTTACCTTCTGCATTTTCCATGGCAGTTGCTTTGTTGTTTACCTAGTAATTCTTTTGATTCTCTTTAAACCTCGAAGACTGACATATTCCATGCAAACAGGACAAACAGTGCAAACAATGCAAACAGAGCTTGCAATATGCGACTTAGTTAAGTTAACTGCCCTGACATAAAAAAAAGCAAAGCAAAATCTGAAGAAGGACAACTTCCAGAGGATAGCTACATTCACAGTCGAAAGGAAAAAATACCGCCCATTTTACGGGAATCCTTGACATGTTCTCCTCAATATTGATTGTGCCAAATTGTCCAGAGTTTGATACCCGGAATTGGACGTTTGAACGGAAAATTGGGGGGAGATAGGTAGCATGTCAAGCAGCAGCTACGAGCCAGAGGATGATGCCCCCGATTATCAAAGTGAAACAGAAGAAATAGCGAGAATTTTTTACGATTCTTCGGATGCTGGTCCCTCCTCGCGTCAGCTGCAACATCTTACACTCACATCCTCTCCTCCCCCTTTGCAGCGAAAGAGAAAACGAGTAGAAAAATGGGCGTGGAACAAGAGAGAAAACCATATACGGCGTGCGAACGCTTTACATATATCATCATACAAGGACCTCCTCCTTGAAGTCACCGACGGAGCTACTAAGGAGCCCGATCATGAAGCAGTCATCCATAGCTCGCAATTTGGCATAGTCATGTGGAGCGCAGATGAGAAACTTGCGCTCTTTACAGCCCTTGCAAGGAAAGGTAAAGGCGCGGTGTCGGAAATAGCCTCCGTTATAGGCACAAAAAGCCGGATAGAGGTTCAACAGTTTCTTATAGAGCTTCAGCGGGCGCTACAGCAGCAGTATATTACGGACAAGAATTTTCGAGGCATAACGTTTTCAGACATACACGCGGCAGCCGAAATCAGCGAGGAATGTTGTCTCGCGCTGGAGAAAGCGGCAAACGCACTCTCTGTGCAAGAAGAGCAAGCACATAACCTATCGGGGAGGAGAAAGTATAAAGACATGTGGCTTGTAGACAGTAATGCTGCGGCATACTTGGAAGAGAAGATTCAAACCAAAGATATCAGCGATGTCGATGCAAGTGCGCATCACATGTTAGCTACAGCTCAATTGTTCCACGTACCAAATTGGATCAATCTTTCAAGAAACGTCTTTATGAATTTTGGAGGTCACCGTATTGAAGATAACTGGACCAAAATCTGTTTTCACGAGGAGACTCCTGCAGTGACGTGTGATAGCTTCACAGACTTCTATACAATCGCTGTTAGCTTGACGCGGAGATTAGTACAGTCTTCTATATTCTTTGCACTTATGAGGATTCGTGGTATGGATGAACGAGGCCGGGATCGAGACAGAGTTATTCGGAGAGACGATGTGCTTAGTGCATTGGATACACTAAAAGTGCGGCATAATACCCGTGAATTCTGGATACACGCGGCAAGACGATGTTCGTTGGATGTTCGCGAGTACGTGAGCAAGAGCAGCTTCAAGACCACAATACTCTCCTACGACGAGGTTGAAAAGCGGCTATCTGCTCCCAGCCTGGAGCTACCTGAACCACACCAAGGAGAAGATGAAGTTCAAGAGGAGCCCTCAGAGGAGGACACCGACATATTACCAAAGAATACCCCGGAAAACTACGCTGCAGAAGAATCCTCCTCGTCATTTGAAGGTTCCGAGATTGACGTGTCAATGGGAGACGTCTCATCATCAGGAATAGATGAGGAATTGCTATCAGATGAGGAAGAAATATATGCTTTGTCTCTTGACAAAGAAGCCAGCCGGGAAGAAGAGAAACGGTTATGGCAGATATTGAAGCCGCACCCGAAATCCGAATCAGCCCCGCCTAAAAACGACGTAAAAATGGAAAGCGAGGATGAAGGGCTATTCTCTCGCTCCAATCCCAGAGTTAAACCAGTGACAAGAAGAAAGATAGTTCAGGACTTTCAAAATTGGAGGAATGCAGTGTTACCCATGGCTGATTGGGAGCTACTTGGACCGGAAACACTATCCATTGACAAGGAGGTCAATGAAAACCACAGTGTAAAACGGCAGAAAATAAGCGACGAGGAGAAACCCGAATAGAGAGCTCCGCAAGGCGTTTGGAATAAACTTGGTACATTCGATATAATGGCGTATAGAGGATACATTTTGTTTTGTTGCATGGAAATGGAGTTTTAATTCACCTGTATAGAGCATCCACTGCAGACGGTGTACGATTTAGAAGGGAAAAAAAGTACTATTTTGGCTATCATCCAATACTCCCAGCTAGGACTTCTTTACATATAACTAAAAGCAACGGTGCATCATACGTTGAAAGACAGAACGTAAACAGCACAGGTAGTTGAAGGATCATTTTAAGATAGGGGTAAAAAGGGATAACTCCAATATCTAACGCCCCCATACTACAGTCGTCCCAACGAAGAGATAATAAAAGAAAACGAAGAATCCTTGAATCTCCCGCCCAAAATACTCCTCCCGCTACACAGAGACAGAGAGGGTGTCAGCAGATTAAAATCATACACATCAACTTGAAAGCTATAACTTTCCTATCTATATCAGCAACCCGCGCTCACCAATCTCATATTTCATATGACTTGTACTCTGGTCCACCGCTAGTGCTGTATGGCTGAATGGCGTTAACGCCGTGGTCGGCACTAGTCTGCTGGAAGGTGTAGTTCTCGCCGAGTCCGATTGTTTGAGCTTGAGCGGCAACGGCAGCTCCGGCTTCGTTTCCTTCCAGGCTAGCGGCCTTGAAGGCTTCTTCTACTTCCTTAATTCTTCGCTTAAGTCCGAGACGGTCGAGGAATAGCTGTTGTCTGGCTTGTTCAAGGTCTCGACGCTCAGCTTCAACAATGGCTTCGAGTTCTGAGAATTGTGCTAGTTTCAATTCAAGCTTCTGCAGTGTGAGGTTGACTGCAGCGCCTACAAGGCGGGTCATCTCTCGCTCTTCATGCGATGCTAGGGCTCCGGCGCGTGCAGCAGAAGCAGCGAGGCCAATGGACGTAAGAGTGGCCTGGGTTGTCTTGCCTTGACTTGTTGATGAGGTAGCAGCTTCTTGGCCTTCGTTGGCAGTGTCAATTTCCATAGAGTCCTCTGCTTTCATTGAGTCTGCTTCTTTTCCTTTTTCTCCAGCCTTCTCACCGTCTTTCTCCTTGTTTGTGGATGCGGTGCGCTTGTCAAGCTGCTTCTGTAGATCGCGGCGCATCTCTTCAACCGATCGGCCGGCGGCTGCGGCTGCAATGGAAGGCTCAGTCATTTGTGCCAGGTAAGTTACCACAGACAAGACGGGGTTCTCTAGCTGGCTGACTGGTTCTCGTCCACCGGCAGCGCCCAGCATCGAAGAGGTACCCTCAACGGGATCTTCGAGATACTTGTCTTCAATCTCAAGCTGGAGGAATTTCATAACACACTCTTCAGGAGTCCGTGAACCGACATGTCGAGAAATCTGCTGCCAGTTGTCGTCGAAGTTCTCGAGGGCCTCAAGGAGCAGAAGAAGTTCCGAGTTCGACCATGGCTTCTCGCGATCTTGTATGGTAGTATACTGGCTATCTTCCAGCTTGACGAAATCAGAAGCCTGGTGGGAAGCTGGCATTCTACCCTGGAGATAGCAGTTCGGGCACAAATCATACTTGAGTTCTGACGGGTTTGTGGTTGTTGATACGGGCGCCGATTTTGCGTAGTGGAATCGAACCCGTGTGCAGTCGATGCCACAAGCGTAGCAGTTCAAGGACTTTTTACCTTCCTTTACGGATGCTTCCATGGCCTTTGTGCTTGACTCGGCAGGGGTTCCGTTGGTAACTGCATCTTCACCATTGGTTTCCTTGTCCTTGCTGTCAGATGGGGTGACCTCTTTTCCCTTGTCGTCATATATGTTGCGACGAATCTCGAGATTGAGGTCCGATTTCGACTGTGGTGTTGCCGCGGCTGCTCTGTCGGTGGATGGGTGAGGCTTTCCAGGTGTGACAATTGTGTTTGGGCCAGGCTGGAATGGCTGTAAACCACGAGGAGTGTCTGCAGTGATTCTAAAATGGCCAGTAAAAGGGGGGCCAATATTTGAAGGACGTGATTGAGGATCAACCTGAGAATACAACATTAGCTCACGATGGCTTTGGCATATGTGTAGCATTTCTCCTTGTACCAACCTGATAGTTAATTAAACCCCAGTGCTCCAAAAAGGCGTGTGTTCGCATGATTGCGCAAACATCTCCGGCCAGATTCCTTCGGCAGGCGGTGACCGTAAGGTATTCGACTGGGTTCACTCGGTAGGTATTGATCATGAAATCACGGTAATCCTTGTAGACTGCGGGCGTTTTGCTACGATTCCGGCTGTTGAAGAATTCCGGAAGAGCCTTTTTCTCGACTGGGTGGATGGTGTTCATATCAAACCAGCTGGTATAGCTAGGTAGGATGATTGCATGGGTTTGCGCAATCAGGTTTGAACGCGCCGAGGCCTCTGTCGCAGCTTTGCTCTGGTCTGACGGTCCATCCGCAGCGCCATCAGTTTGATGCTGGAGCATAGAGGTATCCCCATCCTCTCCAGCGTCATTGTCGCCCTTGGAGTCGTTTGTGCCGCCCATCTCTTCGTCTTCCATCTCATCATTCTGCCCTTTTGGTGAAGGCGGGGCATCCAGCGGATTGTCTGAAGGATTCTGGGTTGGAGTGGCCTTCTCAGGCGAAACACCACCAGACTGAGAGCCTATAAGAGAGATAAAATCGCGTGGTCAGCATCAAGCTCAGAACCGCTTCGCGTGTTCTTTGAAACATGCCGGAAGCAAGGCAGAACATACCGGCAGGGCGGCTGGGGGAGGCCATGGTCTCGTCAGCTCCCGATTGCGCGTCTATGCTAGTGGTAGTAGGCTTGTTCTCGTTTCCTAAGTCTCCTGCCGACTGGTCCATCGCAATGGGGATGATGCACTCTAGCTTCGGAGGGAAGTTTCGATGTGGCTCTGGTGGCACTTCGCGGAGGCAACGGGCTGCAATGGCAGACAGAGTGTGTCCTATCAGGCAGATAGCACCGGCTACAGGGCCGCCTGTTCGCTTGCTGACAGTCGCTGTATAAGTCTGCGATATCAAGCTGCGGCGGATGCGTCGAGGTCGTCCGAAAGTTCTTCCTGCCTGCGAAAGTCTCGCTTTTTATATGATGAACTCGCGATAGACGCAAAAAGGAAGTTCGCAAAGGCTTTAATAGCACGCTAAGCCTCTTTGGGGCAGCATCCAGGCTGCACGTGATTTACAGTCACGTGTCACAAAGAGTCGCCGCCAAGCATAGGAAAACGTAGAGAAAGCGTAGAAAGTCGTAGGTAGCAAGGGGTTGTCGATATATCAAACTGCCATAAGACCAGACGCCGTCCCCGCTAAGACAATTGACGTTCATATGTAAACCGCGCTACAAGAAAGAGCGTTAGTAGAAAATAGATGCTTAGATTAAACTTGGTATAAGACTTATTATATCTATATCTACAGAGTACGGGACTTATATAGTAACGGCTCCTAGACGAATGAGAAGGGATGGCAGCGATAAGGAAGGTTACTGGGTATATTAATGTAGTGCGCGCTGGAATTCCTCTTGAGAATTAAACCCAGAGAACGGGCCAGGAGGCAGACGGGAGAAGATCATATCAAGCTGTGCGTCAAACCGAGCGTGAGCAGCGGCTTGCTGGTGTATCTGCTCTTGAAGACGAAAGGTGGTATGCATATTGCGGCCAGCCATGGTAGAAATTTCCTTCAGGATACGCTTAAACTCGTCGTGGTCGCTACTCAATTTATCATGCTTAGTGGAAATTTCCTTCAACATGCACCTGAACTCGTCGTCGTCGCTGCTCAGTTTATCGTGCTTGGTGGAAAGTTCGCTCAAGATGCGTCTAAACTCGGCACGGTCGCTTTTCACTTTATCATGCAAGTCATCCATTTTGGAATCAATCCTGGCCAATATGTCATGCATAGTATCATGCATGTCATCCAGTTTAAGATCATTGCTAACAAACTTTTCATCGACGACAAGCCATTTTTGATACGCCGTAGTACAATGTCGGCCTAACATGTTCAGCTGGTGCAGTAATTGAGAAAGATCGATAGTCACAGCACGCTCGCGTGGCGCCGAGGGCTCGGGAATGGAGGAAGAATGGTTTAAAATGGTAGAAGCAGCGTTATGATGGGTAGGAATAGGAGCGGCAGTATTATGAGTACCGGTAAGGGGGTGAGCGTTTGGATGCGAGAGCGATCCGGGCTCCTTGCTAGGAGTAGGGACTGAAGGACGTTCCAGCGTGGGTGCATCCTTACCGCGAGAGGGATCCTGAAGTACTCTGGGGGTCGGGGGAGCAGCAACATTAACAGGGGCCCGATTAACGATAGCGGGAGTGGTAGCTGTCGTAAGATCAACCAATTGCCTAGGAGCAGCCCCAACAAGGGAAGTAGCTGCATCGGAACCTGAGGTGGGCCTGGGAGCTGTAGAAGAAGTAGGAACGGCCACGGCGCCCCTAGACACGGACTGGTTGGAAGAGGGTGCTATATTAGAGGGCACTGGGGACGCAAGAGGCGATGCAGAGGAGCTTGGCTCACGAGCACCCTCCGTGCCTGTGCCTGAGGACAAGGCAACTCTCTTTGGGAGTGAAGGCGAGGCAGTGGCGGGCGCTTGTTGGGCTGCTCGCTTTCGAGTCGTCTGCCCCCCCGCAGCAGGAGTAGGAACTGCAGAGGACGGCCGGGGAGCAGGGATGGTGGGTGAGGCAGACCCAGACGTTGGACCCGCCCTGCCCTCTGCTATACGATTGGACCTGAAGTGTTGATGGGCCGCTACACATCGAATATCGAAGGAGTCACGAGCTGGCGTTGAAAACGGTATCTCTTTCCCCTCCGCATGTAGTTCGATGATAGCTGCTGCGGCCGGATAACAACCAATGGAGATCTGTATAGAGGGTTATTAGGGTTAACTGTTCAAATAGCCAACACATAATTCGTGGGTATAGCTTACAGGACGACAGGACCTCCGGCTGGCGGTACAACGTGTACACGGAGAACCTGCTTTCCAGACACATTGCCCCCCCAGGGGCCGGGTCGATGTAAGAGTCTGGCCCAGTGAATCAACGCACCGAGCACAAGGCAAGGTGGCAGCCTGAGGACAGGCAACGGTGTCCTCACGACGCATGATGAGCGAGCCAGGCACAGCGCGGCCAGACTCCTTGCCGTTCTACTCTGTACTCCAGAACAGGAGAAGTGGTTCGTTTGCCATGTTTTCCAACACTGAGGGATCACCTCAGGTTTATGAGACCGGTTAAATGTTGGATTATGAGACTAGCTGTTGGGTTGTGTAACCCCTGTGCTCAACCCATGGCGCGGAGAGGCCGTAAAAGACTGTTCCATGGCCCATGGCTCCCTGCTATGGCATATGTATGTTTGTACGGAGGACATGTCGCCCGCATGTCCCATCGTTCACCGTGACGCTTTTAGCGCAGAAAATCATGATGACTCAGCAGAATCCACACCGTAAGCGCCGCGTCTGACCAATAGGCTGTGCAGGAGACGGGAATCCCTGGAGATCTCAAACACCACAAACACCGCAGGCAAACGGGATAACACGCTGCAAGCTCGATGCTGGGCTAGGCAAGGCTGTCAGTTCCTGGTACTGGCTTCTCTTTTCCTTTTTTTATTAGGATAAAGAGGCCTGAGCCAGAGACTACATGTGATATGTCATAACTTGATAAGGCAGATGAGACATTATGTATAATACCGTCGGGTTCGCAATTTTCTGTCATTTAACCGTAGCATTGCCCTTTTTGGTAAATCACAACTCCGTACGTTTCTATATATATTTACACGTTGTTAAAGTCTTACAGCATACAAGCAGATTCTAACTTTTTAGATAACTAAATGTATTATATAATATTTTGAAGCTTTCCCTTGTAATAGATATAGCGACAAACATACCATCCATACGGTCGCGGGCGTGGTGATAAGCATAGTGTATTTAGCAATAACGTAGATCCCCCTGGGTTCCAGGAGCCCTATCCTTCCTCCGGCGCCTCTTGTCTGCCCAATAGAAACATGGGTGACAGTCGTCAAATAGATGACTAATCCAATAACGATCTTACGCGTTAAGCGCGTCGTAAACGCGACCAAAACACGAATCTTATATGACTTTTGTGAGCATGTTGATGGCCGACAAAAGCCACCAACGACTTCATGACGAGAAAACCACGATGGCGCTGTCTTGTTCTCCACGGCCCCTGCTCCAAGAGCTCCCGATGATGTCTGCTGCCGACCACGCAAAGAGGAAGTTCGAAGGAGGGCCGGAGACGGAGATACCAAAGCGCGTCAAGACTGGCCCGTTTGTGATGGACGACGACGACGACGACGATGATGATGACGACACAAATAATGTGGGGGGCAATAGCATATTCCAAAGTGAACCTCGACTTGATACACCTTTACAAAGATTGGATGACATAGTTGGACTTGAGACGGCCGATAGTTTGTGGCAGAGAAAGGCTGGAGTCCCTGAGGAAGCCCCTGCAAAAATACAGGCCACGACCGAACAGTATACGTCCGTCTCAATCAAGACTTGCTCTGGGAAGGTCAAATACGTACGGCGAAGGGTGAAGACAGAAAACGTTTCCTATGAGAAATTGATCGCGGAAAGATCAGTTACCGCTGCCGGGAAGGCAACACGAAGCTATTACGGAATTGATATACACCAGCTTATAGACGAGGCTAAACTGTTGGAACCATCTGCTCCGGCTGTCGTCCCCTCTGTTGAAAGCCAGGTCCCGGCACCTGGCGCTACAAAGCCTGCTCACCGGCTATGGACAGAGAAATACCGAGCTAGGAGCTTCAAGGATTTGATCGGTGATGACCGGACACATCGCACTGTGTTACGCTGGTTAAAGGCGTGGGATCCGATAGTTTTCCCAGGCCTATCAAAGCCGAAACCGAAGAACAACAACAACAACAACAACAACAACAACAACAACAACAACAACAACAACATTTCCAACGACCTGGAGGAACGAGCACATCGCAAGATCCTCTTGCTTACGGGGCCACCAGGTCTAGGCAAGACGACTTTGGCGCACATTTGCGCAAAGCAAGTTGGATATGAGGTTCTAGAAATCAATGCCAGTGATGAACGAAGCCGCACCGTGGTGACAGGGAGGATTAAGGATGCTGTCGGGACTGAGAATGTTAAAGGAGTTACCGTTGTCGAAGATGGCAAAGCTGTCAGGAAACCAGGCAAGCCGGTCTGCGTTATCATTGATGAAGTCGATGGTGTCGTCAGCGGTTCTGGCGGGGGAGGCGAGGGTGGCTTCATGAAAGCGCTCATCGATCTCGTACAACTAGACCAAAGAAATTCCAACAAATCCAAAACAGATGGACAGAGCACTGGTCGGAAGGGCAAAAAGAAAGGGGACAACTTCCGGCTGCTCCGTCCACTTATTCTGATATGCAATGATGTCTATCATCCCAGCCTTCGACCCTTGCGCCAGGCCTCAATTGCAGAAATCATCCACGTTCGTCGTGTCCCGTTCGACCAGGTTGTCCAGCGCGTTAAAAGCATATTCGAAAAGGAAGGTATTCAATGCGACGCCGATGGGGCCAGGAAGTTATGCGAAACCACCTGGGGTGTGAGCGGCACCAGAAACCAGGCCCTTACTCGTGGCACGGGTGAGGGTGACATCAGAGGAATCCTGGTGGAAGCCGAGTGGGTAGCACACAAACTTCGGTATGATGGCCTCCCATCTTCGTCCAGGCTGACGAAGATGTGGCTGGAACGCCATATTCTTCACAATCAGTCAGGGAGCGGCTTATCCCGTGGACTCGGCCGTGGTGGAGCGAAAGAAATCGTCAGCCGAGTGTTTCTCGATGGAGCTGGCTTTCCACATGATCGACAGGACAACCAAGGGTTCCAGGACCCGTTCTCCAAAGAAAAGAGCAAAGCGCCTGTCGGAGTGGCAGAGCTCCGTAAGCGCGCAGCGATCAGCCGGCTGAATGAAATGATTGATGCCGCAGGAGAGTATGATCGCTGTGTAACGGATTGTTTCCTCACGTACCCTACCCAGACCTTCCAGGATGATACCCTCCTCTCCAAACCCAATGCAGCATATGACTGGCTATACTTCCATGATCAGATATCCTCCAAGGTCTTTTCAAACCAGGATTGGGAACTGAACCCCTACCTTAGCCAAGCCACCATTGCTTTTCATCATCTCTTTGCGTCGTCACACAAGTCTGAGGATGGGTCAAAGATGGACATTGACGGTGATGGGGAAGAAGAACATCCCTTTGCCGGTCCACGAGCAGATTTCGCTGCCTTTGAAGCTGAGAAACAAAACCGCGCTATCCTAGTTGAATTTCAGTCTTCCCTGTCAGCTCATTTGAATCGGACATTCCACTCTACTGAAACTGTTGTCACGGAGTTGGTCCCCAGTCTTACTCGCATGCTTGCACCAGATATAAGACCTACACTTATAGGCAACTCCGGCGGCAAGGGAGCCGTTGCGAGCGTGCGCAAGGATAGCGAGCGGGTCTTGCTTAAAGCTGCAGTAGGCATAATGCATGGCCTGGGCGTGACGTTCGAGAAGACAAAGTTCGAGACCGAAGCGGGGGGATATGGAGGCTACATCTACAGGATGGAACCGTACGTTTCTTGTCTCTTTCTATCAACTTAATCCGTTGATTACTTTCCCCTCCATCCGAATGTAACATGGTGCTAACCACACTCGCAGATCCCTTGATTCTCTCAACAGCTTTTCCAAAGTCAAAGGCACCGCGCTATCATCAGGCAGCACATCTGCACCCGTTCGATACGCGGTTCGCCAAGCACTTGACCAGGAGTATCGTAAGAGCTTAATCAAACGACAATCAGAAGCCCAGAATCCCCACCACGGGGGCCCCGGCTCATCAACAGGCAGCAATGGCAACGCAAACGCAAAGGATAACGGAGATGGTAACAAACAGCCTAAATGCGGTCGATCTTTAGGCCCCAAACGGGACTTCTTCGGGAGAATCATCCAAGAGAAGCCACCGGGTGATTCTTCGGAGTCGAGCAAGAGGACCAACTCTAGTGATGCAAGCAAGAAGGCCAAGAAAGTATGGGTCAGTTACCATGAAGGTTTCTCAAACGCAGTGAGGAAGAAGATCACAATGACGGAGTTGCTATTTGGACTGTAACTTTACTTCTAATGCAAACATAAGGCAATGCCTTCGGTATGGGACGATTCATGATTTCTGGTGACACTTTTGGATTTAGCGAACGTATATACAGCATCATCTACATAATATCAACGTCTCCCTGTTACACATGGTGGAATACGAATACTCAGGCTAGAAAAGCTAGGCCTTCATGCAGACGCATCCAGAACAGATGTCACATTACAGTCGAGTACCTTCGGTATACGGAGTTGGAGACAAGTATAATTCCGAGTCATCGATACTATACTCCGTACACACATGATGGGAGATCGGATCCTCCAAGTAGACAGCATGCATCTTCGATCAGAATAGGATGATAGTGACAGTATTTGTGCATAGTTAATTGTTTGGCTGCCTGGCGTCCGCGTAAGCCTTGTGGGTATTTACCGACAATCATAGAGCTAGTAGTCCGCAACTTTGAGTAAGATAGCACCCCGATCACATAGCATCTGTGTTAGAGGGAATCTGTTACGAGAAACCCAGCCCATAGATAACAAGTATTCGCTGACTGTCTCTTGGCCCACCGGGCATTGAAGGCTTAAATTAGAGCTTAGGTTTCTTGCCTTTCCCAGTCTCAGCTTCCACCGCTGCTAATTACACGCAGTGCAAATTCCGGGCTAACAGTAGTTAGCTAGTATATCTGACATACCGCCTCTCTTATGTTTCTCTTCCTCCCAGCGCTCTTTGAACAACGCTTCTGCATCCCTTGCCATAATACTCAGTTGATCCCTCACACTCTTATATCCGCTATTCGTGGATTTTGTAAATGTCACTATTCCAATGTGATGCGCGTTGATAGGAATCTGACCCCCTTTTTCATCTCCAAACACGATCGCCGAGTGTTGTGGAACAACCTAAAATATGCGTTCAATGTTTTCTTCGAATTGTATTTTTCATGTAGCGCCAGCTAGATGGAGAATTCATACTGGGATAGAGAGAGAGATAAAGCATGGATTGAATATTTTGCAAAGCAATACTTCTTTTGTTATTAATATTAGAACTATATACCAATAATTTATACGGAATAAGCAGGAATTTCAATGACGGGCAAGCGGAACCAAAAATTCGGGCCAACGACAGTCAAAAAAAAAGAAACATAGGAAAAAACAAGAAGAACAGATCAATTGACCAGCTGAAAACAGTTATGGTAACCCCCCAAAACGCCAATGCAAATCTTATCCATGGTCGTAGTTTGTCGTTGATGGCTGGATGTGTGTAATCTCACGCCCGATGAGCAAAGTAACTAGCTCGGGCTGCTTCAGAAGTGGTTGGTGATATGCAAGTTATTTGCTTTCTGGCTGCCTTCTTCGAGAGCTCGGAGTTGTTTTCTCGCTGGCGACGCAAGGCTGCCTTGAGTGCAGCTATGCTGGAGACGGAGGATGTGCTCATTATCGAGGAGGCGCTGGAAGAGACCTTGTTATCCTTGTTGTTGGCTAAGTTGCTTCGTCTGGAGAAAATGGACATTTTGGAAGCAGTAGAGGCAGTTGTAGAGCTCGACATTTTTGTGGTTTTATATGCTGGTGCTTGTGGATTCTTTGGTGAAAACGTGGTGGTTGTTTTGATAACGGTTTGTTTTGGATGCGTTTTGTGTAGTGATGTTTTTCAGTGATGTTCAGTGAAGTAGTTAGATCTCGAGGTTTGTATTGAATGTCTTCAATTGTGGTTGTGAATGATGGAAAGAAAAAGGGCATAAGAAGGAGGTGGGAAGCCCCTTCTTATAGACCGCCAGGCTGCCCATCTCTGGGTATCAAATAATGAAAGGCCATGCTCCCATGGCACTCCGTCTCGTCATTCGGGATACGGTAACTATGGAAGGTCTAGTCTAGCTCTGCAGAACACCGTCATACATTCGTATGCGTTACAAATCCATCCCAGCAATAGCGCGAATAAGATTTCCTTGTATGGGGCCTGCGGGATGGTGGACTGGATACTTTCCTGACAAATGCAAACAAACTATGTAAGCCTCATTAGACGCGGTGGATCCAAGGAGCCAGTGTCTTATTCCGAAGCACACACCTTGTCAGCTCGTATTCGGCGCTAGCGAGCTTATTCGCATGCCGGTTGGCGATAGACAGCGCCTTTGAAGCACGTCACAGCAACGGCAGTACGCGCCGGTCCTCAAAGGCTTACTCCGTACATGCTTGGTAATGGCGCAGCTAGGGAGGAGGGACTGCCTCTCCACGATCATCGGCATCATCGACACTCCACGTTAGCAAGCTATGTTTTTGGCTATCTTCTTCTCAATCTTTTCATCCCCAAACTTTCTCCTTTACTCCTTTTTTTCTACTTTTCGATTAAGGTTTTATATATCTCGGAGTTGATCTCGGAATAAACTCACTCCGGAATACTTAGTCAGCAACCTTAACTCCGGAAATAGATTACAAACAAAAGAAGCAAACAGCCCAAAAAAAGCAAGTTTTCCCTGGTTGGCGGGAAAAACGACTTCGTCTCCTTAATCGCATTCTCACTGGTTGATAAGGTGGTTGATATTAGCAGTGTCAAGGGTCGAATACGAGGCCCAACTTGGTTGAGTCATCGGGGAATTATATTATCTCGTTCTGGGTCGCCGACAAAGGACAGCCAAAGCAGACTCCGAAACGCAAACAGACACGGCGGCTTCCCGATGCTCGCATTCAACACTCGTTAAGGCAGAAGTTTCTCGTCCAGGATGCGTCAGGCCGACAGAACAGATGACTCACCTGCATTGGATTGTTCTAGATCAAGTAGCATGTTGCATGTTCTCTTCTTATGATATGCTGAGGCTGCCGGGCAATCTTACCTTAGGCCTCGGACTTCTTACGTGCTACCATGTAGTTACGGAGTGCTTCATATGCAGTCATGACTTCCAGCTCTGCCGATCTCCTTAGGCACCAGCATTCCAGCGTCACGGGTTAAAGTGAGCTGATATGACCGGACCATCCTGGAGGTTGAGATGTCTGGCGTGTTACATGCAAAACAATTGCGTCCCAAGGGTTTTTGTTGGCTGCTTACGGAGTACGCCCTGCCATAAGGTACCATCAGATACGTGGGAAGGATATCTCATCTATTAAGGTCTATATCTGATATATCATCTCCTTACAACATCAGCATTCCAAGCAGCCAGGCAGAAACAATAGCAACCAGAGAAACCATCCCTGAACCAACTTGCATCCCACCATTCAGAAGAGGTCCGCCGGAGTTTGATCCGGGTTCCGAGCCACCGCTTCCTGAGGTAGGAGCGCTGCCTGAATAGGTCTCTATCGCAGTGGTGGTGACCGTGTCAGTAGTAGCCTCTGGCGTCGGAATTTCGTCTGGTTCGATTTCGGTAGCGGTGGTGGTTACTGTGGCTGTAGTCGGCGTGCGTATCGACGTACAATACCCATTTCGGCCACACCTCTGGTTTTCGTAACAGCATTCCTTCCCACAGCAACTGCCAGAGTCAGGACACGCTCCGCTCTCGCAGCACTTTTCCGTCTTGGGACGATAACAGCTCTTCGAAGCCAGGCAGCACGATTCCCCTTTTCTACAGGCCCAGAAATCATCACCATCTGTACAGCAGATTGAGGATGACGGATCGTAGCATTTATCTTCTCCACAACCACGTTGGTGATCGGGACAACATCCTCCGCTTTCATGGCATGTACCAGACTTGGGACAGCTTCCTCCATTGCCACAGCAGATTTTTGTCTCCGGGTCATAACAATGCTCCGTGCCGCAAGGGATCGTTCCTGATGGACAGCAACCTGATGGCTCGACGCAGTCGTATCCCTTGTCGCAGTTCGTTCCACGAGATGCACAGCACGTCTCTGTCTCCGGATCATAGCACCCGTCAGATCCGCAGCCTATACTAGGCTTGTCGCAGCAGCCGTCAGACGTGCAGTTCTGGCTCGTCCTACAGCACCCTGTGCCTATCGAGCATTCATCTATAGCAGAGTTCCAAATCAGCACCCAGCCTAAGTTAACTACTCCGTACTCTTCGAGCCATATTTGATTTTTCCACTAATCCCAATATAAAAAGCGAGGTTAAAAGCAAATATTCGTCAAAACATACAGTAACCTGCCCGACAGGATCTCGCAAACAGCAGTTTCGCTTCTGAAAAGCCTCCAAAGTCAGTCAGAGTCCCGTTTCCAACACGCTGTGGTCGGAATTCTGCCGTCAACCGAGACGTTGGCTTCACATCGACGAGTGGCTGGCCCTCGAGCCTCGGAGCGTTTGCAAACACACCGCTAGAGACAGCTAGGCTGAAAAGAAAGTATTTCATCATCGTGACTGACTCGCTTTCTTTGTGAATCTTCCAGGTTTTTTGATATTTGTTATTGATTATACGGATGCGAAGGGGCCAGCAGGTCTCTTCTCTTTAAGACTTCATCTCATTCCGCACCCCAGCGCAGTGCGGCTCACGCACGGCCTCTTCGGCCATTGATTCCACAAATAAATCAACCTTCTTCTCTCTATCGGCCACATTTTGCTCTTGTTCGAGGGGTCAATGCAAGTGAGATTCTCTTGGTATCGCGAGAAGAGGTGGTTGACCCATCGCGCTCGTTAGGAAATACGAGGATCCCGTGTTAATTCTCAGGCAAAAAGGCCAAAAATAGAAATTGGCCCGAGGTATCGGCCGTGGAGTTGATCAATTCCTCGGAGCCTCACCTCGTATATATGCAAGATGACGGATTGCTATACAATCAGGCCCAGTTTCACCTCAATACGGCTAGGAAGTGTTAGACATACTACATATCATAAGGTGTAGACAGGCGCTATAATCACACACATATTTTTATACCTTGCTGTTATGCATGGCCAAGCAAACATTTATTAGATATGGATAAACCAAGTGCATGTAAGGTGTTTAGATATCTACTAGTTATACAACGTCTATTTATCTATATAGATACACTTTGCGTTAGGAAATTCGTGATTTGGCGTTCAATTCTATATCTAATGAGCATATATTCTCTAGATATAGAATTTTGCCTGGCCTTCAACTATCATCTCCTCTTTTATCTGTAGCCAGTAGTAGTCGGCAGGGATGAGGCTAGTTCGCTACTGACATCTTGTATTCTATTGTGATTGTGAGGCTGCTGTTGTAATTGCTTGCCGTATTGATGCCTAACCCCCTCCTCACGATGGCACGGATATCATTATGTTTAAGGGCGCCGGATGGATGGAAAGTTCGAAAGAGTCCGTTTTCCTGTTTTTTTTGCTGATATTGACAATTTCTCTTCCCATGTCAAAACGACTGAGCCAAAAGAGTGTGCCCAATCTAGTGATCAGCGGGTTAAAACTATATTTTGACATCTCTCTTCCTTTTCTCAGGCTTCCCAACACAAGAGACCTTTGTAGTCCACATCCACATCGTCAGGGCGGATTTCACATTTTCGGCTGTTGAGGTATTGCCACTTTGTTTCTCAAGTCTAGGTATCATGATTTAGTGAGAAAAAGTAGTTGGCAATGGATCTATTGCATTTACGCGCCATGTGCATCGTTTAGGCATTGTCTTGTCGCCTGGCCCAGAACACCCTACCCGGGGAGATGATGTAGGATCTGGCCCCAACTGCTTGGCCTGGGTATTATCATCCTAATATTTGCCCGGCATTACATCCTTCACCTTCAGGATGTGTGGTGGTTTGTATTCAATCGTATGTATATCTGTTAAGTATGCCATTCAGCCAAAAGAGTGAGCACGCAGCACCGGTGGGCAGGATGATGTTATCTTGACAATATTTCGAGTCGTTGTTCAGCTGGCAAACATCACGTCCGGTCCCATCAATGCACGTTACCGTTTTCTACTGGCTGATTACTACCTGTTAATACGGAAGCTTGGGCGGCTCGACTATACCTAGAGTTCAAGAGTTATGCGAATACTGCCCATAAGCGATGGGATATTGGGGGTATAGAATATTGAGTCATGAATTAAGCTGAGTTTCAGGGGCGTAGGTCGAGGTTCCTCAATATAAACCCTAGTATTAGGAAACAAGTATATGAGATTTTGCCGACCTTAGAGTCGCAGTCCGGTGATAAGGCATTATAAAATGGGGTTAGACCCGTGTCTGTTACCTATTACTTGCCTTGGGAAATGTTGAAAGCAGGGCTTGACTGGGGAGGCCGTACTTATCGATGTCTACCTCAGACCTTGGCTGTAAATTTCTGCTGAGGATAGTAATAACTTAGCCTGTCGACCACAGAAGAACTTTTCCTCCGCTGAGAAGGGCTTTTGTCCAAGATAGCTATCCACGGGAATTGGCCAGCAAGTAGCGTAGGGCAGTTTGTACTTCGCATACCACAGTCCCCGATGGATTGGAAGTGCATGCATGAAGGAATGCGAGATATAAACGACCCGGAAGCAGGATGTTGACCAGGTTCATCCGTAGTGATCTTGAATTAGATATGAACGCCTTACAACTCGCACAGGTGGCGAGACCCTCTGGCTCGTTGTCCGCTGTGATGGCCACGGCACACTGCTCAAACGGACTTTGCCCACAACGCAATGGCCACAGGGGGGAGGAGAAACGACGCCGACAGAGCTCCCTCCTCTTCGACGTTAGAGTCTTCGTTCAGGAAGGCTAGGGGATCGGAGCAGAGGCAGACGCCGCGTGAGCAGCAGTAGAACGAGCAGGGGCGTTGTCGACAGGGGCAGAAGCGGCGACAACAGACACAGAAGCATTTCTAGCTTCCCATGAGCGATCCCTAGCCCTAGGTTTATGCAGAGGCTTGACACTGCCAAGGCTTCCAGTGTTAACTGGATATGAATGATTATTGAATTCCGTTCAGTATAAGTCTCTGTTGTAACTGTGTACTCTAAAGAGCATAACTGTACTGGTAGTCGTAAACAGCGGCCACAGTGACCAGTAAAGATATACATATCTAGGTCCACTGTGGACTTGAGCTGCCTAGCAATATAGTTAGAAGGCTGAGTCTGGAGGAAAAAAATGGAAAAGGAAGTGCAAGACAAACTCCTGAAAAAAAAAGCGAGCTTTATAATCGAATTCTTGCGTCATTCTCGTAACTATTAACTATCAACCTCCTTCGCGTCGTCGAAGTGACTCAATCCCGGAGATAATAATAGTCATAACCACGGGAAGGGGACATGGATGAGATTCACTGCTCCGAAAACGTGCTTCGTATGCACTGACGATGTATTCACTTCGTTAAAGCACGGAGTTAATAGTGGGTATGAAGGTTAGGCGAACGGGAATCTTCACGTCGAATCTTAACCAATCTTATCCAGCGCGGCGTTTACGAGGATTAGTTAATAATGCCCGCCGTTAGTAATTCGAGCCTCATGCTGTTGTGCGAGTATGACTGTATGCAGGAGGCAGTGGGCGGTAACCATCTCAACGTTTCCACGTAGATTTGAAGTCACGGAGATTTGTAAGGGCATTCATAAACAAGTTCAAATACTCCGAAAGTGAGCTCACAGCATCAAGCTCGTAAGCAGCTGATGGGTGTAATTCAAGGATGAATGCTTGATATTCCGTGGGGGTTACAGTTAGGGAGAGTAATGGAAATCCACGACCTTATAAGGCCTGTTTGTTGTTCAGTAGTTACTCCCCCATTTATGTTGTGGTGCCGGCTGAACAAAATAAAACAGGATTCGTACAAAATGAGTTGTTGATTTGTCTGCAGGAGATTCTGTAGTTATGCGAGGACTTGTAAAAGCGTTACACGGTCCTTAGTCTGTTGCTCCACCCACCCCCCGTTTTCTCACCTCGTTGCAAGACGGTATATCACTTCCTAGTTTCGACCTCGAAGACTGCTGGAAGTTGCCAGTTTGTGGCGGAAGAGTATGTCTACCTTTTTGAGACTCTGAGAATAAAGGCGAGCTGGTGCTGCTGGTTTCAGCAGAGTTGTAGGCATTTGCTGGAGCCCCAAAGCGACTGTTATAACGCTTTTCTGCCAGGTGCCGAAGAGCCTCTTCCGTCATGGACCCAACCAGCTGCGTTGAATTTCCTTTCGATATCGCTTTCTTGACGTCGAATAGGTCCGCTAAAGTAGTCACCACTACTTGATCGCTATCGCCGTCAGCAATCGCCTCCCCAATTTTGTATATCTTCTTATGAGAAACCTCGCTGGCCACTTTGCACACATCTAGGCACTGCTTCGAAATGTTGATATCTTCCTGTAACCGCAATCTCTCATCCTCATTTCTAGCATCTCCATTCAGGATTAGGGATTGTAAGCGTCCTCGCAGGTGGCCAATGATCTCTGCGAAGCTGTCTCTGCTTTCATCTAAAGTTTGACGTGTTAAGAGCTCCGCTTCAAAGCAGTCTCGCATATCATCTTCGGTAGCATGTTTCTCTTGATGCACAGGAAATTCTCGGTTTCTCACTGATTCCATATAAGTCCTCGCGTCTTCACAAATACGAAGACACTGTTTGGTCACTGCCCTTTCGTCCTTCAAGTCTATGTTTATGTTTGAGGCACTAGTGTTTTCGATAGTAAATTGTCCCATTTTCTCATCAATTCGCTGCAAGTGGACCTTAAGGTTATATACAGTATCCTGGATCACCTCATTGAACTCTTGAAGAACTTGGTGGGAGACTTTGGAAGTATGCCTATAATAAGTCAGTAGAGTTCGAAGGAGAAAGGCAGTTGTGACTAGCTAGGTAACTAACATGGTAACAGTGCCCAGGCCGACCGAGATTGTCAGCTTATACCCTGTGATCGCGTCTATAAATTCATTGATATCGCCCCTCATAAATTCCATCTTTGTCCAATCTCGAAAGCCAGGGTTTGATTTTCCACTGAAAACTTTCATTGATCGTTCGAAGTCGTCGCACACTTGGCTACATCGATCAATAGGACCTTCAAGAAGCGCCAACATTGGCGTCTCCGCATCTGACATTTGCGACAACGAATTCAAAATATTGGCGAGATCCTCGAGCTCATCTTGAAGTCGACGCAAGGTTTTGTCGCGACCCCTGAAGCGTTTGACGGTGTCGCAGAGCGACTTCGTCGACTGAATGGCGACTGTAGTAACTGCGAGCACAGAGGCAGTAATGCTCAAAGGATCAGTCATTTTTGACCCTTCACTGCTAGATCTTTACAATCCCCTTTGGTAAAGTCGTAGCTAGAAGTAAGGGAAAAGTAATGATTCCGGCTGAAGCGAGGGGTACCTACGAGCTTAAATTCTAGCCTCGATTTTGGCCATACACATTAGTCATACCTGTCTGATTGGCCAGGGCTAAGTAACTAACAAGTTAACGTCATGGCGCGTAGTACTCGTAGTACTCATCTAGCATGGATGGGCAAATGTGTTCATAATGTATTAGTTTACCCTCGTCGATACAAGGTACTTTCTCTCATACTGCTCTTCAAAGAGATATAAATCCACTTAGAGACAAATAGCTCTCTTCCCTTTTCTATCAAAAACTTTAAAGAGGCTTAATTCTAACCATAATTGTAACAGACGGAATAATTTTCCATTGTACACCTTCTTATAGTTTTCCTATGAGTTAACTAGTTACGGCTTGGCAGGTACTCCATGCCTTAAGAGCAAGGTGAAAGAAACCTGCGGAGTAAAAATTCAGCTGGACTTTATGGTATTTGGCCATTTACAAATGACTGCAGGCCTAATTTGGGAGGAGCCGATAGCTAGACTGTTGGCTATCTCGGCCCTTGTGCTTTTAGCATGTTTGTTCACGGCCTGGGGATCATCATTGCTGTCATCTGGCTGAGCAGAGCTCTAGGCTTCAGAAGTGGCCAATGAGAGTTATTCCCAAAGTGATATATATATTTCTGTATCTTACAACGTCATCAGAGGCCTAATATCTAAGTACGGAGTAGAAAGATACTTAATTGACGTGTTATAACTGAAAAATGGGTTGACGATCCTCCGCAGTGATACCAAGATCCGCAACTTAGCATCATGTCTACGCCAGTAAGATTGATGGGATAGGCAGATATAGGATGTGGAACTGTCAATGGTAGTACGATGACGAAATAACATATATGATCTATGACTGAAACTATATCTCATTATTTAGAGAGCTATTATTATCCAATCGGTTGTTGTATGAAAGTTACCGGTGGTAATCCACATTCATTATACCCTCTGATCTTCACTATCTCTCCAAGTTTTTTTACCAAGAGCAAGAGTTTGATATTGAGATCTGAACGATCGGAGCCATACCAATGACGCCATGGTAATCACACGGGGTAAAGTGATGGCCTTCAGAAGAATGATAAATTGAGCGCCATTCCCAACCAGGCCCAGCTCTGAGAAAGTAATCAACAGGTCAGACAACTAGATTAAAGCACATTTCCATCTACTTTGACCACCCAAAATGCATTTCGCCAAGTTTGCAGCACTCTTCCTTGTTGGGCTGGCCGCCGCTAAGCCTGCAAGACTTATCATTGAGACGGATAAGGAAGCCAGCCTGCTTTCTTTATTTCTTCTCTAGAACAGAATGCTAAATGTGATAAGACTTCCTTCAGTCTCAAAATGCTCTCGAAGCGGAAAGGGAGGATGTCTCTTCCTATGGCGACGTGATAGAGGGGGGCTGTAGAAAGACTTTAGTGCCATTTGTTACGACCGAGACACGACCTTTTATTATGAGGAAAGTAAGTCTCCCAGATCGACCTGTTGTTGTGCCTGAAGGGAGCTATATGAAGGTGCATTTGGCAAGAAAGTTAGAGGCCGGCACCAAATTGGTCTGGCATGGGTATGGAGATAGATTTGAGCTGGGATCGCTCGGAACACTTCAGACTACATCTGGTATATGTCTTGGGTATCTTGATGGCGAAGTCATTATTCAGCCAACATGTTCCACCCCTGGTCTCCATGGTCATTTCCAAATCGCGGCATTAAATTTCGGCATTGACGGGCCCATAGCACAGATACGATTCAATGGTATGTTGACCAGCGCATATCTTTGAGAAGCTATGCGGAGACTAAAAGAGATATTACCTATAGCCAAAATAATGGATGACTACTACCCGATAATCGTGAAAGATGATCTGCTTGTCTTGGGTGAAAAGGGTATGTTTGGAAAATTTTATATTTCACCTGCTCTAATACATTCGAATGAACAGAACTGACACTAGCCCAATCAATCACTATGGTCTGTAGGCGCCGAAGGAACTCAATTTGAGATCATATCCTCCTAATGGTGGAAAACTGCAATGCAAAGCAGCGTGGGCAGATCTTTCGGTCAGTTAGTTATATGGTGTATTTATTACTCCTACTGCTCTAGCTATCTTTTAGGTTTAACAACTTCTATTACAAGGACATGATGCCAAATTAAGAGGACATCGATGAATATCAATCCAGCTTATCCTTACAAGAAAAATATATAATCTTAACCAAGGCGTAGACACCCCTAACTACCAAACTGGTTATATAAGTGTATCCTTAGGTGGTTACGATAGTGTTGGACTAAAAAGCAACGCTGCTTAGTTAGCAGCAGTGAATGATGAGGATCCTGGCACGTCTGCACACCTCCCCAGTTAACCACGGAGTCATAGTCATGGTTGATCCTAGCTAAATCCCCTCCTTTTGAGCAGATCCCTTCCTCGGCACTCCGGCCACCGCTCTCTTAGCATAGGGGGAACCCTCTCGCCCCTAGCTCTCTCTAGCGGGGGAAATCTCTAAAAACAGGCAGACCTGATAGCTCCTGGACTCGAACCTATGCCCTCCTACACAAATCTGGGCTCATAACCGTTGGACTAAAAAACAACGCTGCTTAGTTAGTGGCAGCGAATGGTGAGCAAAACTAGTGGCACGTCTGATATATACCTAAGGTAGTTACTAAAAGGACCATGAAGGCCACATAAATTGTATTCAAAGGCCACGGACTGTAATAGTATGCTTGACACCCCAGTTTACTCTATACTTATAGTAGATGACTGTTGGTCGTTGTAGGTTGTTGGAGGCCAGGGATAATAATACGTTATCTTATCTGATCTGATTTTCTGCAGCTAAGGTCCACAGTACCCCTGTAACAAACAAGCAAGCTGGCTGTAGGAGACAACGAAAGAGATAATCAGATGGCTGAGTTCATCTATATAAGCCAGCAGACTAAGGAAGACACAAAACACCATACATATGTATATACAAAGTAGGCCAAAAGGGACAAACGCACATTCTCTAGCCTTTTTCTTCATCTTCTCTGTCGGGATGATTGCTTTCTCTTTCTCATCCATATCCTTCTTGGAATGATCACTTCTTCAGCTTCTCAGTCAACTCAGGGACCTTCTCAAATAAGTCTCCTACAAGCCCAACATCCGCAACCTGGAAAATAGGCGCATCAGGGTCCTTGTTGATAGCAGCAATGACCTTGCTATCCTTCATACCGGCCAAATGCTGAATAGCGCCCGAGATACCAGCGCACAAATAAAGCTGGGGCGCAACATTCTTTCCCGTCTGGCCTACCTGCAGCGAGTTATCGGCCATCTTCTCGTCGACTGCGGCGCGGGAGGCACCGATCGCGGCACCAAGGGCGTCGGCAAGGGGTGTCATGATGCGGTCGAATTCTTCCTTTGACTTCAAGCCGCGGCCACCGGACACGACGCGCTCGGCGGTGGAGAGGTCAGGGCGTTCGGAAGTGGTGAGGTCTTCGGAGAGCCATTTTGTGTTTGAGGGGGCAGCGGGGTCAACGCCTTCTGTTACGTTCGCTGAGCCGCCTGTTGATGGGCCTGGTTGGAAGGCGGTGCCGCGCACGGTGAAGAATTTGATGGGGTCGGTTGATTGGACTGTTAGAACTGCGTTGCCTGCGAAGATGGGACGGGTGAATTCTATATTGATTGGCGGTGAGGTTAGAGTTGGAGTTGGCCGTGGGTTGGGCAGCGTACTATCTTCTCCCTCGATGGCGGTGACGTCTGAGACGGGCTGAGCATCCATCATGGCTGCAACACGGGGCAGGACATTCTTGCCAAATGCCGAGTGGCTTGCAACGACGTGGGTGAAGCCACCCTTCTTGATATTCTCAATTAATAGCGGCGCATAGTTTTCTGGTAGACCCTGTGGATATCGTCAATATACATTATACAGTATATAACTCTTCACACCGTATGGGAAAAAAAGTATAATTGCAAAGAATGCCGTGGTAGAGTATCTTACCTTATCGTATGCCTCGTTGTCAACAGCCAGAACGCTCTCTACTCCCTGCACCTGCGCTACTTCAGCAGCTACACCGGCCTTAACGCCCTTACCAGCTACAAAGCCAGTGACGGGGCCACCGAGCTTGATGGCAGCAGCGATAGCCGAGAGAGACGAACCGGCTACCTTGCCGTCTTTGTGTTCGAGGATAGCGAGGGTAGAGAGTAATCGGGAACGGGCGAGTGTGCTTGCGGCGGAGGGGTATATGGATCGAGTTGCCCGGAGGACGGTCGGGCGAGTGAGCGAGATCATTGTCGTGACTGCTTGGAGGGGTGTATATGGCTATGTGTATGGTATATGTGAGGCCTGCTCGGCTTAATTGGGTGCTTGCAGCGGTGGTTGAAGGCTGGAGTTGGGATGCGAAGTTGGAAGAAAGAAAGAAGCTCGGCTGGTTGAAAGTCGTTCCTCGGCGCCGATAGCCGGATGACTAAGCATGCACATGGGCCCAATTACAGCAGATACAGACATAGATACAGACATAGATACAGACATAGATATTGATATTGATAGAGAAGAATTGACCATTGAATGAACGATTGATAGATAGAGAGTATGAAGAGAACGCTTTTATACCAGTCCCGGGATCTAGTAACGTAACATCATGCGCCGTACACCAATAACAAGACGAACAAAAGACAGACAAGCGAAGAAGAGACAGGACTATGTAGCTTTCTTCATCTTGGCCAGCTTCGTCCTGGGCTTTTTGGACGATACTTCCTTTGGCAGTAAGGGAGCATCACCTTCAACCTTAGCAACGGCCTTTGCCTTCTGAGCCTTCAGCTTGGCCTTTCTGGCCTTGAGCTCCTCTTCTTCCTCCCCGTCCTTGTCGACCGCAGCATCAGCAGCAGCAGTGATCAGCTTCGACTTTTTACTCTTCTTTCCGGCATCTTCGCCCTCAGTGATACTCTTTCTCTTCTTGCTCTTCTCCTCGACCTTCTTGACTTCAACTTCCTTGACATCTGCGTCTTCCAGCCAGAGCTCATCAGCAAGCCAGATGGGCATGGAAGCAGTGTTGGCTCCCTTGACATGCACGGCCTTGATATTCTTCCATCCACGCGAAACGTACTTTTCTACCATCGCCTCGACGACAGCCGAGACGTTCTCCACCACCTTCTCAGCAGGCCAATTGGACCATCCGACCCTCAACGCGGCGGTGGCTGCGGGGGAGAGGTTGACGGGTACACAGGCAATGGCGCGCTCGATCTCTCGCGCAACAATAGCAGGCGACGCAACAGAGGCAGCCTTCTCATCCGTGGGCGGCCTCTTCTTATCGGCCGCCTTGACTCGCTTTCCATCTACTTTCTGAATCTCCTCCAGCCGCACGGGGATGGGACGCTTAGAGGACTTGAAGAAGATTTTTCCCAGCGTGTTGACTAGACGTAGTATGATACGGTCATCGGCAAGGAACAAGTCGTGTTCGGCGAGGAGCTGCCTCCTGCTTTCAAACGACTTGTATCTGTCCCGCAGCTTGGAGAAGCCAATGACCTTTGTGATCTTGGAAGCTAGCTCGGGCGGGAAAGCGGGGTCTGCAATTGTATCCTTGACAGCGCGCTGGGGGTCTGCGGTGATGAGGCAGACGTTGAGGGTGGAAGATGGGTTGAGAGAGTGAGGCACGGCAATCTTGCCTGGCTTCATCCTGTTCTTGTCCACGAGATGTTTCTTGGTGGTCAGGATAAGCCAGATGGGCGAGTGGTCTCCGGTACTGCCGTCATCTTCCTCGTCGCTGTCGTCGCCTAGGGGAAGCTTCTTGACCGTCGAGCCGGCTTCCTTGCGCTGGTCTTCGGCCTTGATGTGTGAGAGCAGAGCAGTCGATGCGCGGAGTACCTTCTTCAGTCAGTCCTTTTTGTCCATTGTTTCTTTGTAGAAAGGGGGAGGGCAGCTTACCTGGTCTGTGTCCAGCTGGTACTTGGGCCCGTTCTTTACCACTGAAACAGCCATCTTGACTCGCTGCACTTGACTTGTCTCGTCTCGTCAACTTTGTCAACTTCGTCGACTTCTTCCTCTCGACTTTCGCTTCTTCACCAAAAAGAAAAAAAAAAAAAAAGATAAAAAACTTTAAGTTCAAGCTAAACTTCCTCGGTCCTACTTTTCTCCTACTTCGCTTATATAATAATGTATTACTAATATATTACTCATTGTTTAACACGTGAATGTACCTGCATCTGACTAAGCAAGTGCAGGAAACAAAAAAGAAAAAGAAAAAACAACAACAACAACAACTTAACCAAAATAAATAACAATAAAAAAGAAAGAAACAAAAGAAAAGAAAAAACTTCCCGAACGTTAAAAGCCAATAAAAAGGCCCAAGGAGGAAGTAAAAAGAGGAGAAAGATAAGATGTTGGGCAGAAGAACCTTAGAAGAGGCAGAGCCAGACGTTGGCAGCCGAGAAACGGTAAGAGCTCCAGGTAAGACAGACAAGACGCTGGCCGGCGCCTCCAAGAGCAGGTAGCGTCTTGTCGCTTGTCCAAGCTGAGGCAAGGCAGGTCAAGGCAGGGCAAGTCTCCGCCAGAGCCAGAACTTCTCGCCTGGCGCTTCCTTTGGCCGTTTCTTCTTCCGCTGGCCCCTGACTCGCCCCTGAGCCACGCAAGCAACACCATCGCACAGCATGACACCCGACAAGTCAGCCGGCACGTAGACATCTACACCGTCAGTAGGAAGACGCATCCCGTGGACTCTCCTTATCTTCATCTTTCTTATCTTCTACTCTCTTATCTTTTCTCTTGTATCTTGCGGTGTATTCTCTATCGTCTTCTCTTGTTCTTCTCTTATATCTTCTTCTTCTTCTCCTTTTTATATCGACTTGTTTTTTTCTTCTTTTTCTCTCCTTTTTTTCACTTTTTTAAAACAAAGCCCCACTTTTTCCCTCTTTCGGTCGAACCCCCTTGCAAACTTCTTGCCACGCACCGCAGCCTCTGCCACCACGCCGAATCCCTGCAACGCAACGCTTAACGCCCGCCGCTGACTGGCCGACCCCTGGCCCGCCTTCAGCCCACGGCCCACGCCTCGTGCCCCCACGTCCCGCTGCCTTTTCTTCCGCTTCCTCAAACTTCCTCAACTTCTTCTTCTTCTTCTTCTTCTTCTTCTTCCTCCGACTTCATCAGGTTCAGCTTCATCTTCTTCATCTTTGTCACTCCTTTTTCTTACAGTCGCTCTTTGTTGCTGTCTGCTGCGCTGCTGTCTGTCTGCAGGACTCACTGCCACGTTCACTCTTTACTGCTCAACGGCGTGTCCTGTCTTGTCTGTCATTCACCGGTACGTCTGCTGTGATCGCCTGTCAGCCCAGGACACAACGATACGAGCCTCACCCATAACACCAGACAAGAAGAAGATGATAATAAGAAAGAATGGATGATAAAGAGACGGGGAGAGGGTGATGAGATGCTAATGGCTGCTCTAGATAGTCCCTTTTTACGATGAAGTTCTCCTCCAGCATCCTGACGCTGGCCGTTGCCGCGTCAGTCCAGTCGGTCCAGGCCTCTCGCCACGCCCATGGCCATGCTCACCACCACCGCGCCCTTGAGAAGCGCGCGGACCCGGAGGTCGTCAAGGCCTTCATGTACAATGGCAAGGAGCTGACCCAGCAGGAGGTCTGCGACGGCGTCCTCCAGGGTAAATTTAACTGGTCCAACGGCGAGAACCACGACGCCCTGTGCAACTTCCCCCTTGGCTCGCAGAAGGCTGCTCCCACCACCTCCTGTCCACCCGACAGCAAGCCAACTGAGGCCTCCAAGCCTTACTCTCCTCCAGCTATCCCTCACACCGAGAGCACTCCCTCGCAGCCAGAGGAGCCCGAGGAACCCGAGGAGCCTGAAGAGCCTAAGCCAGAGGGCCCCAAGACTCCCGTTATCAAGAAGCCCGATGACTCCAAGGGCGGAGAGACTCATATGGGCGGAGAGGGTGTCGACCTCGACTTCCCCGATGGCGAGGTTGACTGCGATGACTTCCCATCCAAGTACGGTGCCATTCACCTCGACTACCTAGGCCTCGGTGGCTACACTGGTATCCAACACGCCACCCTCCTCGGTGAAGTCTTCGGCACCATCCGCACCGCCATTGCCGGCGAGTCCTGCGTTGACGGAGCCCTCTGCTCTTACGCCTGTCCTCCCGGCTACCAGAAGTCCCAGTGGCCCAAGGAGCAAGGCTCAACTGGCGAGTCCGTTGGTGGACTTGCCTGCCGCAACGGTAAACTCCACCTCACCAACCCCGGTCTGTCCAAGAAGCTCTGCATTCCCGGTGCCGGTGGCGTCAACGTCAAGAGCACCATGGACACTGTCGTCTCCATCTGCAGAACCGACTACCCAGGCACTGAATCCGAGACCGTCCCTCTCGAGCTCACTCCAAACGCCAACATGCCCCTGACCTGCCCCAAGGCCGAGTCCTACTACTTCTGGCAGAACAAGCCCACCTCCGCCCAGTACTACGTCAACCCAGCTGGCGTCGGTATCGACAAGGCCTGCCAATGGGGCAAGGCCGGCACCGACCTTGGCAACTTTGCTCCTCTCAACCTTGGAGTTGGTGAGAAGGCTGGTGTCAAATGGCTTTCCATGTTCCCCAACAGGCCCACCACCAATGCCATCCTTGAGATGACCATCGAGATTGTCGGAAAAAATGTCTCTGGTAAATGCAAGTACCAGAATGGCAAGTATTATACCGACGTCGGCGTCAACGAAGATGGTTGCACCGTAAGTTTCATCCAACCCAATTCCTGTACCGCTGCTTCTCTTGCTAACACAGTTTTCCAGGTCTCTGTCGTATCAGGCGACGCAACCTTCGTCTTCTCCAACTAGACCAGCTCACGACCTAATCTCGCCTGTTGATGATTCCTCTCATACACCTCTGCTACTGGCCGACCTTACTCCTCGTCTTTGCTCGCCGCTACTTTGATTCCCTTGCTTCTCACCTCGTGTTATATTTTTACTACGTTACCTTACTTTTACTTCGCTCTGTCCATCTTATATACTCACCTTGTAGTTAAAGACTTTCCCTTTCTCCTCCCCAGTTCCTAGTGAA